GACTGGCTCTTGCAACACTGGTTCTATTCAATGCTGTAAGTATGTGAGATGTGTAGCTTGACATCATCTCACACTCCTAAGGCGATTTGAACAAGAAGGCTCAAACCAGCACCGGAAAGAACGATGCTCTCATCTCCACCGGCGACATTGCATCCCAAATCGGTGTACAATGTGACCAAGTCCCACTCTTGATCGGAGTTGCTATCGAGGGTTCGTAAAAGTTTCATATCCTTCTTAAAGCTGACGATCTACAGACGAGTGCAAGAACACCCCAGTCTGTTGCGAGGACTACGACAGCGAGTCTGCAATCGGTCTTGGTAAGTTGGGGTTTGATATCTATCTACTTGTCTCACCTTTTGCACAGGCTGTGACGCTCTCCCAATCGTCTAAACTGAGATTTACTGCTTAATTTGGCATCCTACTTGACCAGCTCTAGAACACTACCCAACTCATCTCGTATCTGTACCTCTATGCATAATTCTTGAGTTATTGGTTTGCTGTTATGAGTGTTCAACAAGATTCTAGTCTTCTAAACAGCTACTGTGCTAGGATGGTCGATTTCTTTTATGTACGTCTGTTCAATGAGCTCTCTATGTCAAGATGAGTAACTAGAATTACTATCGTACTTCCGAAGGTTCTAATGCAAACCTATCTAGTTCTCCATTCCCATTATTTGGTTTTTCGAAATGTACTATCAGAAGCCAAACCCCCGATTTCGGAGTATGATTAACGCCTACTTTTCTGCACTTAAGCACTTTTCTCCGGGTATGCAACGAATAAAAGGGGTCTTGCTTTTCCCCTGGTGCTAATATGAAGTTCTGTAGACTCTAAGCGTCGGAAGACGTAAAACGCGTCTAGATGGGTAAATAATTGAGATTTTGGGATGCTAGTAATCGCTATCAGTGGGAGAATATTGCTTTTGTTGTTGAATTCAGTTAAATCCACAGCATCTCGTCTATGACATGCTTCAGAGCAATGTCGGATCACCGCTTCTGAACAGCGTGCAGGGCGCAATTCGGTGTGTCAGCGATATAAATCTGGGAAAATCATATTAATTTCAGCCAGAGCTACAGATAAAGCCTTTTATTTGGAGATCATCAAAACTCGTGAAACAGCCATTGAGGTGAGACAGGCAGTAGTAGAAAAATCTAACTAGGTATACTTTGAGCGTATGGTTGAGATGGAGATGTAGCTAGAATGCTGAGGATGCAATTAAACGCCATTTTTGCTAAACTATACAAATTGTCAGCATATGAAGTGCCTTGCCATCCCATGAACTCTTCGTCACGTCACCAGAATCCCACAAAAGATTCCCAGATTGAGTTTTATTTTTCATATATGCCGAGTAAAACTACTGTCGTAAAATATCCAATCCCTCAGTAATTTATTGCATATGTATATCAATCCCTTTCACAAACCCTCCCTGTAAGCCATTCCTTGGCTGAGCAGAGTTAACAACCAAAACCGATGATAGTTGAGTCTGCAAACCTTCAAGTGCTCTCAGTGTAACCTCAACGATCTGCCTAACGCTGGTGGACTGCAGGGACAGCGGAGATCTGTATAGATTTAGAATGCTTGAGAGCCTGTGAAATGGCTAGATTGTAGATTTTGTTGGTACAGGGCTCGATCCAAGTTTCAAACAACTCTGAGAGATTCAAGTCGTCCAATTGATTTGTCTTATTAAGGTCGTCAATATAAACATTTACACAATTGAAACTATCCCCGCCATCTCATTAATTTGTCCCGGGATATCATTGATGTAGATATGAGTCGCAAGATGAGTGGTTTTGAGGTCTCATAACGTCTCTAGGTTACTTGCGAAATTTGGATTGCTGCATGCCATTCGCAGCACTTTCACATTTACTTAAATATGTACGGTATTAGTGTGGGCGCTGCATTTCGCATGCTGCACCGCCTTCATGGTGTCTTGGTTTCCACTTGTAAGTTTCAGCTTGGAAAATGTGAAATGTTGAAGGCCTTTGACAATCAAGTTGAGGCAAGATTTATTAATGGCTTACAAAAGCAATCTTAAGGTCATGCCGCCTGTGTTGAGTTATTCTTCCGCGTTTGATATATAATCACATACTCGTGCCTAGTGACGAATGAATGCGAATCTCTTTGCTATACTCACCACAAGTCCTCGATGCGACTTTTAGCGTAGGCATGCTGGCTTCATAAATAGCTGAGGTGCTCTTGCTCTTTTTCTACAACAAAATCTCCAATCTCTCCACAATGATCGCTCAAACTCTCTTCACTGTTGGTATTATCGCTGCTGCCTCTGCTGGCTGGGAAGACAAGAGCGAGACTGGCTCATGCAACACCGGCAAAGTCTCATGCTGTAAGTATAGGTATATGTAGCATGACACCATCTTACACTTCCAAGGTGACTTGAACAAAAAGGCTCAAACCAGCACCGGCAAGGATGACTCCCTCATCTCCACCGGCGACATTGCGTCCCAAGTCGGTGTTCAATGTGATCAGGTCCCACTCTTGATCGGAGTTGCTTTGCAAGGTTTGTACTCTTTCGTTGCACCCTAAACATTGCTGACAAAGCGCTAGATGAGTGTAAGAACACCCCGGTCTGTTGCGAGGGCATGGAATCAGACGGCCTCATTGGTTTGGGTGCGTAAATACGATTACTATGGTACCTTGCATTGCTAACTGACACTTCAGGTTGTACCCCTCTCCCAATCGTCTAAGCTTGGGTGCTGTCTTACGCTGGCGGTCTGTCCAGCGAACTCGAACACAATATTTAATATCGCATTTGTACTTCTATGCATAATTACTGGTCAAGTGAGCGCGTTTGTGATACGGGGATGGTGTGGTTGTGTGCTGAGTATGTGTTACGGAATTTGAATGCAATAATCGAATTACTGGAGCTACAAGGGGCTATATAACATGACCTTTCAAGCTGCTATATAGCAGTCAAAACTACACTGATTCTCGATGCATTAGACAACCTGAGACCAAGCCTAATAGGGTTAGCCTGATACTACAGGCAAAAAGTTTGACAGGAGAGGGATTCGAACCCTCGCTCTTTCGAACACGGATGCTGTCGCCTTAACCGTGCGCCTTAGACCACTCGGCCATCCTGCCTTGTACATGCTCTGATCTTTGTAAGCTTAAACTGCACACAAAGAGCAAGGCGCTGAGATTAATAAAAGAATTAAGTCTGAGATATATCAAAAGAAAAGCAGTTGTTTAAATAGTTTAGATTCTAGGTTTTATTTCCATTGTTTCGTTATCTTCATTGTTCTCGTGCATAATCATGCATAATCTTCATTGTTCTTTATTCTCATTGTTCTCACTAAAACCCATTGTCCTCCATGTTCCTGCGTCACGCCCGCCGTGCAACCTGATCGGGGAGGACCACATCCTTGTAGGCATATAAGGATGTGCCCCTACCTTCGTAGGTAATACAGCGGGCAAGATGCAGGAACAGGTAACATGACATCATGGTCGCTATGAGAACAATGAGAATAAAGAACAATGGAAAGACCCCAAATCTAAACTATTTGAACGATTCCTTTTTGACTCTTATACATTTAGACTTATTCTCTTATTAATCTCAGCGCCTTGCTCTTTGTGTGCACTTTAACCTCACAAAAATCAAGACGTTTACACTGCCTCTCTTCAGCAGGACGCTTGGCTATATATTAATCCGCAATTAAAGCGAGTGGCTCTGACAAGCAGGTGCGTGGTGGCGCAGCGGGGTCCGGCGGTTCAGTTTAATTGAGAATCACCAACAATTTGAAAATTGCGACGCTAATTAAGAAACGCTTCCAGTAAATTCAGCACCCCCTTTATCCTCATTTTTTAAAAATCATTGATGGACACAGTTATTAACACGTATCGTCTTAACATCAAAATCATATCTCATCATCATCAGCGCATCGGGAAGTGCGTGGGTGGGGGTCGGATGTTCGCGCCTGCGGTCGAGCTGTTTGGGTCCGAGAGCGGTTTCCGCGCGGGCTCGCTTCCCGCTGCACCACAAAGAGAGTGGAGAGCAGCGCTGTATGCGGGACCACGCGTTCGAGGCCGGTGGGTGAGAAAATTTGCTTTCGTCAATTATGGCGTCATGGCGCCCCTCCCTCAGCAACGTCACATTCGCAGAAGCTCGTCGGTAATTATATTCTATCCTGCAAGTGCGCGATGAATAGCGTTGAGTCAGATAATACATTGCGCAGCAGCACCAGCAAATGCACACGCTGACCGGGCATCCGAAAGCACAAACGCCATCGCTCCCCTGCACACTAAATATCCTCAGGAATTAAGGTGGTCGGATCATTAGCGCGTGTATGCGCAGATTACATAGCTGGAATTAAACTTCGTTGAGGGAGCAACACCAGCGGGATCGTCGTTGAGCCGGCAAAGAGAAAACCAGTCAAGGTATTTGATCACGACATCCTCCTTATCCTCGCAAAGCCCATTCTTGCTTGAATACCTCTAGACATAGTGAGTTCTGTCAAATAAAAGCCACCAATCGAGGACAGAGTGGTCTACATGGTTAAGGTATCTGTTGAGCGCAGTGAGCATCGTGGTGGACTCGGCCTTCGCAGGAAGAACAAGGCTATTGCCAACAAAATCTCTGAGTAACAAACAGCTTGAACCGATAGCAGCAGAGTGCTTTTGATGAGTGTAGCAACCTGCAGGACTATTTGGCCTGCTAATCTGGAATATTCCACATTTAGCCAGCGCAACCGACCCCCACAATAAGCTACGTAAAGAGCGCACAGCACACAAGCAAAAACACTGTAACCACCTTCGCACACCCTGTCACCGCTAGCTAGTGCCCCGTTCGAGCCCAAAAGCACATGACAGAAAAGGTATCATAACATCTGGAATACCTTTGTGCATTATGCTTTCGAAAGGAACCGCTTACGGTTAATTTTATTCTTACTCGACACTCGCTCGAGCCGCGTTCCCGAACTCGGCAGTCCTGACTTAAACCATGGACACGGTTTCAGTTTTGTGTAGAATGATGCGATTTTTGATTTGGGGTTTGCTTTTAGAAAATTAGTGAAATTATCAATATTCGTGGTCGAAACAGTAACAAGATTAAAATCATTAATCCCAATGTTAACTAATAAGGATAGTCCTGTGCTTTTGATTGTCGTTTTATGGAGCCTAGCTTTGATTTTTCTATTATTTTATTTTGGTGGAAGGATATTTCCTAGGAATTCATATATTCAGATTTCACCACCTAATAAACCCGCTAGAGCTGAACAATCGAACCCAAAAGCCAAGTGTTTTGAACATGTTATCGTCGTTCTGGTGCTATCAATCCCACTACTCCCCCAATCGACGTGAGCTTTAACAGCTATATCACCGTACCAAATCTTAGGTGGTACAATACACTGAAAGACTACTTAGCACCCTGCATAACTCCTGGAACATTTTTCCTGGCTGTCGTTATCTCCGAAAAGCTGTTTGTTTACAAAGCGCTAATGAATAATGACTTGGGCAAAATAACCCCTTCAGTTTAGTCTTGCTAACAATTATGGGGACATCATTTGGGACTTTAATTTTCCACACTTTTACGTCCTTCACCGTGAAATACAGCTACTTTATGACAGATAGAAGTATATGGGATAGCTCCAAAGTTAATAATTTGATTAATAATTGGATTGTCATCTCTACGATTGTGTTTGTTGCGTCACGCGGTTGCATTGAGGTATTGGACGCGCGCAGCCCGGAGAAGCCGGGTATAACACCAATTGAGAAGGGTGCTCAGGCAGTAGACAAAAAGGGAGAGAGGAAGAGACAGAGAAAACAGAGAAGACAAAGACAATTGGAGCAGCTGATTCAGCGAGCGGGAAGGCATCGTTAGAGAAGGCAGGTAATCCAGTTGAGGGATCTTGAGCCTATGTTACCGGTCATTGAGGGTTGGGATTAGTATACATGGATAGTACATAGTGTCGTAAACAGGAGAGTGAAACGAGCGAAACGAGCAGAACGAGCAACCACCCAGACGCGTTAGTGATGTCGTCGAGAACCAGCCTATCCAATTTATCGTAAACGAGCTTTCCGATATCCTTAGCCCTGCAATCGCATTTCCCCTTCACGATGAGGAATCCGCTGGCTGAGCTGGTGAATTCGATTTTATCGGCGACGGATTGCACACTCGCACAAAGTGCATCGAGCCGCTTCGCGTGCACGCCGGACGTTACCTTGAGGCTGACGAGGTTTCCGACGAAAGCGTTGTAATTCTGCACAGGCTTCGTCTCGGTGAGGAGAGACCTTGTGCTGTACAATGTACAATTCTAATTCAATGATGCTATTAGGTATAATTGCTTACATGCGACGTCTATGTGATGTTCTTCGTGCTTGCGTGGTTGTGGTGGCGAGAGGCTGTGCAGGGTGGATGATAGCCTGCGCGAAGCTACCGAGGCTGTCAACGCTGCCATTACTCAGTCCCCCCTCTTCTCCGTCAGCCTTACGTTTTTTTAGGTTAGAATGAAAGGCGAGATCGCCATCGGCATCAACACTACCCTCATCCCCAACATCGGCCACTGAGTTCATGCCCATAATCTGATCCACGGTGCGCAAGGACCTCCTGAACTGATACGCAAGCACAGGGCCCGCCTCCAGGCCATCTCCAGGCACGTTCCTCTCGTACTCAAGCGGTATGTGCTTGTTAGCGTGAAGGAGGTGATCGTTAACGAGGCGGGCGTCGAGCCACTTATGCAGTTGGGGGGCGTTGAACTGCACGCGCCTATCACCGCCCTCAGACTCGGGAATCTGGTCGAGCAGCTCCCACGTGTGGCTTGTTTGGCTGGCGGCGGAGGGCGTCTGGGGTGGGGGGAGCAGTCGTATGACCTCCGACGAGAGAGAAGCATTCGCAGTGTCCACCGCATCGAATGCCTTCCGTGGCGTTTCTGGCAGAGCGTCGAGAATGGCTACTGCGGTGTCGTACGTCGTCTCGTCGTGCACCGCGGTGAGACGGCGCAGAAGGTACGGGAGCACTGCATCGCCGAGTCCGAGATAAGGACTATTCAGGTCGGTCGACGCGTCGGGCGTGCGCAGCAGCAACTGCAGCAACTTGCACAACACCTCGAGCGACTGCCCGTCGTTATCACTATTACTCCCACTCCCGCTGTCTTCGACAACCTCGCCGTTCTCCAGTGCTTCCTCGCGCGGAGCAAAGATTGCGTGGAAACAGCTCGTCAGATTGGTGACTGTATTGGTGTATATGTCCTTATCGAAAGCCGGTAAGACGGCTTTATGAAAGAGGAGAACGTCAGATATAGACTCGACAGTGGCGTATATTTCAGCGGCGACACGCGACTCATCCGCCAGCCAATTAGCGTCGATAGCGTTCTTGAGAGAGAGCAGGAGCCTCAAGATCTTGTCGAAGCTCATGTTGGCGAGCTGCAAAGGGGTTGTTAGCGGAAATGAACACCTCACTACACTTGCACCCACCTCAGTGCCCGCGCGGCCATTAATGCCTCTCAGCATATCCTTCACCAGTCCGTTGGCCTGCATCTTGGGTAGCAGGTCGGACATGACAGCGCGACACGTCTGCGCGTGGCTGCCGTAATTAAGGACGATCCGGAGGGCAATCTTGTGCCGACAGAACGTCCATGGGTTCGCCTCCGAGGTGAGCGCGGCGATATCGCAGTCGGTCGTGTCTGCAGGTCCGAACGAGGTGAGTGCCTTGAGTGTGTCGATGGACAGCTGCTGCGTGTGTACGGTTGCACGCGACATGAGGGCGTCGTACACGCTGTCCATGTTGCGCATGCACGCGGCCGCGAAGACCTTCTGAGCGGACAGCGCCTCGCGGAGAGCCCTGCAGCTGTTTTTGGCAGATTCTGAGAGATGGGGGGGATTTCCATCGGCGCACTCATTCCCGTTCCCGCTCCCGCCCACTTCGAGTGCGACGAGGGTGGGCAGGACTTGAGCGAGTCTGGCGAGGTGCGGCTGTCTGTAAGCCTTCCCTCTGCGAGTGACGAGGTGTTGATAATCGCTGAGCACCATGGGCGGCTGCGTCTCAGGCGCCAGCACCGCCAGCAGTATATTGTTAAGACAGACCACCACCTTTGCGCCCACCCCGCGCGACATCAGGGGCAGATAGACGTCCTCGATAAAAGCGGTAGTTTGGACGACCCTTCGCACGACCATCTGAACGACTATGCTTTTTACTGCATCGCTCAGCTCCAGCTCCCCCCCAAGCAGAGTCTGTGGATGAGCAGCGAGACTCGCCGTAATGTACCGCTCGAGCCCGCCCGCAGCGCGGTTGTTGACTTCGTGTAGGAACACCGCGAAGCAAGTGAGGTGGTGCTTAGTAATAGCGATGTCGCGAGCGTGGCCGACGCGCAGCGCATCGAGAACTCCCTCCCACACCGACGCACCCCATTGGGTATGTGCCGAGTGACGGTACCACAGCGTCGTCGCCAGGTCTGCTGCGTTTGCCGCACTGTTGTCATGTAGCAGCATCTGCACATCCGCAATGCTTCGCGGGGGGGCGGATGACGACACGGTCGTCGTGAGGGACTTTTCCAGCGAGGAGACGGCTTCCTGCACTGGTCGCTCGAGGTGCGCAGGTAGCTGCATGTGCTCTCGCGCTGTCACGAGCAGAAGTACCAGCGGTCGTACTTGCCCCCCACTTGAGTGGACCATGTCATACTTGGCTATGAACTTCACTGTCAGCGCCGCCATCGCGTTCATACTAACCAGCACCGTCCAGCTGCGGCGGATTGCGTCCATCAGCAAGAACAATACCTGACGGTTATTTATCGTCGGTAGCAAACCCTCTATCAGTGCGTGGACCGATGCGTAGTCTTCAAAGTACTCTAGTATGCTGATGATAGTAGCGAGCTCTTCCACACCTAACCTCGATTCGCCCGTTTTAGCATCGGTAAAGGCTGCAACTGATGGGAGTAGGTTGCTGTGTATAGCGCGGTACTGGTAGAAGAGCGGTAATTTCTTGTATGGGCTGAATGTATTCTCCAAATCGAGTGTGGTGATTGCAGGGATACTCTCCGTCTTCTTATACAGCCTGGGTAAGAGTGCGCGAAAATTGCGCGTAAGATTTTCCATTGATTTCTCGCAACTAGCGTTGACATCGCAATCCATGGCCATACGGCGGAGATTGACAACAGATATCGAAGCATCGAAGAGAGGCATGTTGAGAAGTACGTTTGAGTGAATGGCCTTCTTTTTCGGGTTGGCCATCAGTCCGGATGCTATAATATGCTGCATGTACAGACTGTAGTTGAAAACGCGTCTCCTAACAAGCTCGCTGAGAAGCTTATGGATATCACACTCTCTGCGCCCCCTAGACTCCCCTTCTAGCCAAACAAAAACGAGATGCTGTATTTCGTGTTTAATAGCGTCTTTTGAGCAAGGTTTTTGGTTGAGTTTGAGTTGAAGAGAGACGTAGAAACGCAGGAGAGTAGCAACAGCGTAGCATCTGTGCTGGCTGCTGCGGTAGTCGCTGACAGCCCATTCGAGCAAAGTATTTACTTTATCTGTAAAAGAGCGTGCGTTGCTGTGATTGCTAGGCTCGAAAAAGTCCAACGCCAAGGCACGTATGTTGGTATGGGTGTTAATTGAATCAAGGACGTTGATATCGCGCATGAGGGATTGACGAGGGCAGTAGTGTGTGTATGTGTGTGCCTTATCTTTGTTACCGTAAAGTAGTCTGTTATTGCGCAGCTTGATTTCCGGGTAAATAGAATGCGTGTGGAGCAGGGACTGAAACAGGGGTGAAAATTCCAGCCAGAGTTTTGGGGATATGAATGAATACGAAAAGCGATCAAATGTGAGCTGGTTGTGATGTTATTGGAGGCGATTCTAATGTGGATGTTCACCTACAACGATAATACGCTCGAGTGAGCGAGCAAGACAAGTCAAGTGCTCATTGGCATGAGCCACCCTGAGCTCGATGATACGGCGACATGCAGCTGCCACTAAAACATTACTGAGTTGATGCGACGAGTAGAAAGCTTCAATGTTCTCCAGCGCGAGTGTAGCAATCAGAGGGAGTCTAGCGAGATGGATGTGCTTGAGGTGGTTTAACAGCCACTGATGGAGAGTGAGACTATCTAATAAGCCATTAGCGATGAAAGCGCGTAGAATGTCGAGTCTGTGTGCTGGGTTAGAAGGAGAATCACCACCAACATTACCAACTCACAAGAAAGAAAACTGAGAAAGCCAGGAATGGCTGTTCAAGTGATTCGTGGTGGATGAGCCGTTTGGAGTGCTTGTACTCTCAGGAATCGGAAGCTCAACAAGCTTACTAGATAGGCGCTGAGTGAGGAGATTGGACCATTCCATCGATAGCTGCGTGTAGTTGGAGGATTGTCTGCTAGCTAGCTTGACCAGCCAAACGGATCTCTGTGGATCCACGTGGTGCTGTTCCAGGTGATTTAGGATAGATTCTGGCTTTAGGTTCCTGGGGAGTTTAAGGAGAGATTGAAGCGGGATTTCGGGAGATGCGAGCTGCTGGAAGTATATATGAGCATCCGCACCACCGCCATCTCTAATATAGTTTGATTGCGGGTGATTTCGGGTGTGTCGAATGTCCAATGCTGATTTGAAGATGAAATTTAGATTTTGAGCAACGTTATTGGTTTGTAGGCTGTCTATAATTAGCTGGTGGCAGCTAAACGTTTCGTTCTGTACCGCTGGGGGCGCTGTGTAGCCATTCCGCACGGTACTCTGGTTGATGATATCCTCATCCTTGCCTGGAATTGGTGGCTGGTAATCTGGATATTCTAATGACGTAGAGGAGATTGGCAGCCGCCAATTCGGTGGTTTTTGTTCGTAGATACTCAATCTGCTCATGAGATTTCCATTCGAGTCGTTCGCGGCAGCGGCACGGCTAGTGGATGTTGATTTGGAAAATTGCAAGTATAGTAAAAATGTTTTGAAGGTGCCTTGTTGCAAATGTATATCAAATGCAATTATATATCACTGCTTGTACAAAATTACTCTCGTTATGTCATGAAGATTTTCACTCTACTTGAACTTCACAATCAGCGCAGCAGAAGGGACTAAATCGAGTTGCTTTAATGATTTGCTCATTTCATCATCTGTGAAGGTGCGTGCAGGGAAAGTAGTAGAGAAAGTCAGATTGGAAGCCTCAACCATCTGTTGAGTAGCGATGAAGTCACTAACATCTGTGAGAGTATTGTCGACCTTGAGGGTGGTTGTGAGTGGTCCACTAGGAGTACGTAGCTGAAGTCTCGTATCCGTAGCATTTGAAGTGGATACCTTAGGGATCACTGGCTTTGATGGTTGTGCGGGTGTTGCTGTATCAACCTTACCCTCCCTTAAAGCCTTATCCTTGGCAGCCTTCTCAGCTCTCTCCCTCTTATCAGCTTCAATTTGCTGCTTGACGCGTGCCATAGCCTTCTTATCCTCCTCTTTCTCCTTTTTCTTCTTTTCAAGATCTTTTTTAAGCTCCTTTGCTTTCAACTCCTCTCTAACAGCTTGATCTTCCTGTGAAAAAGGGGAAATAAGAAAAGATTGTGCAGATTCAGTCAACCAACCTTTCCACGCTGTACCCTTATGAGCTCATTCCTCTTATCGTCCTCTTTACCAGCTTCAGCCTGTACCTTGCGCTTTTCGTCCATTTTAGATTTGAGCTGTTGGAGACGCTCAGCCTTCTCATCCTCAGTCAGAGGTTTGATTTCCTCTGTGGATTGAGAGAAAGAGGCGTGGCCAGATTTCTCAGCGTGGTAGCCAGCCAGAGCCTGGTCTTTGAAGAGTTTGTTGCAGTCGTCGCATCTGATGCTTGCTGGCTTCGCGGTGTGAGTGGGGAGTGCTGAGAAGACAGAGAAGACGAGGAATACACACCACTTGTTCTGCATGTTCTGCCTGCTCTGAAATATCTGGGACTTGATTCTCCGCATTTGATTCAATGTGATCAAGGACAACATCCATATTGCCGTTCTTTGTGGCTGATTGTAGTTGAGATTGATTATGTCACGAACAATCGAACACACCACTCAAAGCCCAATCAACACGCGCCTCTTCAAATCCCATAGCCATTAAGTCTTGCTTGCTAGCCATTTTGATGATGGAAGTTTGGGTTCAAAGAGGAATCCACTCTTGTTTACACACTCCAATGAGATATGCCTGTGTTAGCCTTATAATCTGTGGTTTAATCAACAGCCTCCACAGCCTATCAAACCAGGGTGTTGCTAATGTCCTCGAGCATCCCAGTGATTCTGATAGGTATTGCAGCGTGAGTGATATGGCCCTGATAGCCTTGGATACAACCCAATAACACACAGACAGCCTTCTGGCCAAATTGAAGACGCGTACTGCCTCTATGAGACCATTGAGGACGCTACTAGCAACCTCTACGAGCCACTTAGCCACCTCGTACACACGCCTTTCTTCCGTTATTTCAAGGTGGACCTCTTTGAAGAGTGCCCATTCTGGCAGGAAGACTCTCTCTGCATGAGCAGAGACTGTGGCGTTGAAACTGAGGAAGACGAGGTATGTAAGACATGCCAGCGCACTATCTGTCCCCTAAATAAACCCAAATAGTCTAAAATTCCTCATAAATGGCGAGCACAAGCACTTTCAAGCCTCAACGACGTTCAAGATGCCAACGACAGCAATCATCCAGCGTGTTTTGCACGCGTGTCTGATTTCTGCTACACTCCAGACGATTCTTCTCCTTCAGGAGTGTACGTTGATCTTGCACGGAATCCTGAACGTTTTACGGGGTATTCAGGACCATCTGCGCAGCGCGTATGGGATACCATTTACAAGGAGAACTGCTTCGGCGTGGCTGACTTCTTTGAGTCTTCAGGAAGGCTACAGAGTGGCGTAGCCCAGGTCAGTCAGGCACCACCCTCACTCGGTCTGTTGACGGGCGCTGGTGGCGCTTTAGGTGCTGGGCAACCAGGTCTCGAACCCGGCTTTGATATCGATCTCGACGGCGAGAACGACATGTGTGTGGAGAAGAGGGTGTACTACAAGCTCATTAGCGGATTGCACTCCTCTATATCCATGCACATATGCTCCGAGTGGCTCAACCAGGAGACTGGCGAATGGGTGCGTTTGAGTAGAATTTTCAAGTTTTTCACCACACTCACACACCCGTTCCAGAGTCCAAATTTGGATTGCTTCACCACTAAACTCTCGCAGTATCCGGAAAGGATACAGAATATATACTTCTTGCACGCCCTACTCACACGCGCCGTCGCAAGAGCTAGGCCTCTCCTCGATCACTATGACACGTCAGTTGGAGATGGCATAGCAGATGCGCTCACGCGTCAGTACATGAACGATACAATGGACAGAGTTACAGCGTGCGGGGATACTTTCCAAGAGGGTACCATCTTTGATGGTGGTCCCGGCAAGCAGATACTCAAGGAGGAATTCAAGGCACATTTCCGGAACGTGTCGCGGATAATGGATTGCGTCGGTTGCGATAAGTGCAGACTCTGGGGTAAAGTGCAAGTGAGTGGGATAGGCGCGGCGTTGAAAATACTATTCGGATTGGATGGAGATGAAATCAAGTAGGTAAGATAGAGCGTCTGTGTAAGGCTAACCAAGTACAGACAGCCGAATACACTACAACGCTCAGAAGTGGTGGCGCTGTTCAATACATTCCATAGAATATCCGAATCTATTGAGAATATAGAGGTGTTTAGGAAGCTGTACGAGGCGAGGAAGACGGGGGTAGCGACACAGGCAGCAACAGAAAACACTGAGTATACTGAGTATACCGTGTATACATGGGTGACTAGATTTGGCTGGCTAGTCTACGATTCACTTGCCAACGCCGCTCGCATCCTCACTGAGCACGCTAACACAGTGAAAGAGTACGCGCGGGAGAAAATAATGACCAGAGACAGCGCCCGTACGCCAGAGCTGTAACTTGTAAAATAGACTAAACGATAAACCGACGCGATGAATTACCCAACTTCTTGCTTCATTACAGTCGCGTACGAATCGAGAGGCATGTCAGCAAACAAGAAAGGAGGACGCAAGTGAGTGTGCGGAGGATATCAGCGGGGATTAATTATATTTACAATTGGATAAACGCAGGTCAGAGCCATTCGTCGCGGGAGACGCAGAGCACAAGTACAACGAGGGCGATATCGTGCTTGGAAAGATCAAAGGCTATCCAGCGTGGCCGGGGAAGGTTAGTGGGTGTGTTTGTACGCGTTGGATACACACTCACTCTCCCACTCACCCAGATTATCAAGTCGGAGAACGTCCCACCCCGCGTTCAGAGAGACAAGCCTAAGAAGAAGAAGGACGTCTACGCTATACGCTTCTATCCCACGGGCGAGTATATGTGGGCGAATACAAAGGAGATGAGCGCCCTCACCAAAGGCGAAATCACAAAGTACCTCGACGACAGCAGCAAGAAGCGCGAGGGCGATTTGCGCAAGGGCTATCAGATCGCTCTCGATCCCGTCGACTGGGAGGAGGAGCACGAGAGAAGACTGGCTGAGATGGAAGCAGAGGACGAGTTGGACGATGAGGAGGACGAGGAGGCCGCTGGCAGCAAGCGTCGCAGTAAGGGTACTGGAAAGAGCTCCGCTAAGAAGACAAAGACGGAACATAGAAAAACTAACAAGGTTACTGGCAGCGACGTCGAAGATGAGACGGATGAGCCAACAAAGGTTAAGTCTTGGAGACACGAGTTGCAGCGTATCTTCTTGGGCTTTGAACCCGTCAAGGCTGAAGTTATGCCTAAAGCTGATGCTCAGTATAAGATGATCGAGGGTGATAGCGATGTGTCTGTCGAAGCGATTACTACTTCTAAGATTAACAAGGTACTCAAGCGTATCATTGGAATGGAGAATATTCCAGAGGACAATGAGTACAAGATTCGTGAGCGTTCACAGGTGCTCTACGACAAATTTGAGAAGATACTGGCTGCTAATGGTGCCGATGAAAAGAAGGAGGAAGAAGAAGGCGAGAAGGAGGAGAAAAAGGAGGGTGAGCAAGGTGATAAGAAGGAAGGTGAGCAAGAGGAGATGAAGGTAGATGAGGAAAAGAAAGAAGAAAATGATAGCAAGGAAGAAAAAGTCGATGAGAAGGTCGATGAAAATGCCGATAAGCCAGCGGAGGAGGATAAGGAAGATAAGAAGGAGGATAAGAAGGAGAATACAGACAATGCAAACAATTCAAACCAAGCAGACAACACATCAAACCCAGAGAACACTGAGAAACCAGCTGATCAGGGCACTCAAGACACCTCAAAGCCAGATGAAAAAGCTGAAAAAACAACAGAAAATGGCACAGGGCCAGAGTAAACGGGGAAATGAATAAAACAAGCGTCCATAATAACAAATATAAAGTATTTTGAATATTGCGTTTCAAGTACATGTGTGAATGGTATGATGTGTGCTGGGAGGTGTGCAATGGGGAGGCATATATAAACGTATAGACTACAAGTCACACCAACACCCAATAAAGAACTAGTTAATATCAAAATTTGGGTTTGTAAAACTTGAAAGCTGCGTCCGTAGTGCCTCAAACAGAAACCACCAATGAGTAGCCAAGAAGACGGACACTCAATTCCAGAGAGAAAAGTGCGTTAAACCTAACTTAACCTAATAAACGACTAATAGCTCGAATCAGGGCGCTGCAGGAGCTCCTACGCCACAGAACAGTTAGTCATCCAAATTACTCAGAAATAATCTCAGACGATGTACAGCTCCACTCAACGCTGCACCACTTGGAAGAGAGGGTTATTCCAGGCCAACTGTCGCTGCAATTGGCGAAGATGAAGCTGGTGAATCCTCTGCAGCAGCCAATTTGCCTGTAGGCGCACTCCAGCAATTGATGCAAGGTAAAGGCTTATAATGCTGCCCGTAAATCATCTCATACTCAATGCAGGCCGCCTCGCTGGCTTAGTTGGAAAATCATCAGGCTACATCGAATCACTCCCCGAGGAAGTCAAGCAGCGCGTTTCTGCATTGAAAGCTTTACAATCTGATCACAACAAGATTGAATCTCAGTTCCAAAAAGAAATTCTCGAGTTAGAGAAGAAGTTTGCGCTCCGTTATGAACCAATTTACCAGCGTCGTAAGATGCTTATTGCCGGTGAACAGGAGCCTTCGCCTGAGGAGCTTATCAAGGGCGAAGAGGTGGATAAAGAGGATGGTCTTCAATTAGAAACCGACGAACAAGCCCCTCAAGCATCGGAATCATCTAAGCAACTCGGCGACGTTAAAGGTATCCCTCAATTCTGGTTGACTGCCCTTCAAAATCACCCAGGAATTGCTGATGTAATTAATGAGCGTGACAATGAGGCTTTAGAGCGTCTGGTTGACATTAGACTGTCGTACCTTCCACAACCTGGCTCAGAATCTCAACAAGCTGGCTTCCAGCTCACTTTCCACTTTGCGGAGAATGACTACTTCTCCAACTCAGCTCTTACAAAGACTTACTACTACCAAGATGAAGTTGGCTACACTGGTGACTTTATCTACGACAGAGCTGAGGGCTGTGAGATCAGTTGGAAGGGTGAAGACGGCGAAAAAGACCTCACTAAGCGCATCGAAGTAAAGAAGCAGCGCAACAAAAACACTAACAGAACCAGAGTCGTTAAGAAGGTTGTCCCAGATGACTCATTTTTCAACTTTTTCAATCCACCAAAGCCACCACATGCGCGTATCGAGGAGAACGAAGATGAAGAGGAGGAGGATGAAATGGCAGAGCTCGATGAGAGATTAGAGATGGACTTTTCGTTGGGTGAGGAATTGAAGGAGAGAGTTATACCACGCGCAGTCGACTACTTCACTGGCAAAGCACTCGAATTCACTAATATGGCGGATGACGAGGACTTTGAGAGTGAGGATGAGGATGAGGATGAAGACGACGATGATGACGAAGATGCTCCTCAACCTCCTCCACAAGGTGAGGGTGGTGACTGTAAGAACCAATAAGCACATAATTAGTAAACGTACAAGTCGAAAACTTAAATCCTTTGTTCTTGTTATAATTTCGATTCATTCTTCTTAACGGTTATGCTTGTTGGTGTTTTGGCAAGAATGTCTTGGTCAGCTTGTAGGTCAAGTGACATATAATGTGCCTGCGCGTGAGAATCTGCATTATTTTCTTGGCTTATACATTCATGTCGTTTGCAAGTGATCTAGTGAAGCTATATCCCTCTGGACTATTCGATCCGACAAGATTCTACTGCCAGAAGCTGGACCTTACAGTGGTACACCGACAAGTAGCCGAAAAGGAGGAAATAGCATTGCTAAGTGGGGGAATGTGGCCAATTTTCACACTTAGAGGAGGTGTGCATGATATACAAGATGCTAAAGCAGCGAATAGGTTTGTTTATACAGAGATTGAATCTCATTTTCCGCAAATACGTATTGAAAAGAGGCCATCAACGCACATTCACAGTATTTCGAACGCTAATGGACCGCATTGGGTTTACATTGCAAATAGATTTAGAGATTTGCAAGGCAAGTGTCTTGGCTCATTCCACGAGGGGAGTCACTCAGATAGGCGAAATCCGTATATAGTGCTTAGCCAGTGTGTGGAAGAGCGCAAATCGTTGAATAACGTTGATCTCGTTATCTTCTGTGTTCTTTTGCTTGAGAAGCAGCTACGTAATCGAATCAAGAAGAGTAATAGGAAGTATAAGCAATTGGTTAGGCGGTATGGTCCATTCCAAAATGATGTTTAGGCAATTGATTTACTTGGTTCATTTATTTATTTTCATTTCCCTTTTTATGCGTTTCCTTTGTCTCATACTGCGAACATGTGGAAAATATCCTCACGGGGAATATCAACGAATACACTGAGGTTTCAGTCTAGAGTTGCGTTTAAGCCCCCATCGGCATCGGCATCGGCATCACCAGCAACGCAGAAACCACAACAATATCCACAACAACAGCCACAACAAGAACTACAACAGCAGCCGGAAGACGCGACATTGTTCAGTGATGACTGGAGTAAGAGCTTTAGTGGCCTTTCCACCCAGCGCGTTGAACCTGAAGTGGAGAAGTTGCTCACACAACCAGTCGACCAGCTTGACGTTGAAGTGAAGCCCGGTGGGTGAAAACAATGAATCTCAACAGCCGATTTAACCGGTTTATTATGATAGATGGCTTGATATACCTCCCTGAAATTAAATACAGACGCATACTCAATAAGGCTTTTGGTCCAGGTGGATGGGGATTGGCACCACGTACGAGCGTACAAGTCGATAGTAAAATAGTTAGCAGAGAATACGCACTGGTTTGTGGTGGTAGACTATTCTCCATCGCTCGTGGAGAACAGGAGTACTTTGATCCAACGGGAATATCAACCGCGACAGAAGCGGCTAAATCGAATGCACTCATGAGATGCTGCAAGGATCTTGGAATTGCCAGTGAACTCTGGTGAGTTTTTCGTGCTTCTGTGCTTGCTATTACGCGTGCTGTTGCTCGAATAAGCTCACAAAGAAATCCACAAACCAGGGATCCTCGATTCATACGCGAATTTAAAGCAAAACACGCTATTGAAGTTTGGGGTGAAGATCGCAGTGGTAAAAAGTAAGGATAAGCACATATCCTCTCCAACGGCTTCTGACATTACATCGCGACAGAAAGAAGCTCTGGCGTCGCAAAGATAGCCCAAAGCTAACATATCCATACAAGGAAGCGTAAGAAATTGTACTTGACATGTATTTTTGAATTTCATATATACACCTTCTCTTGAATCAACCAAGCCATGTCGTTAGAAGCATTCTACAAGCCATTGGATGAAGCGCGTAGCTGTATAAATGAATGGCTTACCAAAGACGCAGAACAAATACCAGAATTGGATGATTTGATTAATTGTGAGTCGGTAGATATTACCAGATGTTACCAGCTACAACAACCCGCTAACACCTTATACAGCATCCGCAAGCACCTCTTACACACTCCCACCTTCCCCTTCCTGGAACGCGTTCGTTAAGCGCAAAACTATCCACCTCCCAGATAGCCTGTTCGAGCAATACAACAGACTGCAATGCCGTTGCTTCATGGGCTTGTTCCCAGATATCGACAGAGCTTGGATCACTATAGACAACAAGCTCTACTTGTGGGATTACGTCGATGGCATTGACTTTGCCTCGTACGAAGATTTACCAGAACTCATAGTCACCGTTGGTCTCGTTAAGCCAAAGCCTGGCGTCTTCGTAGAAACTATCAAGCATTTACTCGTAATTTGCACTTCTTCTACCGTGTCTTTGTTGGGTCTCTCTGCCGCTCCTTCCCCGTCCAGGGAGCTGGCTCTGTACTCCACTGGGATATCCGTAAACACGGATGGCGTCGATATGGTCTCAATTACTAGCACCCAAGACGGTAGAATCTTCCTCTCTGGTTCTGACAGTTGTCTCTACGAACTCAACTACCAAGCTGAAGAAGGCTGGTTCAAGAGTCGCTGCAGCTTGTCGAATCACTCTGCCTCCCCTATTGCTAACTTTGTGCCTACGTTCCTCAAGCAATCTTCTACTGATCCTATCATTGGTTTGGCCATCGATGACGCCCGGAATTGCCTCTACACACTCTCTTCAAACTCCGTTATCGAGCTATACCACCTTGGTAAGGATGGCCACGCTACTCAAAAGGTCGCATCCGCTTCTGAAATCGCCAGACAGGCTGCCATGCTCTGTCCCGGTTTCCCTCAGATATTAGATCAGCGCACTTTCTCCATTAAGCGCATTTTCGTCATTTCACCAGCAGAGTCCTCGTCTGTTCACTTGATGGCTGTTACTTCCACCGGCGTCAGACTCTACTTTACACACCATCGTCGCTCATATGGCTTTTACATGACCCCTTCGCCCTCTGCCGCTCCAACTGGTCTCGAATTGCTCCACGTCAGACCTCCTCCTCAGTCCACCCAGCCTAATCAGAACACTATTAAGAATCTTATCAGCTCCGATTCTATCTACTACGGTCACGGTTTGTACATTGCTGCATCAGCAAACTCTGAAGAATTTGACAGCTTGTTATGCACAGGCCAGGACGTCGGTACTGCTGGTTTGACTATACCACAGCAACAACCGGTAGCACCAACAGTGACGACAACAACAACCGCAAATGTCAGACCATCTCTTGTCGAAGGTGCCTCCAATCTTATCTTGGAAGGTAGGACATGGGCAATTGGCGAAGAGAGCAGCATGTTAGCTAATGCAAATAAACTTCCCCAATCAATGCGCAAAGGATTACAAGGCAAGGAGCAAGTAGCGATGAGTGAGCTGACGGTACAAACAGCTTATCTTCCAAGACGCTTTCTTGTTCTTACCAACATGGGATTGAGTGTAATAGCAAAACAGCGTCCAGTCGACGTTTTGAGAAACATCCTCGAATCAAGCAGCACTAGTAGCAGAGATCAAGAAATTGTCTCCTTCTTCAACAATTTCGGTAAAGATCAGTCATGTGCAATGGCATTGGCGATTGCTGCTGGTAACCCAATTGCTCTGTCGATGGGTGAGGACCTCTATCCGGCTGGATCAAATATCGCAACTGAGCCTGCTCCTCCTGCAACTCTCTCCGCCGATATCACTCAGAGTGCCAGAAGACTCTTTTATGACTTTGGCGGTAGGCCTGTCTCCATTGATAGAGGATACCCAGCTGCGGCTACGAGTATGAATTTAGATGGTGAGGTGGTTTGTTTGCAGTCGTTTACAAGCTGACATTTTTAATAGCTCTCTCTACAAATACTGAAATATTGTTTAGTGGTCGTCACAACGGATTGGTTCTCTACCTCTCACGCCTCTTGCGTCCAATATGGAAGGAGAAGGTGACCAAGTTATCCCCAACCAATTTCAACCTTCGTCGCCAAATTAGTAACATCTCAGATACGCTTTTGTCCAATGCGCAGAGGAATATAGCAGATTTACAAGTTTTCTTAAAAAGCAATCAGCAATTATTCGCAACGACAGCAGGCGACTCACGCGATCGCACTGATCAGTCCGCATGGAAAGCTGAGCATGCGTCTTTGATTGGTATTGATCATCTTATAAAGCAGTGCATCGAAGGCATATCCTTCATTCTACTGCTTATCGACTATAACCTCTCGGAAACGCTTTCACACTGTGAACAAAATCTTCAAGAGCAGTTCCTTAATCTGACATACGTCGATTTGTTGACAACAAACCACGGCCGGGATATCGCAAGAAATGTCGTAAATGAAGTAATTAATCAGCAAATTTCGAAACAAATCTCAATCGACGCTATCTCCGAAATTCTTCAACAACGTTGCGGATCTTTCTGTTCAGCAGACGATGTCTTGCTGTATAAAGCCATCGAGAATGTTAGAAAAGCACACGAAACAAGAGATAAAGCTGAGCGTGGTACCATTTTAAGAGAGAGTTTGAGATTGTTTGGAAAGGCAGCCAGAAATTTATCCATCGAGAAGCTCAAAGAGGTTATCACGGAGTATAGACTGTTAGAATTTGCATCTGGAGCTATAGATTTGTCGCTCATCTGCGCAAGAGAGTGGGACGCAGCGGAGTTAGGATTACAATTCTGGAATGAGGGCAGAAGTGTTTATTTCCAACCTAACAGTAAACTGGAAGTCCCTATCGAGGTGCACAATGATACTAGAGTACATGCATACAAGCGCCGTCAGAGCTGTTACGAGTGCATTTTCGAAACACTTGCCGAGGCTAAGGACAAGGTGGAGCAGGCAGTGTCGAAACATGAAAGAGTGGAAGAGGTCGAGCAGTACCGTCGCAATGCGTTTAGACGTGCGATAGAATCATATGACGCTGTTTTCCACTCTTGTTTTTATGATTGGTTGGTTTCTCAGGGTCTGACTGATCTCCTGCTAGACATACAGTCGCCATATCTCGAACAACATCTCATGAGAGACCCACTCACACTCGAGAAATGCGAGCTGCTTTGGCAGTTTTACGTGCGCAGGTCGCGTTTCTACGATGCAGCCAGAGTTTTAGCATCTCTGGCAGATTCTGTCGAGTTCCCCTTATCTTTATCGAGACGTCTCGAGTACCTCTCACTCGCACTTTCGAATGCAAAATCACAACGTCATCCCGCTTCTGCGTCTGATATTGGTGATGTAGAGTTCATGACCAACCTCGAGGAAAAGATTGAGGTTGCACAAGTACAGGTGGAGATCTACCGTGCAGTGAAGGAACACACGGAAGTTGCGCCCGACGCCAAGCAAAATATGCAACAAATGCTCGAACAGCGTTTGTATAATGTCAGTGAGCTTTTCAGAGAGTTCGCTGAACCACTAGCTTTGCTTGAGGTGCAGCTACTTATTTTCCACATTGCTGATTTCTACGACCCTAGTCTGATAGCGCAGACATGGGAAGTGTTAGTGGAACACACTCACTATTTAAATGTGGAGCTGCAGCCTGATGAGCGATTTGATGCTGTTGCTGGGGTAGTGTACTCACTCGCGCGTCGTTTCTACCCATCCAAGATATCATTCCCGTTAGGTAGGTCAACCCGTGGCATTATCATTACCATTGCATCCACTAACAGACCACAGACACCGTCATAAACATCCTCGAGCAGTACAGCTATGAGCATGGCGTGAAGAAGGCTGGTTGGGTACCTACGACGCTCAACGACGCAGGCGTACCATATGCAGCTATTTATGAAGTTATGGATACGATGCTCGAGTCTCAAATACCTCCATGGCAGACACAAAACGCTATCGTGTTTCTCGTTGCTGATGTCGTCGTTATGGTGGAGGCTTGGCTGAGGTCGCACACACTCAACTTCGCCACCGGTCAGGGCGCCCTGCCCATCCGCAGAGTCGATGAAAGCGTCTCGGAATATCTCGCTCTCCTTTCAAGTGCTCCCTATGCTAATATCTCCGCACCTATCGATGTCAAAGAGATCAGAGAGCAACTGAGCCAACTTCAGCTATACTTGCGCTCCAAGTTTTAGATGGTTTGCGTGGTCTGTATTTAAAATGTTTATATTATAATATTAACTTTATTTAACCTACGTAGTACAAAATTTTCTTCGTGTACGGGTGTTGGCTGGCTAACAGGGATAATACTAGAGACAAGAAGTGTTTTTGGAAGAAAATGACGACTGAAAATCTTGAAATAGCATTATTATCGTTGGAAAGACGCCGTGAGATGATCCATGTGTAAAAAGGTGAAAGTTTTCGTCGCTACAAAATGTGAGAAGTTTCTGTTTGCTGACTTTCAATGTCTCTTTTAAATTCAATTAGCTGAAAAATCTTGACAGTTATCTAGGGATGGGTGAGACAGGTGATAGGAATGAATTGGATTTCAATGTTGAACATTCGTCGAATAAATCATTTTCATCACGTACTGCACTCTCACCTATGTATATGTCAAGATCTTTGTAGCTAATCGAATCTGGAAGCCTCTGATCAACGAAAACACCTAATCATTCCGACAGCTATTCCTATTCATCAACCAACGTATTTGCGTCAGAGCGATAGGGGTATTTGGCTTTTGGGTCTGTTTGTAACTATTTAACTATATCTCATAATGCCTATCTATCAAGTGACAATGCTTTAACTTGAAAACTGCCAGTCTTGGCTACATTGATCTTGGGTAAGCGCATATATTTAATATGCCAACACAGATGAAAACTTGCAATCTTCCCGACCGGAGCTAAACAATTCTTTTTTTGCATTTCCTGTAGAAACGACGCCGCTATGATGCTTAAAGGGAAAAAGTGGCTATCGCTTTAAAAGCAATTTCTCTGTATGCTACTTCAAGTGATATAAAAATCAGTGACGTAATTGACATCCGTTTGTTGTTTTCGCTCGGCGTTTGCACCAAGCTCAATTGCCAGGGTAAGCTAACCTATTCATGTGCCGAAATCTGCGGTGACGAATTGAAAGATTTTAGTTTTCCTGTCCGTCCACCCACTACACACCCACTACATCATGGGCGCTATCCGGAGATGACGTCACTCCGAGGAGTTGCGGTAGATCTTGCTAGAAAGTTCGCTTACTCAGCGATTCACAGCCTTATGATGCCTCATTCATTCTAGTGATCTTTGGGGAATGTAATACGTAATTATTACGCCTTACCCCACCTGCTGTTGGCGTAAAATCGCAAAATTTTGACACATCGAAGAATAGCGCAAAGATAGCGTGGGATGAAGGCTAGCTCTTGCAATCATACTGCTCATTTTCAGGCTAGATTTGTTAATCAGATCGATTTTTATTGTAATGATGCTAGGGTTGCACTCCACAGACATAAATATCCACAGATCCACAGCTTGTTTCTTTACAACTTTCATCTTCAAAACAAGAACAAAATGATCGGCATTGATTTCAGCAACAAGACCTACGTCGTCACCGGTGGAAACAAGGGATTAGGCAACGCCATTGCCAAGGACGTCGCCAGAGCTGGCGGTAACGTTGTCATGCTCTCTCGCTCAGAGGCTTCAGCAGCAGCTGATGCTATCGCTAAGGAGTTCAACGTCAAGGCCAAGTCATACCAATGTGATGTTGGTATTGAAAGCAAGGTTGACGAGACATTTGCACAAATCATCAAAGACTTCGGTGAGGTTGCAGGTGTTGTTTGCAACGCAGGTGTCTCCGTACCAAAGCCAGCATTTGAGCAAAACGAAGAAACTTTCGATTACATCATGAAGATCAACGTTCTCGGTTCATTCAACATTGCCAAGGCAGCTGCTAAGAAGTGGGTCGAGACTGGATATAAGAAGGGATCCATCGTTATGATCGCATCCATGTCATCACAAATTTACAACGTCCAAGGACCAGCTGACCCACTCCGTCAAGTATTCTACAACGCATCCAAGGCTGCTGTCAGCTCAGTTGCCAAGGGTCTTGCTGCTGAGTGGATTGAGCACGGCATCAGAGTGAACATTGCATCACCAGGTTTCATCAAGACTGACCAAACTCAAGGTATGGATCCAAAGATCCTTAACGCTCAATCACAATTGGTTCCAATGAAGAGATTCTCTGAACCAAGTGAACAAGCATCACCAGTCGTCTTCTTGCTCTCAGAGCTCGCAAGCTACATGACTGGTTCTGAAGTCTTTGTTGACGGTGGTTTCCTCATCTACTAAGGGTGAAGTGATTGACGCGACAAACGCAATTGGACGCAACTAGACACACAAACTGAAATGACGAAATGTGTAATGCTTTGTAATTATTATTATCTAATGCAATTTTATTGAATTACTCTTGTCTTTGTCTTGTCTTTCTTTTTAGGGATATCAATACAACCAACATTACCAGGCAATTTAAATTGCGCTTTACACGGCATCAATGCATATGATGTCTATGAACTCGTCGCCTTTACGTTCACGCGTTTCCTTTAATAGGAGGAGCTTTGGGAGCTTCGGGAGCAACGAAAGTTGGTAAAGTCTCAAAGATGAGTATAATTACTACGAAAAGCGGATAGGGAGTACTATATGCGTAGACAACGTGTCTGACACCTGTGAGCTCAAGATGTTGTTGACAAACATTGATGGTGTAATTATAAGCCGGATTTAGCAACGGATATGTCATTGATTGGTGTATTCAGATCAGCTGGTGGGTCTTTACAGCATTGATGTAGTGTACCCTCTCAATCATCTAGGTCCTATTCGTCACATCCACATAGAGACGAACAAACCCCTTAGCAACTCTAGATACGCAGTTATAATCTATCACGATCCACATAATGCCAAGATCGCGACCGCTCTCTCCAGAATGATGGTAACAGGTTGCTATATCCCCGCAACACTTGTCCAGAGCTGCACTGAGATATTACCGTACAGTTCGAAAATGATAAACGACGTTCTTCTTGAACATAGACAGCAGTTGTATTTCCACAGTAAGATACCTCAAGTCAGCATCTTCGACAGCGCGCCAAGTATGCCACTCACGATGAGCAAAATCGATCTGTTAACAACACCATACCCATATACCTCCTTCCCTCCGTCCGACTGCGTTGATCCAGGCTCGAAGCTCGAAGAGGATGATAATAACGCGAAGCATTTGCTGGAGTTAAATGAGAAAATTGTCTTACGTGGAGGAGAACTCGATGATCGCAGATTTATTGCAGACTGTGATGTCAGCGATGAGGAGAATATTGAGGAGGAGACAGGGGATGAGACAGAAGAGAGAAAATTAGCAGCCAAGGAGATGGACAGGGAGAGAGGAGCAGAATAATACAACAGTATACAAAAATTGGGAGGATATGATATATTTACCGCTAATCCACAAGGCCTCGGGTGGTGAAGCAAAGCCTCCCAGGCATCCAGGTGAAAATTATAAGTCTCCAGATGACCACGTGAAACCTCTTAATAGTTCACATACGAATAACAAGAGCAAGCAACGCATGTACGGCAATAATCAATTCTACATTTACGAAAAGAAACAAGATAAACATCTTATATATGTAGTTTTAGTCTTCTTGACTAGGTGCCAGTCGCGCGCGCTAGTAGTAATCGCAACAGCAGTAATACTAACGACACCACCAATAACGAACAAAAGCAAAACTCCGTAACGAAACAGGACACTAGCAAATCTTGCAAACACACATTGTACTCTAAACCATCTATACATGGACATTTTATTGAATGACATAAATTAAATTGATCCAAAATAAATACTACTCTATATAATTGGCTACTTTTTTCCAGATCTACCCTTCTTCTTACCAGTGACATCAAGACGAGGACCCTGGCCACCTCTGCTGAGCTTTTTGGTCTGGTTGAGAGGTACGTAAGCATAAGGTTGCTGGCCGCCTTTAGCAGTAACATCGCCGCCTGCACGCTGTATTATGAGGTTAGTTTTAAGTTATTTAAACTCATTTCTTCACCCACCTTTGATTTGAATTCTTTTCCAACACCCACAGTGCCCTGTTTGTTCTTTTTCTTCTTCTTGGAAGCATCACTATCGTCATTCATCTTGACATCAGTTTGAGCATCGTCATCGTCATCACCTTCGACGCTCCTGTCGCGTTTCTTCTTGTTGAATCTCACTCTACCATCCTTGCCCATCGTGATACCATCTTCTGATTCCAAGTTGTGGATGTAGGCAGAACCGGCGACCTTGTCAGGTTGTTCTTCTGCTTCCTTGTTGTCATCATCCTTGATGACCAACTTGCCCATATCGTCGAGCTCATATTTCTGCGCTTCCTGGCCTGGTTGTTTCCTCTTTGATTGCTTGGATGGATCGAATGAGGTGAGGTTATTAATAGCGCTCTTATCGAGCAGATCGACAAGTTCGCCATCATCCTCACGTATGTAAGTATCAGAAGCGTTGTTGGTATTCTTCTTCGCACCCTTTCTACCGCCTTTGTCTTTGCCAGTACCTTTAGCGCCCTTCTCCTTGCCATCTTCGTCGTCGCTCTCCTCGAACTCAGACTCAGATCCGTAGAGAGCGTCTTCGAACGCGTCCGTGCCTTTAGCTTTCTTGCCTGCATCTTCATCCTGGTCGAGCATGTCGCCTTCGTCCTCTCTATCCTTGTCACTCTTCCCCTTCTTCGCTCTCTGTGTGCGCTTGCGGATATTGCTTATGAGTTTCTTGTCCGCAGCCGGTGTATGCGCATCGACAACATCGACTCCGAACTTCTTCACTAGACGCTCGAATATATGGCGGATATTCGCCTTGAAGTGATTCTTGTTCTCGCTCTTCCATCCAAGCAGCGCGGGTATGAGAGTGGCGAGATGCGCGAAAACTAATTCCGAGGAGAGCGACGTTATAGCCACCTTGACCAGCCCGATACCTGACTTGACGATTTCTTTGTTGGTGCTACCGACGAAGATGTGCAGCGTGCCAAGCAGATTATCCACTAGAGCTGTGTCGATTGACTCTTTGAATTCGAAGAGAACGCGCGCAAGAGACGTGAGCGTGGCAGAGATGAAATGCGGCGTAGAACCAGCTAGACCTGCTGAGAGGATGGTGAAATATTCATTGATATCGGCATCCACTGTCTCAGTTGATGTTGCTGCTTCTGCTTCCATCCCATCAGCTTCATGCTCATGTTCACCCATCACACCCCTCTCTATCTTGCCACCGCGTGCCATTTTACTCCCTAATTCTAATAACAGCTCGAATGCAGCAGATCGCGCTCTCTCGTTAGTCTCCTTCACTCCAAGCACCGCTTCGGGGACGACAGAAACGATATAGTGGAGTTTATCTGACGGTATGAACCGCACAAGCAGCGTGAATACCTCTAAGCGATCTCTCTTCACACCACCGCTGATATTGTCAGTGTTAGTGAGTGTGTTGATGGCTTTCTCGATTCTGCTGCCGTCATGTGTGAAGAGTCCGCTGTGGTTCTCGCACAGTCTGTTGAGCATCCTGTAAGCCTTTTTCTGAACAGCCTGGTCTTCGCTCATTAGCACCTGCTCAGACGTAGCGAGTTCCCAGGCATTTGCACCCAATTTTGCACTGAGATGGGGTGAGAGTAGGATTAGCAGATCCATCGTCGTGTGTGGTGCTACTAGATTGTCAGATGCTGCGTTGAATGTCTTGTTAGATTTCGCTGCTTTCGCCATCTTGACGTTGTGCTGTGGGAGCGTCTCAAGGAGTGACTTGGACATCTTCTTATACGTGCCGCTAATGTCCTGTGTGCGTGTTAGCGAGAGAATGCTATCATCCCAGCACCCAACAAACCTTTTCAGAGGCTATGGTTAGGTAGTCGGCTATAACTTCACCAACCATACCTCTGCTTTCCCTGCTGACTGTGCCGAAAAGGTCAAATAGCACTGAGAGAAGATTTGGTGCGATGGTCTTGAGGTAATTGATGTTGACTGTTGCCTCCTCTTGACCCATTCCATTGAACGCTTTCTTGAGCTCCTCTGTTGGTCCCTGTGACTTTTGCAAAGATACATTCTTTTCGATGAGGTTGCGCAGTCCTTTCAACACGAATGACCTCAACTGAGGCTGCGAGTAGAGTACATTGCTGAGCATGCTTGCGAACTCATCATTCAAACCAACAGTCATATCTACTGGCAGATTGCAGAATGAGGGGAAGGTGTTCCAGATCTGCTCCATCAAAGTGCTGTATATCTTTGCTTCGAGTTCCTTGCCCTGGTTTTTGGACTGCGAGGCGAACTCGAACATCTGCGATGAGAGTGGGACCAATTCTTTGACAAAGTAGTTGAGAGAGGTGTTGGTTATGCGTGAGCGCATAATTGGCAGCAGATACGCACGGCCTTCTTTGCCCTTGGCTTGGAGAGATGGGCTGAGATTGAGAGGGAGGAGTTCAAGCACATAGGCTGGTCCACACACTTCCAATGCCATACCAAATACATCGTCCGTCTTCTCCCTGTATTCGAAGTTTGGCATCTGGCGGAGATCGGCGATAGTTGTGAGATGTGGTGCGATGAGAGCTAAGATGAGGTGGTTAGTTGATGTGTATCAAGAGTTCTCAAGCTGACTCACACTGTGCTGCTGTTGGGCCTGGATATGAGAAACGCACTCTAAGTTTGCTGATGAGCGCGTTGAGAACATTGAGGACGTTTGGAATGGAGTGACGGTGTGAGATACCCTTTAAGCTTGCGAGAATAGAGTCGAGGATCGGAGATAGGTTGACACCACCGTTGTTGTCTATAGTGTTCTTTATCATATCCAAACTCACACCCCATCTGATGATACCACAGCATGCAATTTCGGCAGATTTACGCACATCGGTGCTGGTACTGGCTAGACCGTGAGAATTGAAAATTTTCGGCCAAACGTTCAAAATAACAAGAGCGGCAGCATTTGGGTCAAGTCTAGCGTATGCAGAGATTGCAGCGTCAAGTATACCGAGCCAAGGAGAGAGCAAAAGGGTGTCATCAGGTTTAGGGAGAGAAGAAGTGATGGAATCGACGAGAGTTTTGAGCTTCTCTTGATCGAAGGTGGTGTGAGAGGATTTGTTGGCGAGTAATTGACTGAGAAGGTGGTAGGAGGATGAAGTGAGGTATGAATTGCCGAGGTGTGGAGTGTTTAAGAGGGAATTAGCCAATTTAGGGAGGGATTGAATTGGCCAGATGGAATCGAGTGAGTGCACAAAGGCACACAAGTGAATACCAGATTCAGAAGGGGCGTGTGTGGATCTTTTAACCAAATCGTTGAAAGACTTGATAACCCAAGAGGTGGTTATAGGAAGGTAAGTGTGTGGATGATTGGGGGTGTCTGTGAGGATGTTTGAGATTGAAAATTGAGCCAGTTTTCTAACTTTTGGTCTGTTGTCGATGGATAGCTTCAATATGTCATTATAAGCAGATTTGAAGGAGGATAATTGGAGTTGTTGGGTGTCTAAGGATTTAAAGAACTCCTCGTAGACAACAAGTAAGGACTTGAGAGTGGGAGTGTTGCTAGTGAACTTGCTCAGTAGCTGCAATAGGGATTCAAAGATTTGATATTGGTTGTGCAATATCTTCTTGTCGATGAATTTGATAACGGTGGCTTCCAAGTATATTGCAGAGGAGATGATCTCAGTATTATTTGAGCTGATTGCTTCATCGAGAGTACTCAAGATTAAGCTGTGGTAGCTGATTGGCAGTGGGCTTTGAGATTGCTCTGGGGATTGTTCTTTGATAGTTTCCTCGAGAGCAACGAGGAGCAACGCTGGTTGCCTCTGATTGGGCAGCTTAGAATTCAAGTGACACCTGATTTTGAACAAGGCATCTTCCATCTTGAACGTAACTCTTGGACGTATATAACCAAGAAGTGGGAGAATGTTTTTAACAGATTTACAGAGTGAGTTTGGGTGGGTTTGGCGCGTGTACCATAATAACCTTATAAAACCCAGAAATCGGTGTTGGTCTGACTTCATTCGGTGGATTATTCACGCTTCTAGGTGTCGTACTCTTCTTCGACGCTAGTTTGCTGGCTTTGGGGAATTTGCTCTTCTTAACAGGGCTTATACTTCTAATTGGGATGCAGAAGACTATTGTATTTTTCAGTAGGCCTTATAAGCTTAGAGGTACGCTGTGTTTCGTTGGGGGAATAACACTAGTACTCCTCAAGTATACCTTCATTGGGTTTGTAGTTGAGTGCATTGGATTCCTCAACCTATTTGGCTCTTTCTTCCCCGTAATCCTCAACTTCCTCAGGCAACTGCCAGTCATCGGCAGTCTACTCAATTTACCCGTTATTTCAACTATTGCGAATAAAGTTGCTGGATCTAGACAGTCTCCGGTGTAAAATGGTGTTTAACCAATCAAATTGATTCATTTTCCCGTCTTCTTCCAACGGCCAAAATGTCCAAACACCACCCAGACCTAATCATGTGTAGAAGACAGCCAGGAATATCAATCGGGAGGCTATGTGACAAATGTGATGGAAAGTGCCCTGTTTGTGATTCCTATGTGAGGCCACAGACGATTGTTAAAGTGCGTTAAATGAATGGCTATAATGGACACAAATAACTTTAATTTAGATCTGCGATGAATGTGCGTTTGGTACATTCGGTGGTAAATGTTTGTTTTATCCTTTTTATTTATTCATTTACACCACTCACGCTTACATTAGGTGTTATTTGCGGTGGTCCAGGTATTTCAGACGCATATTATTGTGCAGGTGGGTCTGAATACTTCCTAGTACACCACTAATTCCCCTCAGAATGCACCACACTCGAAAAAGATAGAGATGGCTGCGTGAAAATTATCAACCTCGGAAGTTCAAAGTTGGATCTCGCGTATCAGAAGAAGCAAGCAGGACAGAGAGTGCATAGTAATTTTAATATTGGCTAGAATGTATTTGTATTTGATTTCCTCGATGTGATTCCCTCGGTTCTAATCCACCAAGAGTGTTTGATATGCCCGTGAAGAGTTAGTGATTGTAATAGAGGTATTTTACACCCACTTACAACCCAAAGATTCCCAGCCAACGCGTCAATCTAAAAGAGTCGCCTCAAATATCCCTAAATCCCCTACGAAACCAATTCAACGCGCACACACTTCTTCCACCGCTTCCAAGAAGAGGAAGGCAAGCGATGATAGCGATGATGAGCCTTCTAAGCCAACTAAACGTCGCCAGCCAGCCAAACCCCGCTTACCCGCGATCGAACCAGTTTCTTTGAATCCGCTGCCAAAATTAACTTCAACTAATCAAATTAAAACTCTTTTAGTCTTTGGTACTGGTGACTTTGGTCAGTTTGGTTTAGGCGTTGACACTCTCGGTGAGATCAAGAGACCGCGTATACATCAATGGACTGAGGATGCCATCGATGATAACAATCTCGGTCCACAAGGTGTTGAACAGATTGCTGCCGGTGGAATGCACAATCTCATGATTGACTCCGATGGCAAGATTTGGTCCTGGGGTGTTAATGACGGTATGTCCCTCGGCAGAATCACTACTGATACTGGCGTTGAAGCTGAAGAACTCGAGACGGTCCCGATGAAAGTCGACGGTTTGGATGACTTCAGGGCTGTAAGGGTCGCTGCAGGTGACTATATCTCCCTAGCAATCAACGACCAAGGTCAACTACGCGCCTGGGGTTCTTTCAATGTGGGTGGACTTGACTTGACTAGCTTCACTAAGCACGCCCCTAACTCCCCCCACAGTCCAACGACGGTCTGCTCGGTTTCGACGGCAAGCCAAACGGAGCACGCAAGCAAGTTTTACCATCAATCCTACCCCAACTCGCCAAACATCGCGCCGTGCAAGCTGTATGTGGTGCAGACCATGCCCTCGTTCTCACCACAGCCGGCATCGTCTACGCTTGGGGCAACGGCCAGCAGCAGCAGCTCGGCAGAAGGGTAATAGAGAGACGCAAGCTGAATGGCCTCACTCCTGAGCCTCTTCACCTCAGAAAGATTGTTGCTGTTGGTACAGGCTCATACCACTCTTTCGCGACCGACCAAGACGGCGTTGTGTTCGGTTGGGGGTTGAACAAAATGCGTCAGACGGGTGTCAGTGATGACCGAGATGGCTATGAGGACTCTATTGCTGTGCCTACGCCTATTGATGCCCTTCACCCAGATCAGCACGACGGCAGCCGCGTTGTGCAGATCAGCGGAGGCGAGCACCACACCCTTTTCCTCTTCGACAACGGCCAGGTCTGGGGATGCGGTAGGTGCGACGGTAAGGAGCTGGGCTTGAGCAAAGACCATCCAGCCTACCAAGCTATCCTCGAAAACAACGAAAAGGTCGCGGATGATGCGCGACACGAGAAAGCTAAGAAGTTGGGAACGAATGTGGAAGATACTGAGGCGCCTCGTACTATTGCAGATGAGTACGTAGACCAGCCTGTCAGAATACAGTTTCCTCCCCCACCTACACCAGACGAGCCAAAACCTGGAAATACACCTTGGGAAGACGGTCCATCGAAGACCAAGATAAAGCAGATTAGCGCAGGGCTTAGACACAACCTTGCTGTTAGCGATCAAGGTCACGTGTATAGTTGGGGATACGGTAATGCATGCCAGCTCGGCCACGGTGCGGCGGAGAGCATCGAGGAACCTACACGGATTGATAATACTGCTCTCACTAAAGTCGACGCTCTGCTCGTTAGCGCCGGCGGACAGCACTGCGCTATCTTGGCGGAGAAGAAGGGCGACGAGAACAAGGTGGTTGATGGAAAGAGCAAGGTGGATGGCAAAGACGAGGAGGATAAGGAGGAAGAGGAAGAAGATGAGAACAAAGAGGACAAGGAAGATGGCAAGGAGGATGACCAGGATGATGACAAGGATGAGAAGTAAACATCCAGATAGATACACGCTCATTTATTTATATAAATATAATTAAACCGTCTTGTAGAATCTCTTTCTAATGCATATATCCGCTTTTACTTTACTCAAAATTCTAAAACGATGACGACATAACATGAAATCCGCCTTCTTGTTTCGCCGGTTCCTCAACTCCTCGGAGTTAGACTTTACACCAACGAAGGAGTATAACCTAAGAAATACAGTCCCAGCAATGGTGAGCGCAGCGCAAACAACGGGACCTCTTACTCACGCCGCCAATGCTAGTCACGTAAAAGACAATCCACTGCACAACAGCCTGAATTTCAGTGGCGCCAGTCTGGACGGGCGCAGACACTGCACCCAAATGCGAGAGCAATGCATGATGAGCGCTTACGGCGCGTGAAGAACAAGCCGCTGTTTAAACTAGGAGGGACCATGCCTGATAGGTCGGATCAGGGGGAGTATACTGGCGAACCGTCCGGTTTTAACGCCAGCGCAAGTTCAACGAGGGATCTCGACGCGGTTGCCGACCATATATACTCGAGGATGGCTAATAAACCCGGATACAAGAGCACGAAGCCGTCTCGTAAAGTGCCGCGCAAAGCACCTCGCCAAGCACCTCCTCCACCGCGCAGACAGAACACTATCGGCAGGACAGGTGGCCAGATAGGCGGTGTGATCAACGATGCCGCAGACCCAGGGGATGCACCAAACAGGGACCATGGCAAACCTGACAATGAATCCCAAGAACCTTCCTACTACAAAGCCATGGCTGATACGGAAATGCAAGACGAGCATCAGAAACCTGAAAATTCCCAGGGTGATGAGAATGAAACAGGTCAGATTGGTGGTCAGATGCACAATCAATGGCTTAATACCCCTGAAACTCAGGCTAAATTTGATGACCCAAATGAACCTATTTTCTCCTGGTGGTTTATTGTTCGTGAGAATTTTCGCGAACCACTGGCGGAGTTTATAGCGAGTATGGTATTCATTATTATAGGTCTGGGTGCGTCAGTTCAGAGCTACATTCTGCCATCAGGAAATACAAATCTGTATTGGAGTTGGGGTATTGCAGGTGAGCTGTTGGCCAAAGTATGGTAGTGCGAATTAACCAATCTGCAGTAATGACAGGTGTTTATATCAGTGGTGGTGTTAGTGGTGGTCATCTCAACCCTGCGCTCACACTAGCACTCGCTGTATTCCGTGGCTTTCCGTGGAAGATGGTGTGGCAGTTCTGGGTTGCCCAGCTGGTCGGTATGTTCTGCGGGGGTCTGCTCGTGTATGCCATCTATAGTCAGGCTTTGGTGGGTAATAGATCATTTTCTCGCTTTCTTACAAAAGCTCACTTGACTTGAAATACTCAGACCACACTCGACCCCGACAAGACTGTCTCGGCAAGTGGCAGCAGTGCGCTCTTCGTGACGTACCCATCTAGCCTATCGAGTATCGGGCTGAGTGTGTTCCAGAACATAATCAACACCGCCATACTCACCATCACAGTTCTCTCACTGGGTGACCGCGACAATAGTGTGGGTAGCTGTAGCACGCGCAGGGAGCTGCTCACATGTTTTTATAGCCTCCTGGTGCCTCTCTCGGTGCTTTCATCCTTGCACTCGTGATTATGGCTCTGGGGTCCTCCCTAGGTGCTCTTAGCGGATATCCGATGAATCCTTCACGCGATCTCGGTCCCCGTTTCGCTCTGAGTTGCGTCGGATACGGCCGAGAACTGTGGACTGAACCGCGCTGGTGGCTCGGCGGTCCTATACTGGGCAGTTTTGCAGGCGCAGTTCTCGGTGGTGTCTGCTACGACTTCTTTATTTACTCCGGTCTCGGAAGTCCACTTAACTTTACTACTAAACAGTGGAAACGACTTATCGTAAACAACATGGCTAAACCTGGCATTGACAGGCAAAAGAGGGATAATAAGGCAAGTAGGAAGCAGTATTCCAAGGACGACGACTTTATAGTTAAAGGATATAAGGCTGTTTAGCTAGATCGTTTCACTGCAAATAATTTTCACATTGGATTATGAAGAAATGGTTGGACTCATTAACTTCAATTTCATATTTTTCATTAAACTGTGGACTATAAAATGCTGCTTAGTTGGACTATTTTAAACAAACGTATTTTCACGATTTTTCACATCATCAAACCTTCGCATAAAATAAATAAATGTACACATTTATATTTAACCAATTACCAATTACTGCTTTGCTAGGCTTTCCACTGCTTCGAATCCACCAGCACGCTTCACACTGTGACGAGTCAGCTACAGGAAACACAAAGCACCAAGATAAACTCACGCTCTAGACAGCTCTCCTTTAGTCTTCTGCCAAACATTCAGTTTAAGATCCTTGCAAGCTTCGTCGAGATCTCTGCCGTGTTTTTTGACAATATTTATCAACCATTTCATCTCGTCATTGGAGGTGTTACGTCCGACGGGCCTAGCAGTTTCAGCTTTAGACTCGAGTACTGCATAGGATGTGGTTAGAGGTATTGTGAGTTGGTGCATGCGCTCTCACATCTAACAGCATCCGTATCCGCACTCTTCTTACCGCTGTTGTGCTCGTCATCGAACGTGAGTGGCACAGAAGGAGTTTCCATAGTGGTAGCGTCAAGTGGCGTACCCCAAGGTGTTGCCTCTTCCTTTGATTTGCCTTTGGAGGAACCTTGGTTGGTATCAGGCATTCTTATTTCCAGGACGTTTCCAGCATCGTCTCTAATGATCTGACCCATGTGCATAGTTTCAGGAGTGCCCTTCTCGCCACCGTCTACGCTCTCCTCGCTCTCCTTTGCGCGAACTTTGGAAGGAAGCTCCTTCTCGACACCACCAACTGCATGTATCTTCATGTTGCTTGCCAAACCCAAGTTAGCGTAGCTGGTCGAGTTCCGTAAGTAATGTTTCCCTGTGTTTCCCATGGCTAGCACACTCACTTCTCCCTCAGCGTCTTGGTCTTGTCCCACTGCCTGGCGAGCTCGTCGGGTACATTTCTCAGCGTTGTCTTCTTGTATGTCTTGTGGAATGTCGTTCTCGTAGGCGTATACTTGCCGCTCTTTTGCTTTGAACGCTGCCTTGGTTTTGCCATTTTATCAAATCTGTGATGGTCGCTGCGATAAGAGCTGTGGGTCACACAAGAAGCAGAAATAAAGGAAATCACCCAAGATACATATAACAATCAATTATTCTAAAGATAGTTTGGTTATACTACAGCTATCCCTTTAAGCTTGGTCGAGAATGAGTTGTACGCTCGAATACGCAGAAAGACCACCAATCGTGAGGAAGGCAATGGATTGGAAGAAGCCGTAGAGACGCTTAGAAGGATCGCCTGTTGTGTAGCCCATAGTGTAGATTACCCTACCGAAAGTCCAAACAGCGCCCAAAGAAGCAGCTAAGCGAGGGAAGAATAATCCAGAGAAGAGAATACCAAAGAGAACATAAGGAACACTCTCCAAAGTGTTCAAATGAGCTCTTTGTGCGCAGTTGAAGCTTGTTATAGTTAGTATTGAAGCCATGTCAGCTAGTAACCCTCACATGTGTCCTGCTTTGTTCTCCTTATCTTCACAGTAAGTCTTTGGGTATGGGATACCAGCTCTCTTTCTAGCCTTGCTGACATTGATCATCTGATACACGTTGAGGAAGTATGTTGAGCTGGCGGCGAGGGCGACCCAACCGTAGTTCTTTGGAAGTCCAATAGAGATAAGTGCGGATGTAACGTTTGAGTCCATTTTGATGCTGGTAGTGGTGGTTATAGTTCGATTGTACGGATCAGAAATAGAATGAGACGAGTGACGTGTAAGATGGGACGAATCCATAGACATCTCAGCGATTTCAGGATATTTTATTCCACTGAATTTTCTGCATTCCCTGGAAATATTTAATTCATTTCTCCCTCATTTGGCTATCGTGCGTGGCAGCTGGAAAAACTTAGACTTGTAACCCAAAAGTCTTCCTAATAAAGATGACTGATGAATTGAAATGTGAATAAATATCCTGTATTTTAACGAGATAAGAAAATCTTGTGTAATCATGTTTCAAAAGCCATTCGAGAGGATCAGTTCGAGCACATCAATGAAGCTAGATTGGTCAAATTGGAGAATGAGGTTGTCGCTGAGTATTTAGTAATTGTATTTGTAAGTTATACAGTGTACGTCATGCACCTTGATGCATAATAGAGACTGCATTGAAAATAGCTACCGAGTTACTGAATTTGAAAATGCTTCAAAGATTGACATCTTCGACGTGATTATATTTGACCAATATATTAATTTGAAGAGGTACCGAGGTACTTTACTTAATGAAACAGTTACATTGGAGTACTCATTGTTGAATACTGGGAAAGACTTAATACTTAATCTAAACAAATTACATGTCCAGATCGCGTGTGAGACTGCGTTTCAGACTGCGTTTCAGACTGCGTCTAAGCCGACGAGGCCAGACTTGCGGTGTGAGAAAAAAGCTAGTATACAAGACTGCTATATTTGAAGCCGTGTAGACCGAATACTTTATCTTAGGCTACACAATTCTAATAATTAGAAACTGTCAAATGAAAGGAATGTGATTACAAAACTTGAGCCAAGGCCGAGGTGGCTAGCTCGGGGCTTAATTAGCATGAAATTCAATTTGATTGAAGATGTAAATAATTTTTAAATAAATTATAAAACGATAAATATTCATCCGCATTTAAAGCGTTACTGCATTTGAATGATCCTATGATATTACAACGCTGATACCTGCAGCCGGGCACATTGATAGGCGATGCAACAATGCAGCGCACACACGTACCCCTGTATCACCCCTGTTCCGAATTACCGATACACCTCAGAGGCCTCAGAATCTTTATGAAATCATCGTCGTCTCAGCGACTGGTCGAGACCACCAAAAAGATAAATTGTTTTAAGAGGGACGAGTTAATCCATTACAACCAAGTATAACTGTAAAACTGATGGACTGTTACTCCTGGTGAGTTCATGCGCTGTTGCTAATAAATCCACTCACCCGTCATCCGCCTTAGGCCAACGACAGCAACGACAAAGCTGACGGACTCAGCCACTTTCATCATTTCCTCAAACGATCTTCCCAAATACATTTCAAAGACCGTGAACCCCACGTTTGACATTCACCTCACTATTCTCCGTAATCTCGCTGGTTCTACGCTCGCTTTCATTACGTGCAAAGACTTTGAGGATGGTATGGTTGAAATGGAATGTACGCCTTGTCAGTGGCCTTCTTCTTCGGTGTATCAAATAAACGCTAGTAATGGCTGCGCAACCGTTGACGGTATAAAGTACTGGTGGTCAGACAACCAATTCTTCTACCAGGATCAGCACAACGCTATTGGCTTATACGCCTCCGACGCTGATAAAGTTACTATCAATCTCCTACAATCACTCCCTGAAACAATCAAACAGCTCGCAATTCTACTTCACATTTCTACGACAATCTATAAGTCTCGCAGAGCAGGTATCGGTAGACATTGCATTTGGCCTTCCTTGAAACACACTTCGAGAAGACCAACAGCTCCAACTCCTCCACCAACTGAACAGGTCGGTTGACTATATTGAGCGGTTTCTCAAAATTTTGCATCGTACGCGCTTAACAGGCACACTTATTTATTCTCAAATAAATCTCAACTCTGATTGCTGGCTCGCTAACTTAGTATCCACATTCAACGAACATCCAAACATCTCAACAATGCTCACTTCCTATATCATCAATGTGTACTTTTACAGTCTCAAACAATTCGCAAGTGTACCCATCTGTCTTCTCTTTTAGCTATTTTGTACTTTTGTATGTATTTCACCTATTTCCCTTTCCACTTGATGTCTTTGTTAGAAAAACTCTTGTGAGACACTTACCTACATAATCAAATCTTGAATAAAATGTTTCCGAATCTGTAGTTTCAGATCTCGCTCCACGCTGTCTGTCTATGGACTTTTCATACTCGCGTCTGTACACCAGATCCTCTCTCAGCCAAGCCAGCGCAAGTTTGAGGAGTGGCGAAGCTTCTACGTTTGATTGTTTGATAATGTGATGCAGTGGTGACTGTGGTACAAGCGGCCATGGCTCAGGGTTGCCTACGTTGCTTCCCAGTCTCATATGCATCACGTGTGTAGGGAAGTTGAACAATCCGTCGACTGTGTGTGGGTGTGTCAGAGAGGTGGTGAGTGTCCTGTTCAACATACAGATGTGGGTGGCGTCTAAATATACTTAATGAGTTATTTTGACAATTAAAGCACCACTTACACAGTATAGTCGCGTTTCTCTCCTTGGATTCCGCAATGAGGAAATTTATCAGGTCCGTTCTGACGACGACATCGAGGTCTACAGTGACCTGTGATTGTATTAGATAAGCTGTTTGGTAGATTATAGCAAAAATCCACCTCGTCAAGCAGCAAAAGCGTCCAAGGAACCATCAAACCCATCACAAGTTGGACTCTGCGTCTTTCACCGTCAGATATTTGATGCATCCTCCAATCAACATCCACATCTAGAATGTTGAGCAGTGTATCTCTTCTATCCTTGTGTCTGAAACCACCGACTGAGTCAAGGAACTCTGAAACGCGTATATCACCACGAACGACGGGATTCATGGCCCTTGTAAGTGTTATTTGAGGTAATAAAATTGAAATTCAAAACACACCACTCTGTACCTAAATAAGTAATTCCCTAACGCCACAGTGAGAAATTGGGAAGAATTGAATCAATCAAGACATACACTGGGTTGATTCTGGAATACATCTTTGCCATAGACCTGTACATGACCTTTAGTGAGACGCTTGCCCGCCAAGATCCTCAGCAGTGTACTTTTCCCGGCTACGGAACCACCGAATTAGTCCCGAAGGCGAATGGCGATCAAATGGAGTACGCACCGCCATTAGCACCAACGAGCAAGCATCTAGAGCCTTGCTCAATATCCATACTGAGATTCTTCAACGCAGTTTCATCCGCTTGATTAAAGGAGAAGGATAGATTTCTGACTGAGATTGCAATTACCATCACCGGTTCCAACCAACAACCACGACGTTCAAATCAAAATTACAGATCACGAGGATAAGAATAAAAAAAGAAAATTCAACTCTGAAGAAATGGATTCCAATTCAAACGTTAAATTGGTTCTCGGTGTCGCTGCCCTTGACCGTAAAGCGAGATCAAAGCCAATGCGCTCGATACTCAATAGAATCATGAAAATATCTAATATTGAGGTTTGTTTGAGTATCCTGGTTATCCTAATATAGCTCATTTCCCCGAAGATTTGCATCTTTGGCGATAAAGTCATTCTCGACGAGGGTGAGCTCCTCATCCGTAATCATTAGTATTCACGCTTACCCCCTCATTCCCTCAATAGACGTTGAGAATTGGCCCCTTTGCGATTACTTGGTTAGCTTCTTTAGCGATGGTTTCCCTCTCGATAAGGCTATCGACTATGTCAACCTACGCAAACCTGTCTGTATCAACGATCTCACTGTGGGTGTCGCTCTATGACACTAGCCGCATCTTATATGTCCCTCAGATGCAAAAACTTCTCTGGGATAGAAGGCTTGTTCTCTCTATCCTCGACTCCATTGGCGTTGTGACCGCTGAACGCATTAGTGTTGATAGAGACGGTGGTCCTAACATCGACCCTCAACTAGCTGAAGCTCTTCAAAAGGATCTTGGTCTCTCTTTCCCCAAAAACCCTCACCAGCCAGTTGTCAAGTTGAGAGAAGACGGTGACGCAATCATTATCGACGGCATCGAACTCGAGAAGCCTTTTGTCGAGAAGCCAGTCAACGGCGAAGACCACAACATACACATCTACTTCCCTATGTCTCAAGGCGGTGGTGCACGCAAATTGTTCAGGAAAGTTGGCAACAAGTCAAGTGAATACTACCCTGAAATTCAAGAACCACGCTACGAAGGCTCGTTTATATATGAAAAGTTCATCAATGTCGATAACGCAGAGGATGTCAAAGTATACACTGTCGGTCCTAGCTTCGTACATGCAGAAACACGCAAATCGCCAGTAGTCGATGGTATAGTCAGACGCAACACAGACGGTAAAGAGATCAGATACATCACTGAGCTCACAGCTGATGAGAAAAAGTGTGCGACTAATATCTGCAAGGCTTTCAAGCAGAATATATGTGGATTTGACCTCTTGAGATACGACGACAAGGCTTTCGTCATTGATGTGAATGGATGGAGCTTTGTGAAAGGTAACGACTACTACTACGATAAATGTGCAGAAATATTGTCAACATTCTGCAGGAAAACTGCTCCTAAACGTCCACTCACAGCTGTACACAATGGTAGTCCGAGAGATAAGGGTAGTTGGAAACTCAAAGCAAATGCAACAGTAGTCAGACACGCCGATCGCACTCCAAAACAGAAGATCAAGTTTAGTTTTCAAGCTTCCGAGAAATGGGCACAGCCTTTCATACGCTTATTGAGAGGAGCGACTGAAGAAGTCATCTTGAGACGTGCGGAACAACTCAACTACATCACTGAAGCTGCTGATGAAGCCGTCAAGCTTGGTTGTAATGAGCTTGAGAAACTTGAACAGCTACGTATAGTCATATCCAAGAAGATTGGTTTACCTGGTACGAAAGCGCAATTAAAACCGAATTTCAACAAAAATGATGGTATCACTCTTGAGAAATTAGCTCTTGTGTTCAAGTGGGGCGGTGAATTCACTCATGCTGCCAGGTACCAGTCTCGAGACCTTGGATTTAGTTTCAGGGGTGATGCGATGATAATGAACAAGGATATGCTGGAGAACTGCAAGATTTATTCTAGCTCCGAAAGGCGTGTGTTGGCATCAGCTGAAATATTCGCTGCCGCGTTCCTCGAAGATCCTGAGAAGAGAAAGGAGGGCAAAGAGCCAATAACACATCCACTTATAGTCAGGAAGGATCTTCTCGACGACAGCAACGCAGGCAAAGAATTGATGGATTTTGTTAAAAAGAAGCTCAAGACTTTGTTGCGTCCAGGCGAGAAAGAAAAGCGTCCTCAATTTCAGTGGCCAAAGGATCTTAAAGGCGAGCCCGTAGAAGTTGTGGCTGAGATTATCGAATTGATGAGATATCACCGCGACGTCATGAGATCAAATTTCGAGACGCTCGACGTTGACAATATCCAGACGAGGTGGTGTTGTAATGAGCATCCTTTACTTTTCAAGGAGAGATGGGAGAAACTATTCAGTGATTTCTGCGAAAGCACGACTCAGGAAAAGTTTGACCCTTCGCGTATCTCTGAACTTTACGATTCGCTGAAATACGACAGTTTGCATAATAGTATATTCCTCAATACTATCTTTAGACCTAATGGTCAGCAAGATCCTAGTGATAGACGCTTGCATAGTCTCTACGGCCATGCCAAGGCCCTCTTCGATCTCATTGCACCACAAGAATATGGTATTGAGCCAGAAGAGAAGGAGAAGATTGGTATTTTGACGTCTCTTCCACTGCTCAAGAAAATAGTGAATGATTTACAAGAAGCTAGAGATGCTGAAAAGGGGTCTTTTTCCATCTACTTCACAAGTGGGTGAGGTTAGAGTGGTGTAACTTAACTAACATAATCTACAGAAGAGTCACATATTCACACTCTCGTACAACTGGTATTATGTAGTGGTCTACCAATTACAATGTGGGTGTACTATTAAACTGACTATACCCTCTAACACAATTTACAGGCCTCATGTCCCGGAATTGGACTATGTCGCGCATCTCACTTTGGAGCTCTACGAAAGGAGCATAGGAAGTGCTCACCGTGAGAAGGAGTATTCGATCAGACTGGCGCTTAGTGGAGGAGCGCACACTTCCAATGTTCTCGACTCCCAACTCGACGCCAAGCATTCACTGAACGTCCAACCAAGGAGACAGCTAACACATCATCTTGACTACGATTACGCCATACAGATGCTCTCCAGACACTTTGATAAGGACTGGGTATTCTCTACTACGCCGCTCGAAGGCGATGCGCTGTACGGAATCAAGCCTGACCATATTGAGCAGATCAGAGAGGTGAGGTTGAACGGCGGTGCTAGTACACCTAAGAAGTATCTTGAGAGTGGCACTGATGATGGCGCTTCTACCAAGTCGTCAAATAACTCTCACTCCTCGCATTGAACAAAGGTCATTAAGACACAAGCACAAAGACACACAACAAAAGAAATGTAATCAACGTTAATTTATGGTACTTGCTTTAACCCAACTCAGTCTGGATTAGTGAAAGTTTTCAGTGAAGTCACTCGCTTCCGAATTCCCACAGCTACATTTAAAATGCTGATTAAGTGTGCAGAAGCTTCTTTACCATCGACGATTATTTACAGCAATGTCTGGAAACCAAGTGAGTAGAGTTAGCTTTGTATCTGATGCACATCTAAAAATTGCAGGCGCTTGAGCAACATCCATTTGACTTTGTCGACATACACCTCACCAAGCCAGGTAGCTCTTTTCAATGGGCTGTCTATTCGTTTTTTGGCGCGTCTGGCATCGCTGCCCTTTTCCTCGTTTATTTTAGCAAACGCTATGTCAGGGGATTGTGGGCATTAGCGTTTGTTATTTTCCATATTTCTTTCATAACGTACTATCTGCTTGCTAGTGGGCTTGGCTGGGTGGCAATTGAAGCCCAGTGGCCACGCGATGATAGTTTGGAATTTGGTGGAACACGCCAGATCAATGTGGGCGAATGTTCTGCAGCTGCTATGTGTCTAATCAAGCAATTCATAGTACCCTCGTTTCGTCCAACAGATCCTCGTATCGCCAGTCTACCTTCTCGTCCTACTTCTTGGCACGGGTGCAAATGTCGAAATTATTCTGTTTGGGATGTTCACGCAGATCTATTTCTGGGTATGCATGCTTCTCGCTGCACTTATCAGCGACCAGTACAAATGGGGTTTGTTCACAATGGGAGTGGTGTTAGAGTTTAATGTTTGGTGGGTAGAGAGTATCTCCGACTGCGCTGCTAACGCGTCTTCATGGACAGGGCCGTGTTGCTCTACCAAGGCACTCAGGCATTGGGCAGCAGAGGTAACATAGTCCAGACAGGCACCTACTACGCCGCTGCGGGGTGGTATCTTATCATCTACCTGCTCTACATTATAGCAGCTGGAGTGAGCGAACTTGGCAACGTCATCACTGTCACTGCTGAAGCTGTTTTTTATGGTGTGCTCGATCTCTGCATCCAGGTTGTTTTGATGTTTGTCTACATACCTATTTTTGCATCGTACGTTCCTGGCGTAGGCAGTAGAGGAGCGGCACTTGAGGGACAGGAGCTAGGCAATCAGGGTGTCTCACAGCCATACACACTTCCACGCAAGGAGGTACCTTCTGCAACACCCACTACTGGTATACAAGCTCAATCTCAATTTCAACAATATCAACCTCCTCCTTCACAAATTCCACAGCCTCAGCAGTATCAACAGACTCAGCCCCTTCCTCCACAGCAAGAGGCTCAACAGGAAAAAGTCACCATGCCTACTTGAGTGTGATGTATTTTTAGGGGTGTCTTGTATCTTACGACTTCTTTATTTCACTTCGAAATGGTATTTTTTTGGTAATTTATTAACTTCACGCTAATAATACTTATACTCGCCACCCTTTCAACTTTATATCTTAAGTATGTCATTTTATGTCTTGATTATGTGAAAATAGCATGCTGTATATATGTCTTGTTAATAATTAAAGTAAAGCTAATTTAATGTGTTGGGATTCCGGATAGGTATAACGCACCAGCTAGGATTCGATAATTTTTATTGACAATAAAAAAAAGAAATGAAAAAATATTAGCTTCGCCCGGTTTCGATCCGGGGATCTTTGGGTTATGAGCCCAACGCCATTCCTCTTGGCCACGAAGCTGATGAGCGGAATCCGCTGAGCCATTTTGCATAAAGTATCTATAAAATTTGTAGTAATATAAACAGCTATGTATAATTTTACAAAGGACAAGCTGCAAAAATTTTGAAAACAATTTTGAAAAATCTTTTCTCGTTCAAAGACTGATCAAGCTTGTGAAACCCGAGTTATGATATTGATTCTTTCAACGACATCAAAATCGCTGTTCACTTCACTTTCCGCGTTTTGCGACAATTGGCGGGATATGCGGCAAAGAAAAGATAACGAAAAGTATATTTTCATTTACACTCTCAAATTTAATCTCAATCCAAGCATGAGAAATGTGCAATGGGTATCGTGTCTTGTGCATATTGCATTATAGTACAGAGTTGGGAAGGGTATGTTAAAGTCTATGGATCTTGGTGTCTAGTGAAAGGACAACTTGAAATGCCTTTCGAGCGCAGTAGCGCATGAAGTTAGTAACGCATCAGCGCATCAGCGTATAACGCGCAGCTGTATCTTGATGGACTTGCGCACGATGCGTACGACGACACACAAGCTCAAGATGATGGAAATGACACCCATCACGGCTGACGCGGTGACTTGGGGAGTGGAAGCGTCTTGCAAGCAATCGATAAACTGACGACCGAGTGGCGGGCCCTTGCTGAGCAGCGCTTGACAATAGTCTGTGTCTGGAGTGAGTGGTTGTGGCGGAGGATCTTGAAGGATGCTCAAATCAATATCCGCGGGTAGATCATTAAATGGAGAGTTGGCTGTTCCTTCTCTTTCATTATTCCCTGTGGCTGGAATAGCTAGCTGACGTTTGCTGGTGGGTGTGGAAGGGTGGTCTAGTGCTGGTGCCATTTGTTGGGTTTTTGGTGATGTAGTGCCTGGGTGAGATATTAAAATATTGAAATGTTAAATTACAAATGATTCATATTCATGCCAAACTAAGTTACTCGTGACACAACATTCCATTCCCCAATTATTAACGTTTCCGTGGCTAACCTGGATATAAAAGGGTGCGAGATCAATTTGAAGTGTAATCGTAGACTTGTAATTCCCATTATAATCCCCCGAATCACATTAATCCGCGTCTTCTCAGCGTGTCAGGATCGATATCCTCAACGTCCATCATCTCAACAACCAAATGAATTCAATATTGATACCAATAATCTATCTAGTTCTGCTCATACTACCATTATCTTTATTCAGTAAAATATACAGATCATCCAACGTAAAATCCTCGATCGACTTGATCTCTGACAGCTGGTTTGAGCCACATATAGAGAGATCAACGTACATAACGCTGCTTCAGCAAGCGGATACTGAGGAGATAGTGCTCAAGTGTGCACTCATACGCAGAGCAGTCGAGGACGTCAAGAGGATCTGGAAGATGAGAGATGATAAAGTGGCCCTAGTGACATTGATACAGAGGGGACAAGTAGGTGACCAACTCCTGCAGCAGATCCAGGCAGCGGAGAAGGAGCTCGAGAGTGAGATTGTCGAGGTTGTCTCGGAAGCAAACACCTTCAGAATGGGATGGGGACAGGGCATATTCCAATCAGCGAGTGAAATCGCACAGCACGACAAGATCAAGTCAGTTCATCAAACAATCGCATAGCAATCGGTTTAAATAAATATTTGATACACAGAATATTATCTAATAGAAGGATCCTCTACCTCTGCCTCTGAACACTCTACCGCGGAAACCTCTGCCTCTACCTCTGCCTCTGCCACGCTTGAGTGCGAAAGCGGGGACGTTCTTCCTTTTTGCTGTGTGGAGTGTGAGTTTTGTGCTATAACGCGTCAAGTGCCACCCACCGACAACCTTGATCAGTCTGCCCTTGAACAAACTCTCATTAAGCGCACTAGCATTTTCCACCAAGGCCGGCTCAGCGAATTCAATATACGCGTAACCTTTAGGATGACCGCTGAACTTATCGCAGAGGATGGTGACGCGGTTGATAGTGCCACACGCTGCAAAGTGTTTTTGTAAATCTTCCGGTGTAGCGCTGTAATCAACCTGCGATAGCGGAAGCTGTTAACGGCGTTGCTTTATCGCAGAGCACAAACCCACATTTCCAACATAGACAGACCTGCCGTCGACATCCTCAGCCGACTCCTGCATATCCTCGTCACCGGCTCCGAAAGGATCCTGCTGCTGCTCACCAGCGCCGGCGTCTTCGCTCTGTTGTGGGTCTTGTTGTGATTCCTGGGTGTTCTGCGCCGTCTGCTGCTGCTGCTGCTGCTCTCCGTTTTCATTAGACTCTTGCACTTCACGCAGCCTGGCTGCTTCCTCCTCCATTTGCTTCACCCGTTCTTTCATCACTGCAATTTCCTAAGGCGGTGTGAGTTGCAGACGCAGCGTAGAGCACACAGCCAGCCCACCTTGTCCTCGTCGTCCTCCTCAAACGTTGGCTCCTCATTCGTTGGATTGTTGTACTCGTTGTTGAATTCGTTGCTGTCCCCCATTTCAGTTGACCGTTGGTGTTAAGAAGTCAGTGACGCTGGGAACTCAACGTCTCGACATGTTTTAAATTTTTATACATTTCCTAGCACCCCAATGTGTGCTATAGTAGCCATCGATGTCGCCGTCTACCTCCATCTCTCGCAGCTCCTCCAACACCGTTACAGTCTTCAAATTGAATATGATGCATTGAGAATTGTTACAATGATTAAAATTACAGAGATGAGCAAAACATGCTGTCATTTACTTTGCTTTGCTTTGTTTGATTTGTGAATGGGTTTGCTATTGAGTTTGACACTAATGAGATTATTGAGATTGAGATTTAGTGTGATCGGTATGCTTGTTACTTGTTTTACTTGTGCTACTCATGCTTCATCTGTTTAAGGGAATGCTTGCGTTGTGGTATATCATCTTGTCGTGCTGCTACGGGTAATGGGTGGTGATGGCGGCTCACGTCTGCGCCAATCGTATCGTGAATTACTCCCTCTGACTCTCGCTGGTTCTTGTGCTATTATAGGCTTGACATCAGCTTCGCTTTCGAGCCCACTCTCGTATTCATCCTCCTCCACTTCTACTTGAGCCTCTCCATCAGATCCAATAGAAGATTTGGAATCTGCCTCCTCGGCATCTGATACATACGACTCAGCTTCCGACTCTGAATCAGACGCTTCATTCGATCGGCGACCCATATCTCTTATTGCGGCTGTATGCACTCTATCGAAGACTATATCGTCGTCATACTGAAATCCCTTCTTAACTTTATCCAACCAGACAATCTTGATTTTCTTCGAAAGCGCGTACTGATCTGATTTGTCTATGAATGGACAATCGATTCCAACGAGTTGATCGAGTTTAAGTTTAGCAACGCAATCGTAGAGATGCTCCCCATTCACCACAGTTCCACTGACATTAAGATGTACTAGTGAGCTCAATGCCCTAATGTACTTCTTGTCTTTGAAGAAAAACTGTATAAATTCATCCTGCGTATATGAAACATCCAACGAACGGAGCTTATCCAGTTTGGCGAGATCTGAACGGATGAAGCGGGGCATCTTTTTGAATGAGCCATAGGCAATGGAGAGGTATGTGATTGATGGACTCAGTTTCCTGATTTGGGCGTCGAGGTCGGTACAGCATTCCAACTTTAATTTTTCGAGATTAGGTGTGTAAATTCGGAGTGTGAAGGTATTGACCCGGACTATGTGCAACTCTTTAAGTGAGTACATTGACGCAAGGTAGCCATATTTAGTCTTGTCCGTCTCAAAGAAATTGGCATATGTCGAGTTGACGATGGAGAGGCTGTGGAGGGAACTGCAGCCGTCGGCAATAGTGAGTATGGTTGTAGAAATACCGCCACTGTTTCTGCGGAAGAAGGGGGAAGACGAACTACGTGGAGCGACAATGCCATTGTATTCGAGGCAGATATCTTGACACTCGGGCCATTCGGAAAGACGGCTGATAGCACCAGGTGAAAAATCGACGTTAGTGAGTGTGAGAGATTTTATGCTTTTATTCCAAGTGGCGTTGCTGAAACCCTGCAAGAGTGGGTAGCTGTCGTAAGTAGGGCTAGCAACCATAGAGACGTGTTTAGCGGGTATGCATAGCTTCTGTGACTTTCCGTCGTAGATATTGAGATGTAGGTGTTGTAGTATGCCTGTACAGTCGCCGATGCGCTGTTTGATAAGGTCGAACATGCCGGTACTGTACAGAGTATCGAGTACAGCGCTCGCCTTGACATTAAGACTGAGACGATCAATGCTATCCCTCTTCCCTCTGAGCTGGTTGAAAGCGAATTTGCCAATGACTTTGGCTGCGCTGCCGTCGACGTCGAGGCTGAGAGCCGAGAAGGCTTTGGGAGGAGTGAGAGGCGTACGCATATCACAGCAGCCACCCACAGCGATGGTACGAGTAGACGATCCCGTACAAATGTCGATTGAGCTGCGATATCAAGTGGCTTATGTCATACAGACCAACTCTGTGTGCTTGATCGATAATGTTTATAATGATGTCTGCGTTTAGCGTTCCCAATCCAGGCATAGACGTTGGCTGCTTGCTGCACTTGCGGCTATTCTTTGTCTGTCTCTGCGGCTCTTTGCGTTTCAATCTGGCCATGGTGGGAGCGGAGCAAGGACTTTGTTTGCGATGCGGGGAAGTTATTGGTGGGCGAGGCACACGCTCTGTGCCGTGGACTGCTGCTGTGGTCTACAACCATGACTCGAGCCACGCCCGACGATATAGCGCGCAGTGTGAACGACGTCTACAAATCTTTTCCAGCCCGTCTGCGCCCTGACATACGTCCAAATGGTGCTCTGGAATGTGAGTGGGCGTGGCACAGATTCACATACCCATACTCACGTCCCCGGCGTACTCACGCGCTTATCCACTTCTAGGGACTATTTTGGCTGGATTTGTGCTGCAATCGGTGGAGGACGAACACTTGAACTGCGTCTCTGCCGGCGTCGGTATGAAATGCCTGCCTGCGTCTAGAATTCCGCTGCACGGAGATGTGGGTGTGCACGATACACAAACAAACGAAATCTGATGACGTCGGTTGTCAGATGCTGCACGATACCCACGCTGAAATACTAGCAAAGCGCGGCTTGGCCAAGTGGATCCTCAATGAGCTTTCTAGTATTGAGGCGGGAAATTCGTCGGCGTATCTCGATTACAGCGAGCACAACGAGCAAAAAACACACACTACGCGCACCCCCAAACACTCATTCAAGGCTGGTGTACAAGTATATCTCTACATATCTGCTCTGCCATGTGGAGATGCGTCGATGGCACACACGGCTGACAGCCAGGATGCACAAGAAGCCGCATACTACAGTGCGATACCAGCCTTGAGGGGTTTCGATGGGGTTGCGGGTGCAGCGGGTGCAGCGAGTGCAGCGAGTGAAGCCACTGCCACTTCTGTAACGCGCGGAAGAATGGACTACACGAAAAGAGGTTCAATACGAACCAAGCCAGGTACTTAGAACCACACTTGCACAATACACTCTCACACTCACACCTCCACAGGCCGCGCCGATGCCGGATCCACCAACAGTCTCAGCTGTTCCGACAAACTGGCTACATACACCCTCTTAGGCGTGCAGGGGGGCCTGCTTGCGAATATCATGCAGCCGGTGTACATCCACAATATTGTTATCGGCGGTGTCAGCAGTGTGGATGGGGAGGGGCGCCAAAAGTACCTCTCTGAATGCCACCGCTCACTCTATCTACGCGTGGAGGAAAGCGTGCGAGAGAGCGCGAAGGAAAGCGCTCAAGCTAGCCCATCGCGCTTGGATACGCCAACAGACCACTTGCACTTGCACTTGCACTTGCACAGACCGGTGATCGCATTCACGGAGGTGCGTTTCTGCCACGCCAAGGAGGAGGTGGAAGCGCGTGCACGTGCAAGTTCAAGCCAAGATGCGAACGAACACCCACACCCACCCGTACTTCCCGCCATGCACTGCGCCAACTACGTAGCAGGCGATTCACCCCTACAGACAGAATTGGTGATAGGGGGTCTGAAGAACGGCAACTTCCGACGCCGCGGCGGCGGGCCGTACTGGTGGAAATACAGGTGAGTGGGGAGTGAAAATTTGCATCCTCAATCACACTCACTCGCACACTCACTCACCAACACCCGCAGATCCCGTTTGTGCAGATTAGACCTGATGCGGCACTATCTCAGTCTGGAATGTGTGAAGGGAGTTAAGAGCGTGAAGAAAGGAGAGAGGGAGAGGGAGAGTGACGTAAAGAGCGGCAAGGAGGATGACGCCGACGACAATACCAACCCCACTTACTTCCAACTCAAGCACTCGGAAGCATCCAACACTTACCGCCGTCTGAAACACCTCCTCCGCACTCCGCCATCCCTCTTCTCCGAGTGGATAGTGACTCATCCGAAGCATGCCCATTTCGACAGCGAGGGGCGCATCAATAGTGATGGAAATGTAAATGGCAGAATGGATATAAATTAGCGATGAGAGAACTAACAAGTTAAACAGCGTCAACAGCGTAAAGTAAAGTAGAATAAAGTAAACTATATGAAAACTATATGAAAACTACGGCCGAGGTCTCCAGAGACGCACAGTCATATCATCCGAGCAGGTAGCGAGCTGTGCATGAGTTACGAGATTAGAGAGGGTGTCACGACAAGCAACAAGCACGCACCACATCGTCTGCCCAATCGAGTGATCCCACTTCCGCGCTAGCGGGCTGATTGAGTTGTGAGAGGAGGTCCTGTCTAGCATGTGTAAAATGGATGGCCTTCCCTTGCGACCTTTTCATCCTCTTGCTGTTGGCGATATCCCAGCTGAACACCTTGCCATTAGTACTCCCGCAGCTCAAATAGCGCGCATCGGGACTAATAGCCAGCCGGACCCAGAAAGATGCGCACTGCATATCCGGATCTGACAACTGGATCGGTGCGTCTACTTTACTGTCTAGGTTGTTCGCCGGATAGCCGTAGATGCTGGGTAGAGATGTTAGTGGGGTGTGCCTTAGTTGCCCAGTTAGCCAGTTTCTCAATATGCAACTCACATGGAATTCGTACATAGAGTCCACAACCACTGCCCATCCGAGACCATATGCGCAACGCCATGCGGTCGTCGGCTGCCACTCCCGCTGTCACTCTGAGTCATGTCGGGTGTTTCAGCGAGCGGTCTGTTTTTCACCTTGGCTTGTTTGCTTTGTTTGCTTTGTTTGCTTTGTGTAGATGTGTCTGCACCACTACCTGTAGTCTGTCGACAGCTCGAGCTCGCGCCGCGCACATCCCACAGCTTGACTGAGCCATTAGCTGAGCCAGCGCTAGCGAGAGTGTTGTCGCGCGTATGTAGGAAGGTGATGGAAGTTACAGAGCGGGTGATGCTCCTGCCGATGCTGCTCCGTTTGCGCTGCTCGGAGAGAGATGCGTGAGCCCTATCAATAGTGAGCAGGCTGTCTAGCTCGGATGGGTCGTGTGAGTCGTGTGCATTGCGTGCCTCGCTGACCACTGCACTCGCACCCCGACACCGCGTCCGTGCATCCCAGATCCGAATGGCTGGCAGAGAAGCGTGAGTGTCGTACGAAGCACCTCGATCTTCACTCACAGCCATCGCGCGCCGCACTGGCGAGTATGGGCGTGGAGAAGGGCGACCAGGCGAGGGATTTGATGGAGCCTGTGTGGCCGTGGCAGGTGGCGGTGTGTGTCTGCGTAGCCGTGTCCCACACTCGTGTCTCCTGGTCAGCCGATGCTGTCGCGAAGAGGAGCGAGTCGCGGCTAAAGCTGAGATCGAAGATCGCGTTGTCGTGCGCGTCGAAGCAGCCGACGGTCGAGTGCGAGTGAGACTGCTGTGATTGTGGTTGTGGTTGCGACGCGTCAGCTCCAACACCAACCATCGTCACACCTCCCTCCTCATCCCCCACTGCCAGTATCGGATTGGGGGTGGAGCGTGTGGATGGAATGAACGCGGTTGTGAGTGGAGGAGCGTAAGTTCGCGTGGAGAGCCTGCTGGGGAAGTGCACAGTGTCTGAGGATCTAAACGATCCTACGTATGCTCCACACATATCCATCGCATGCGCACTGAGCTGCCCATCAAAGTGTTTCAGCCGCGTGCGCGTCAGGTAAGCGTGCGGAGTGAGTGCTCGACGCGTGCTATCCAAGTAGCTGCGCTGGGCTGCGTCGTTTGTGTCGTTTGGATCGCGCAATTTGTTCAAGTCACCCAGATCGCCCACCTCACCGACGTCATCACCCTGCTTGCGCTTCTTTGAACCATTTTTAGGCGCGAAAAAGAAGGGATCGAGAGTGAGCTTGATCTTTGGTTTGGTGGGCGTGGCGCGGTTGCTAGTGCTGCTGCTGCTGCTTCCAATAACGCCGACATCACATCCGCGGTTGATCGATTCGCGCAAGCCATCGCGTGTGGACGACATGTGTTGGATGTAGTGTTTATCAACGTGTTTAAGCGTGTCCTCGGAGTGCTTTGAGGATTTTGGGAAAGTTGAAAAACGCGTCAACGCGTCGAGGTGGTGGTAGGTGTACAAGTCACAGCCACCAAGGCAGCAAAACAGCGAAATGGAGGCGAAAGAGAGCAAAGACGCGCTAGCAGCGGCAGTACCAACATCAGCGACAGAGAAGCCAGAAAAGCCAGTGGCTGCAGAGGAAGTACTCGATGGTGGGTGTATGATAATCTAGGCAGGGCTATATAACAGCAAAAACAGCGCTTTACGAACTATCGCAGGCGTTGAATAGCGGGATAAGCAAGGAGACGCTATCGAGTAGCCTGGATGTGATTGAACAGGGCGTGGATCCGACGACGCTGGCTGTGAGTTGAGTGTGTGCGCGGGGAGCGGATGCAAGTGCTGACGCGATATACGATACACAGGAAACACTCAGCTCTCTAATTTAACTGTTTACTTCCTTGTACCCTCACTCCCATGGCTGCCATTTATCATTTATACCTCCTCAATAACCAAGACACCCCGATATTCAAATCTCAGTACGCGTCTTCCAGGTTCAGTGGCGGTGGCGGTGGCGATGTGAGTGGGCCTCAGGACCTGATATCGGCTTTGGTGGGGGGAGGCGGGGGTAAACTGGGTGGACAAGGCACACACGGCGCACAGAGTACACAAACTACGCAAACTACACAAACTACACTCCAAATGCACCAGGATATCATGGACTTGGTCGCACACGCTTCTCTCGACGTCATTGACGATATCCAAACCAAGTCGAATAGCATGTGAGTGATGGGTAGTGGGTACGGTTAGCATATACGCATTCTTACGCCCCGCAGGTACCACAAATCCGTCGACAGCTTCAACGGGTGGACAGTCAGTGCGTTTATCACACCTTCGATCCGCTTCGTACTGCTGCACACAGTCACCAACGACGACAATATCAGAAACTTCTTCCAGGAATGCTGGCGGGTGTTTCTCGACACACTCCTCAACCCGTTCTACACACCCACTGATGCCATACAGGGTAAGACATTTGGCGAAAAACTTGAGAAATTTGCACGCAAGTATTTGTGATATAATCTTTGTATTGTTAGGGTTGCTTCTATACACAACTTGCGCCTTGCAGCTAATTGCAGCTAATTGCAGCTAATTGTAACTAATCCTTAATGATTGTTCTACTGCGAGGCTTCCACACTTTGCTGCGTCTGGGTCAACACCTCCACCATACCGAGACCGAGAGCCGAGTTGATGGTGACCCAGCCAGCGAACCACCAGCCTTCTTCAGCGATGGTAGTTCTGAGGCACTGGAACCAGCCTGTGTACGGTTGAGGGCGGAGAGGGACGACTGAGTCCATCTGCTCATCTTTACCCGTGTACTGCGCGCACAGCCTAGCCATAACGAGAGACTGGGTGAGGTTGACGACGATGCCTGCGAATCTAACAGGCAGCCCAAGGAAGCTGTCTGGGGGGAGGAGGGCGAGGATCGCAGAGGAGAGGAGGCTGGTGCCCGTGCTGATAGCGCTGGTTTGGAAGAGGGATGGGAGGAGGTGAGCGTAGAGCTGCGTCGGGTCGCGTCTCTCGCTCGCGGAAAAAAGGTCCCAGGACGACGAGCTGCTTGGGAGGAGAGCGGCGCGGGTCATAGCCACCTTGAAAGGAAGGAAGATGGTGTCGAGAGCGAGAGTAGCAGCGAAAGACACGGCGAATGCACCTGGCGCGTAGGCTAGCAGGATGGAGGTTGGACCGATACTGACGTTGAGCCTGCCGTATGGGAGGATTGGGGAGAGGGCCAGAGCAAGCCCGTAGTCCGCCAAGGCGAAGAGACGCTCGGATGCTATGCGGCTGACGGCCAGCCTGAGAATCGGCTTGAATATGTCTTTGCTGAGGTAGAGCTTGATATTGTCCCAGCTGGCGCGTGATTTGGCTGGCTGGGTTGCCGGCTGGCTCACTGGCTTGTACATGGCTTCGACCCTGGTACACGCTATGTTCGGCAGCATCGATATGCCCAACCCAGCAACACCCAATCCGAGGCCGACGGTTGCCATCCCAAAGTCACCAATGGAAGGAGATTCAGCGGGTGCGATTGGAGGAGATGTATTATCAGCCATTATCTAATTTTTATTATTTTAGATTTTTTTATTCGATCTTCGCTGCTGAGGTGCAAGATGGGGAGACGGGGTTCTTGGACACACACGGCGACGTCATGAGTACGCCATCTTCCAAGAAATCCAAAGCCCGGTACTCGATACATCCGCGTGGGGGAGCCATCTATCCGGCACGACTGAGCCTGCTCACACCCCACAGCCTGGGGATCCTATGCGCCGGCGCAACTCGGCATTGGGCCATCCAACACGCGCCATCCGCACGAGGCACACGCCCACACCGCACACACTCTCCCCGCCGATCCCGCCGACGCCGACCACGCCCAGATCCTCATCCCCTATCTCTCCTCGGTCGATCTCGCACGCCGGGCGAATATCTATCCACGTGGCGTGCAGATTGATAGTCCGAGCAGGGATTTAGAGGCGATGGAGCGCTGGCTCGAGACTCATCGGTGGTCGCGCGTTTCCAGCGATGCTGGCAACGATTTCCTCCCGAATAACCCTCCCATAAACGTGCACGCAGGCAGCACACACTCTACCCGCCCCTTCTCTTTCCCGCGCTTCCACAGCAACAGCCTCGAGCACACCTCCCAAAGCCCCGGCTCTGTCTTTAATGCTGGCGGGTGCGTCATGGGTCTGGATTGGCAGAGGCGGTGGCGGGAGGTGGAGGTTGAGGATATAAATCACGCGGAGAATAGCGCTGACAACGACACACCCATTCAACCCTCCATCCTCGCTGTATCGGTGCTCAACAACAACTCCACAGCCCACGGGATCGGCGCACACGACCGGCGGGGGTACAAGAGTGCAATCCAGCTATGGGGGTATGTGCCACGGCACAAGAGCGGCAACGAAGAAATCACACCTTGCTCAATCACCCTCCTCGCCGTAATCTGCCACTCTCATGGCGTTGCACTCGATGTCAAATTCAGCCCTACAGATGCTGCATATATGGAGTATGGGGATCAGGAGCGCGAGCGCGTGACGAGCGGGGCACTTGCAGCGACTTATAACGACGGACAAGCTCAAGTCATGCTCATACCCGACTTGCTCCTCTTGCGGCGCTTCTATGGGGTGGGTGATAGCGAGGTCCTCTTCCTGAACCCTCCTGCATCTACCCTTGTCATGCAAACTCCCCCCTCTAAAGGCCTCACGTGCGAATGGGCTAGCTCTAACCGCCTCGCTGTCGGTTTCTCTAACGGTGCAGTGGCTGTATACGACTTGCGCGCCGCACTTAGAGAAAGGCGTATGAGTATCCGGCCAAGCTCATACATAGATGTACATATGGGTGGCATAAACGGTATGCAATGGGTGGCGATAACGCCTCACGAGATGGCTCGAGGAGATGGAGGTGAAAATAAAAGTGAAGAAAGCACAACGCACAAGACGCTCTTACCCACTCTCAGTACAGGGCCACGGGCGGAATACACGCAGTTGCTCACGTCAGCCTACGACGGCAGTATCTGCATAACGGATGTGCGTCTAGCGGGTAGTGGGAGTGGGAGTGGCGGTTCTGTGACTCTGTTTGACCACATACGTGGTGTGGCGTATACAGTCGGGTACTCTATCCACCTTAACGCCATGGTTAGTGCGAATGGGGAGAACACGGTAGTCGCACAGGGCTTACTAGCTAGCGATTACAAACGTGGTTCCCAACTTACCGATTTCGCCTGCGCAGTTCTCAGTATAGCCACTTCTACTTGTCACCCTTTCGTAGCGGTGGCTGGGTCGAATGGACACGTGGAGGTGGTTAACCCGCTCGCAATTGTGCATGCACGGTCGAGACGTCTGCAGGTTTATTACTCAATGGACCTCTTCGCGGTGGAGTTCGGTCGTAGTGAAGAGCTTTATCGCATGATTGATCACCTCAACCCTCCTAGTAACCGCGATCGAGAGGGTACGGACAAAGGTAAAGGCAATAAGGTTGGCAACGCGGTTGAGAAACATCCTAGAGAGGAACTGGGTAAATACGCAGCTCCTTTCCCGGCTGAATCTGCTGTGCGCATTCTTAGGTGGAACCCAGATAGTGATCGCGCGGCATTGCTGGCGTCGGGAATGGCGTGTGGGTTGGTGAGGGTGGATGAGCTGTGGGATGTTGAGTGAGAATGTCTTAATAATTGATTTTATATTTATTGATATTTGCGCGTGTAGAAAAAATCATCGTTGAGTTACGACGATGAAGAAGTGAGGAGTATATATGATACAGGAACATGACTGACAGGATATAGCACAACACGCTTCGGGATAGTCCTCGGGATCAGTTGCGTATTCTTTGTTTCGGAGTTAGTTGGTAGGTGGGCGCAGTGCGTGGTGATAGCCCACTAACCAAATCATAGTGGGATTGAGAACGCGTTCATTAGCTTTGATTGCGGATAGCTTCCACTACCTATCGGATCTAGTTGCATATGTCATCGCTTTCACTGCCGCTTACCTCCGCGAACACGGCAGAAGATTGCCTGGATGGACATACGGATGGCATAGAGCTGAGTATGTTGGGATCTATCAATTATCCCATCTAACAATCCACATAGACTTGTCGGCGCCTTCTTCAACGGCGTTTTCCTCCTCGGTCTCGCACTCTCCATCTTCCTTCAATCGATTGAACGCTTCTTTAACCCAGAAAGCGTCGATCAGCCTATCGCTGTTATTTCATTAGGTGGCGTTGGTTTGGTGTTGAATATCATTTCAGCTGCTTTCGTACACGACCATGGACACGGCGGACATGGTCATTCACATGGTAAACACGAACACTCACACTCAAACTCCGACGAAGAGGAGGGTTTACTATCTAGACACTCGCATGATGATGATCATGAACACTCACACTCACACTCACACTCCCACAACGACGAAAATTCTCACGATAACGAAAACTCTCTCCACCACATGCATAATCACGTCAGACTACCACCACCAATCGATCCACATGGCGATTTGGGTATGTTTGGTGTATTTGTGCATGTTGTAGGTGACGCTATAAACAACATTGGTGTTATAGTAGTCGGTGTACTCATCTTGAAGTTGAAATCGGAAAATAGATTCTATGCAGATCCTGCAGCTTCACTGATTATATCCATAATCATATTTGCATCAGCGATACCACTCACGTTGAAAACAGCAAGGATATTGTTGGAAGTCGCACCCAAATATCTCGATTTGCAGGCTATAGAGAGTGATTTACTCTCCCTTCCAAACGTAGTTAGCATCCACGATCACCATATCTGGCATCTCTCACAAACAGATCTTCTGGCTACGCTGCATGTTAGAGTACCTTCCTCACTCACTCTCACGCAATGGCACACTGTGGAGAGAGAGATGCGTCAGTGTTTGGCTGGGTTCGGTATCAGCCACGTCACCATCGAAGTTGAAGCTGATGATGTGGCTAGTAGGGGATGCTCTGAAGGACAATTAACGAGACAGAATTCTGTTTGTTCGATCAATAATTGATGTATATAATAAAATAGAAAGATTTATGACGTATTTATCGGGTTTTATTAGATGTCTTTAGGATGTCTCTACTTTGTGTCTCTACTTTGGAATGTGAGGCAGTTAGAAAGGGAGATTGTTCATGTATTATTATTTAATATTCAACACTTTACAAATATTACCATACCTGTGCTTTATATGACGCACGACAACAGGGGAATGCAGCACAAAGATCACGCGAAAATTGGCTCTCAAATTTAAATAAATCTGAACAAACCATTGAATAAGCACATATGCATTCCGATCACCTAATAAATAATCAATGTTCACAGTAGATTCAAGTGACTGCACCCCAGATTCTCCCCTTGTTCCCCGCGCCTTGTCCACTTGTTTTTTACAAACAATCACAATGACCGCGACACTGGCGGAGACACAGCAACCGAATAAATCAGTTCTACCAATTATTTGTGGAAGTAGAAGGATCAGATTTGTTAGTTTGTCCATCTCAATCGCCGTGATTTGGATAGTTGCTTCTGTCTACTGGGGGAGTTTGAGCGGAATCGACGGCCAGCATTATACGCGGACAATAGGTGGTGTGGAAGTGGATATAGGTGGAGTGGGAGAGCGGCAGAATACGCAGAATACGCAGAACACCCAGCACACCTGCTCAAACCCATTCTCCCAACTTGGCACTCTTCACGTCAACCTCACCCACCGGGAAGAGAACAACTGGGTGCCTTTCGATAGCAGCTGCCAGCCACCACGCCTAATGGCTTCTTTAGCGGCGCAAATTAGTGGTGATACACTCTCACACTCTCACACAGACACCTCCTTCGCCCACAACAAAACAATCCTCATCATGGGCGACTCTATCGCACGCGAGACTGTAAAGTACTTTTGCAACTTGCTTGGCGAGGACGTTGTCAACTTGGGCGATGACCATCCGTGGTCGCCTTTTGCGGGGGAAGGAGAGGCGCAAAAATATAACCTTTCACAATCAAAATCACACTCACATGGCAAAAGAGCCCCCCGCGAAAGCAGCCTGCCAAACATTTGCTACATACCCTCCATCGACCTCATGCTCATCCAGTCTTTCCATTTCGGGATGGATACTGACGCTTTTTTTGCATCTAAGGAGCAGTACAATCCTCCCAACAACTACGAAGACAGATTGATAGTGCACGGGCGCAACATCCTCGACCGGATATCCATGTCGAATACAAACGAGGGTGAGAGTCGGAGTGAGGGCGAAAGCGAGAAGGAAACCAGAGCTGCACATACCCTACGCCAGCCAGACCTCGTCGAAGTGAGCAGCTCGTTATGGGATCTAGCCCGCTTCGCGCGTATCGACATAGAAGACGACAAGTCCACCATGACAGACTTGTCTGGAGACAGACTAGCCTTTTATATGGACAGAATGAGTGAGATGCTCTCTGCAACCCAGTCAATTTTCCCAAGCGCACAACTTGTTTGGCGCACTTGCCACTACCCGTCCGAATCTAACCATAAACTCGACTGGATCGACTGGATTGGCCGGAGCATCAACACTGATATCAACACTCACGCTAAAATGGCCAGACTCGAACAGGAGCGTCTCTACCAAGACAAACCGTATTTTCACTTGAATCGCCTGTTTCAACTAGACCAGGCTGCCAGGTACGTTTTGCAAAAAGAGGAGTTTGATGGTGTTGGCTTGAATGAGTGGGGTCGTCTTATGTGCGTTGCCACTGTCTTTTCGTCGCTTTCTAACTCCCCGACTAGGTTCGGCCAGCATGCTCACCAAATCGATCAACTTCACCCCTCAATGCTCCCAGGCGGCTGGCTGTGGGGTGACACTATGCTCTACGAGCTTCGAAAAGCTACACTGAGAGCAAATCAGTAGATTTGAAACACGTAGCTTAAAACACTCAATACTCAACTTTATCTAACACTCCAGACTGGATCTGCTGTACTCTATCTCCACCCGTACCCCTCACGACCACCCGAGAAGCTGGCATTCTCACTAATTACGTCTTATTTAATTCAAAAAGCTATTTATACTGCGTGTATTATATGTTGTAATTATGATCAATAGTTTACTCAATCAATTTTGCGGGTTTGAATACGAATTTCCTCTATTGTATGTATGTATATGTTTAAGTATGCAATGTCCTTTTCACTTGTCATTCGCCATTTTCTTCAATGTACTGTACTCCTGTTTCCCAGTGGCCTTGCACATCTCCATAAACCTGCTCTGTTTATTGAGCAGTTGAGCCGGTGAACCAAGCTCCACTATCCGTCCACTATCCATAACAGCAATGACATCGTAATCTATCACGGTGCGCAATCTATGCGCGATCGTGAATATCGTACTGTTCGTGAACTCCTCCCTGATCGTCGTTTGTATGAGCTCATCCGTCTTATAGTCAACAGCAGATGTCGACTCGTCGAATATAATCACTTTGCTCCTATTAAGGATGGCTTTTGTGATAACCATCAGTTGTCGTTCTCCACTACTCAGGTTGGATCCATTCTCATCCACCTTGCTGTTCAAATTAACGAACGTATTTTTGTTTTCCCGAGTGTTTGACACTTCCGACTCACTGTCACTACCAGCGCCTCGAATAAGTTGCACACGACGGAGTGCATCGAGTATCTCTTCGTCGCTGAACTCGTTGTACACATCCAGCGCTTCTCTCAGCGTGCCTGACATGATGGTCGGGTCTGCATGTAACACACGTAATTAGTGATTGCAACCCGAGAAAAACAACCAACCTACCTTGCGGTACTATCTGTAATCTCGTTCGCAAGTCTGTCAGTCCGAGAGTAGACACGTCAATCCCATCAATCAGCAGCCTACCAGAAGCAGCCTCAGTAAATCTAAAGAAAGCACTTGCGAGTGTCGACTGAGTGTGTATGTTAGTATCCACTTACTCTATCCACTCCACAAAATAATCACACTCACCTTCCCGCATCCTGTTGGACCAACGATACCGACTTTGCTACGACCGTTGACATCGAGATTGATATCCTTCAATACCAGAGGCAATTCCGGTGCGTAGCTTAGGTTGAAATCTTCAAACCTCACATTACCCTGGTGTGGCCAAGCTGCTGGTGGACGTGGTTTCGTTATCTCAGCAGCCTCCGATGGTAGCTCTGAGTACTCCTTCACTCTTTCAAGCGCGACCATTGACTGCTCCAAGCTGGTAAGACGTCTGACAGCCAAGATGAGGTTCTGAGATACGGTCATCGCAAATGCCAATGCAAAACCTGCATAACTAGCATTGATATCACCCGCAGCAACAATTCCGATTGCAGTAGCTCCAATCAAGCATGAGCTAAAGAAATTGAAACGTCCACTCAACCATCTCGATAATGTCCACAACCAATACCAAGGTTTGTTAGCATTGTCGATCTTTTCGAGCATCTCCGACATTATTAGACCATTACCGAATGCACGTATAGTGGCCACTCCCGAGATAGTCTCAGCGTAGAGACTGTATACTGGTGACTTGAACACTGATTCAATACGACGTAGCTCGCGGGATGCTGTGTTGTACATCTTTCCAACTTGGTAGTACAGCACTGATAACACACTAAGAGCGGCGATGGCGGGTAATCCACCGATAAGCATCACAGAGATAAACGAAGCAATTATTCCGAGAGCATTGACGATAGATCTCCCGAAATTGTCGGCTAATGATGAATCTATACCCTCCAAATCCTTACCGAACCGATTCAGAAGACGTCCCTTCGACACTGTATCGTAAAAACGCAAAGGCGCACGCATGCAACTCTCGAGCATATTGTCATGGATACGGCGACTTGCCTTGATAGAACCAAGATAGAGCACGAGCCATCTCAACGAACCGACGACTATACCAATCATGATAACCCCACCGTAAATGGTAATCCATCTCAACGTTGCACTCTTAGACACCAAACCATTCAAGTATGACTGTGACCATTGTGACAAGATCCAGTTCTCGACCACGGGAGAGAAGGCGGCGAGGACGAAGAGGGAAGTGAAGATTGTCCAGTAGAAAGATCCACCCATGTTCTTTAGTAATGTCATGTACACCTCTTTCGAGACGCGTCCTACTGCTCTACCTTCATCTTGGACAAGCTTCCTTGGTGCCTTGTCAATCTTTGGAGGCGTGCTATTTTGAGCTGGTGAAAAGTCCTGTGGTGATGAAGGCGTCACGCTTCTTTCTTTTTCATTCACTTTCTCCGCTCCAATTGTCGTTTCACTGTCGGCGTCTGACCCTTCCGTTTCCGTTCCGCTGCTGGGCGGCGAGGTTGCTGCTTCAACCTCAGCCATTGCCTCTTCGTCGTCCGTCATTATCGAAGAAATCAACGTTGGCTTTACTTCGCTCTCATCGAACTCAGCAGTTGTACCACTGAAGATGACTTCTCCGTTGTCAAAGGCAATTATGTTGTCTGCAGCCTGTCCGATGAGTTGGATGTGATGTGAGACGAGAATGACATTACGCTCAGCGAGCAGCGGGCCTTTAATACACTTCTCGAATATCCAAGCAGAGGTGTGTGAATCCACAGCCGAGAGTACGTCGTCCAACAGAAGAGTGGTAGCACGAGAGTAAACTGCTCTTGCAAGAGACACCCTAGCCTTCTGGCCACCGGAAAGATTGAGTCTTTAGAAGTGGTCAGCATTCTAGCCGTGATTGCAACGCAGCAAACTCACCCCTGTTCACCGATCTCAGTCTGGTCTCCATCTTCCATATACTCCAAATCGTTTTTGAGCGAACAAGCGTTCAGTACCTCCTCGTACCTTTTGGCATCAAACGGATGGTAGAAAATGATGTTGTCCTTTACACTAGCATTCATCAACCAAGGTGTCTGAGGAGCATATGCTGTCATTGAATCAACCAGCCATTCATTCATCGTTGGCTTTTCCTGAGGGAAATGTTCCATGATGTGGAAGTCAGATCTTGGGACACGCAGTGACCCACCAACGAGATCAGCCTCACCAAGTAATCCGTTGAGGAACAGTGTCTTACCGGAGCCCAACTTACCGCACACAAGCGACAGCTGTCCCGGCATAGCTTCGAAATCGATGCTGTGGAGTGTAAACACATCACCATCGTCGATCCCCTTATTGGTGTTTACTGTTGGCCATGCGAACGAGGTTTGACGCAGGATCATGTGTGCATCATTTGATACCTGGATGAAAGAGCCCGGGTGGCAGACGTTATCGACGTCTTGACTGGAGAGGTAAGATGCAATGCGGCGCACTGAAACAAATGTCTGCAAGAATCCTATAAAACATTCTGGTAGACCGTTCAGGGCAAATTGCATTTCGTTGAATACCGATACACTGGCAAATGCAATTGCTGGCGTAAGTGGTAGTCTTCTGTAGAGTGTATAGTGCATGAATGCAGTCAATGAGACTAGAAATGGCGACGAGTCCCAAATAAGGTTGAATGCAACTTCTATGAGATAGTTGAGCTTCTGCTGATATAGCTCTGCTCTTCTGACGCCAAAAACGCGTGACATTATTCTACGCTCACTGCCACTAAGCTTGATAATGCGAATTGAGGATAGTATTTCATTCATTATACTTGTTCTGTGATCACGTGCTTCCTGTTGAAAAGGTAAGTACGAACTAGTCAAGCAGAATAGAATGCCAACCCACCATGAGATTGTCTTGTGCTCTGACGACAAATTTGCCAGAGTAGTGATTAAGCGGCAAGAACAAAACAATAACGAGCAGACCAACGAGAGCTGAATGACCCAAAAGCGTGTAGAGGAAGACAGAACCGACGGCTAATTCAATAGGAGCGTCCATAAGAGTGAATACCATAATACTAGACTGACTTATCCTATCAGCGTCGACAGTCATTAGAGTCATAACCTGCGACTTGGACTTGACTGCAATGTCGTCGTCATCATCCTCATTATTCGATGCTACTGATATATCCTTCTTCGAGAGTGTTTTCGCAAACAAAAGCGAGTTGAGCTGAGTGCGAATACGGCCGACGAACTGTGTAGCTGCGAATGACCATACCTGACCTGAAAACAAGGACAAGACAATCGAACTAAAGAACAAGCACATAGCATAGTACCATTGCCAAGACGCGCTCTCCTTGTCCTCGATAGATGAAAGGAGCTTTTTGAGGAAGATTGCCGGCGTGTAGTACAAGCTGGCAATGAGAAGCGAGAGACCAACGAGCATGCTAACCTGGTACTTGTTAGCCCTTAGTATGTTCATGAACAGCGGCGTAGCGCTGACGTCTGAGTTTTTGTGATACTTTGGCAATGGTTTGAATACCATCACTCTTCTGATACCTTCGAAAAGAGCCCTTGCACGCAGGTAAGGTGGTACGAATGGTAGATTGTCTATACCCATAGATGAGGGCATTTCATATCCCATTCGCACAATAGGTGTTGCATACGTGAAGAAGAGAGTGTCGAAGATAGATCCATTGGTCGACTGGCAGACCTTGGATGGCAGTACGTCATTCCTGTGAGGGTACATTGGTTTGTGGATAGTATCAGGACCAGGTCTCTTGTTTATCACAGCGAAAACCATAGTAGCCGTCGCTAAAAGTGGTACTGGACTCGACGACGACTTGGGATGGAGATATACGACTGTATTTACGAGCAAGCTGAGTGCAGTGGTGATGGCTAGAAGGTAGTTTTGCGCGAAGCACTCTAATCCTGCATAAGCCATGCAGAGAAAGACGACGTATTGAGAGAATCCCATCAGACTCAATGCAACATTATCATTCTCCATCACAGCGTAACCGAATTCACAGCTATAGGAACCCAAGCCGGCAAGTAGTCCAGCGAATAGAAGATAGTCCAGGTATCTGTTTTTATGCTTGTACTCGTTAGGTTTAATGGGAGTATCGTTGTGGACGTATTCCTCCGTCGTTGGAAGTGACACCTTGTTGTATTTTTGGTGTACAACGAATCCAGCGATGACTGCGAACACTGCTATGACCGCATTGAGCGATATTTCAGCGGACTGGATATCGTCCATCGTGGATGACTGCGAGGAAGCAAACACATGATCGATTCCGAGTATTGAAATGTGGAGGTGTCAGGATATGTTATTTCACCGGTAAGAACTAGCTCATTAAGGCCAGTGCATTCATATAGCTCTACCAATACAGTTTTTCCATGTCTTATTTACATTCTTCATTTCGAGATGCCGAACGCTCAGATTTGCACTTAATTAAGGTTGGCGTGCCTGTCATGACTCACATAGGTTCATTTCACATCAACGCCAGCAGCATCTTGCAGTCATCGTCAAGCTCATCCAAGCCCAGCTCTTCGTCCATCTTGGTTACGTCTTCCTTGGTGGCTTCTTCACCGCAGAGGGCATCGCGGACGTCACTGTACTTCCTCATGCGCTTCTTGTACAGCTTTTTCCACTTGATAAACTCCTTTTCCACTTTGGCCGTCTCTTGTTGAGAAACTTGATCGTTGAAGTCTTTGACGTCGGCTATTTGCAGGTCGAGTTCGCCTATACGCTTCTTATGTGCACCGATAAGACTAGGCAGCTCATTGAATGCTGGTAGCTTTTTCATCACGTTTATTTCTAGCCGCTCACGTCAGCAAGATTCGATCACTTCCAGGTACACTTGCCTTTGTTGTAGTGCGCGATCTGTTCATTCAAACTTTGGTGCTCTTTTCTCAAGTGATCGTTATTCTCCACCAGCGCTGCCAAATCTTCTGGTGAGATTGCGTTGGTGTCGTCATTCTGATTGGCGACAAAAACTGTTTGCTTCCCTGTGCGAATTGAGTGAGCTTTGAGAGAGTACCTCGCCGCAGATCCCACCATAGGCTTTGGATGTGATTACGCCTCTCTCTGCGCACGCGACAAGAACTTTCTGAGTGGCGAGCTTGCTGACGCTTTGGCCGAGATTAGTAGAGATGTCGCCTATAGCGGGCTCAGTCGAACAGCCAAATAGTTCTCGCATGACATACTCGCTGAATAAGGCCTATTGCGCTTCTTGAGATACTCGACAACTTTGGTCTCGACTGTTTGGCAACATTAGCAGGAGATGAGCGGAACAATAAGCACTCAATATCATCATCTCCTTTCTTTGGCTTTGTCATGCTGCTATCTCGTCGCTTTGCAGAATAGATGATGACCGTTTGCCGTGAAAAATTTAGAGGAATGAAATGATAGTGTGTTACAAAGAGAAGTATAATATATGATGCTTGAATGATGTAATGAGTGTTTATGTGTATAAGTTGTATTGATATCGCTTTTACTCAAGCTTTGAGCACCTACACGCACAAATGTTGAGTATTCTGTTGAGACGTTTGTATGTCTTGCTTTGTTTTGACTTTGCTAACTTATTGCGCATCTTAATTCTCTTAGAAGCTGGTGGCACCATCTCCTCTGTCTCAGTTTGCTTGACTTTCATCGCAAATTTGCGTCTGATTCTTGGCCCTTTTGGTTCTGACTCGCACAGTGGCAACGTCTCCTCAATGTGTACGTTTGAATTGGATAGGTCTTTGTGTTTCGTCGTCCTCTGCGTAAATAATGGTGATTTTAACGGCGATTGAGGGAAAGTGCCACAGTCGTCGAATTTTCCAATAGCCAGTGCTGTGTTAGGCTCATAGAAGTAATCACAGCTGTCCTTTTTTCTCGTCTTCTTTCTTTCCGTTTTTGATAATGTCTTCTTCGGGGAAATGTTATACCGACCGATAGCGATGCCGTGGTCTGGATCGAAGAAACCGAGTAGCAGCGATGATGGTGGGCGTCTCGCCTTATGCTGAGAGCCGTCTATGGCAGTGTCATCTGCTGCCACCTTCTTCCTGTGGACGGGTTTGCGAGTTTGTGTGGCTATCGAGTGGGAAACAGTAGCTGACCTCTTTGGACCGTTGATTGGGGTTTCTGTGTGCTCATTGACCTGCTCAGATTTTTCATCCTTTTCCTTCTCACTCTCCCGCTCGAGTGAACTGAAACTGGATTTCTTTGTCTTCTTTGTAGCAGAACTAAAAGAGCTAATGGTGTTCGAAGCGAGCGATGTCATGGACATTTTCCTCTTGATTGAATTCCAGAAATTGGACTTATTATCGCTGCTCTTGTCCAGAAAAGTCTCACAACGGTTGAGACCAAGATTGAAACGATGCTGCAGCTCCCTGTGTATATCGAGCTTGGCGTATGCTTCAGAAGCTCCTCTTTCATTTACAGTAGCTGATCTGGACAAAAGCTGATGTGCAAGCTGTGATGGTGTTCTGCAGTACGGCTTAGGCTTTTGCAGACTACTGTTATTGCTGTCACTGTTGCTGTCACTATCACTGCCTTTATTGGCGAAAACGAAGCCTAATGAATGGCAATTGCTGGAGTTTTGTTCCGTGGCTGTCGACGTGATCACATCGGGTGCGCTGGATGTATAGCGATGCGGCATAATGAACTGTGCAAGTAAAGAGAGTTAGAAGCTGCATATAATATCCTCTAGTCTCCCAAGAAAGCGCACGCCTGCCTCGTCGATGAAATTCCAGACTTGCGAGAATTGCTATGCTTGTCAGATACATTCCGCGGTGAGCTACGCAGATCTATCGTAACCAGTCGATATCAAATATAATACAAGTCTAACTCCCATATATTCCCTATAGACCCGTATACACCCCCACACTCCCCGTTCTTCTCTACATCCATCAATGTCCGCTGGTGATATCGACGCCCAAATCGCTCAGCTGAGGAAATGCGAGCCAATATCAGAATCTCAAGTCAAGGAATTGTGCCTCAAAGCGCGTGAAATCCTCGTCGAAGAAGCCAATGTACAATACGTTGATTCACCTGTTACGGTGTGTTAAGCGTGCTAGAAGATACACACGCTCATATTTACTTAGATATGCGGTGATATACACGGTCAATTCTGGGATCTTATGGAATTGTTCGAAATCGCCGGACAGTGTCCATCAACCAATTACCTCTTCATGGGCGACTTTGTTGATAGAGGATTCTATTCTGTCGAAACGTTCCTTCTCTTATTGTCCCTGAAAGTCCGTTACCCTGACAGAATCACGCTTATACGAGGCAATCACGAATCGCGGCAGATTACTCAAGTCTATGGGTTTTATGATGAGTGTTTGAGAAAGTACGGCAATGTTAATGTCTGGCGGTATTGCTGCGAAGTGTTTGATTACCTTTCTCTCGCTGCGATTGTTGATGGAAGGACATTTTGCGTTCACGGCGGTCTCAGTCCTATGATACAGACGATCGATGAGGTGAGCTTGTTGAAATGGCTGTTAAACAATTCCTAATATCACTGCAAGATACGCTCAATCGATAGGAAACAGGAGGTGCCGCATGACGGTGCAATGTGCGATCTACTGTGGTCAGATCCAGACGATATAGATAGTTGGAATATCAGTCCACGTGGCGCTGGATTCTTATTTGGTTCTGAAGTTGTTCGACAGTTTGTTCACGCGAATGACCTCGATTTGATTGGTGTGTTTGGGTTTTTATGGCTCGTTTACGCTAACAAATGGTAGCACGCGCTCATCAACTCGTTTTGGAAGGATACAAGATAATGTTCGATAATTCGATTGTTACAGTGTGGTCTGCACCAAATTACTGCTACAGGTGGGTGCACACTACTGTGATATAGCCAGATAGATAACACGGTAACAGATGTGGAAATGTAGCTAGCGTGCTCAACCTAGAGGAGAGTGGAGAACAAGTGTACAAAACATTCGAAGCAGCGCCCCAAGTGAGTAGATTGTTTGACAGTAGCTGCTTTACTGAAACACATTGCAGGATACCAACAAAGTTCCGTTCAAGAGACCAACACCACTGTATTTCCTTTAATTGCTATCATTCACGTACTGCATGCCTATATTAATGACATTAGTTGGATTTCCACGGTCTGAACTTGTCTCCTCTTGTCTTCTCTCGACAATCAACTATGGCCACGCTTATCCCGCCCCCACGCCGCAAGAAGGCCAAGACGGCCCACGAGGAGGAATCTAAGCAGGACAGCGCGATTGATGCGCCATCGGTTGTTGTCCAGTTCACTTCCGCTGACGACGGATCAAATTTGGGACCAGCGGTGAATCTTCCAGCAGATACGCCCAGGGAAGCGCTAGAAGTGTTAGTAAATCAGCTGAAAGGCAGTGTGAGTGATTAGTGTGAGTGCTGTGTCCATACTCATCTCCTCACAGTCAGACGATCCAGTACCGTTTTCGTTCCATTTAGACGTCGAGCACATCAACGAGAACGTGAAGCCTGAAGAAAAGGCCTTGAAAGCGTCAAGGTTGCCCATCAGTACCAACATTCTAGCTGATGCGCTTTCTCAGAAGAGCATTACAACGTATGGCTTATCAACCGAAGACACCTTCAAAATAATCTGTGAGCCACAGGCGGTGTTTAGAGTAAGGCCCGCTTCACGCTGCTCTTCTACGCTTTCAGGTCACTCGTCGCCTATTCTCTGCGCCGCATTCAGCCCGACGGGCAATATGCTCGCTACAGGTGGCGGAGACTGCACAGCACGTCTATGGGACCTCAATACTGAGACGCCGAAGCATACACTTGTTGGGCATCCTTCTTTCGTTCTTTGTGTCGAGTGGGAGCCTCGTGAGAGAATGCTCGCTTCCGGCAGCAAAGACGGTAGTTTGCGTCTTTGGGATCCTCGTACAGGCAGCGCAATCGGTGGAGCGCTCACCGGACACACTAAGTGGGTCACTAGCATTGCGTGGGAACCCGCACACCTCAATGCGAAAAACCCTCGCTTTGCAACGTCCTCCAAAGACTCAACGGTTAAAGTGTGGTCGAGCGACACGCGTAGGTTGGAGTACACACTCGGCGGTCACACAGCGTCGGTTAATGTAGTGAAATGGAGTGGCGAGGGCGTGCTGTATACGGCTAGTCAGGATCGTAGCATCAAGGTGTGGAGCAGCGATGGGAAATTGATTAGATCGCTCAATGAACATGCTCACTGGGTTAATACTCTCGCCCTGTCCACTGATTTCGTGCTGCGTACCGGCCCATTCGACTGGCGGGGTTCCAAACCTAGCAGCGACGAAGAGGCACTCAAAATGGCTAAGGAGAGGTATGACGGCTTGGTAAAGAGAGCCTCCGAGCTGGTGATTAGCGGATCGGACGATCATACACTCTACCTGTGGTCCCCGCTCACTTCAAAGAAGAGCATTGCGAGATTGACAGGACACCAGAAACAAGTGAACCACGTTGTCTTCTCCCCTGACTCTCGTCTCATCGCTTCGGCTAGTTTCGATAACGGAATCAAGTTGTGGGATGGGCGTACCGGAAAATTTGTCGCTAGTCTCAGAGGACACGTCGCACCAGTGTATCGTATCGCTTGGTCAGCCGACAGCCGCATGCTTATCTCGGCATCAAAGGACTCGACATTGAAGGTGAGTGGGTTGCAATCGAGAAGACACTTCTGACGTGACGTGATGGATGCAGATATGGGATCTCAAGACTAACAAAATCCGTGTTGATCTTCCTGGACATACAGATGAAGTATACTGCGTCGACTTTGTGGCTGATAAAGTCGTGTCTGGTGGCAGAGACTGTACGGTGAAAATGTGAGTGAAAATTTTACGAGAGGACGAAAAGGGATAGCTAACCAAGTGGAACAGATGGAAGAACTAATAAATTTATAGAAGAATTGTAATTTAGCCAGTTGAGATTAATTGTAAGATGAGATTTAAGTCCTTTCTAATAGACCATGACGTTGACGATGCGTTTGATACAAAAGCAGGCAGCAGGAGCAAGAGTGGGTGCCTGGCGTGTACACCACCACACGGCTAACGCAGCGCAGCCATTAACAAGAGCATTTACAAGAGCATTCGCCACACAGCACAAGGACTCACCGACATCGCCACAGACGAGCAACAGCAGAAACCAAACACCGAGTACAGAGAATGTGGCTAGTAGAGTGCGGAGTAAACTGAATGATGGACTCGGCTTAGACGACTTTATCCGTGGGCCTGAGCACCTCGACGATGCCATCCAATCAGCCAAAGAAGACAAGGAGGACAAGGAACGTGTGCAATTGGGTAAAACAGGCGAGCCACGTCTACCAGACTGGTTAAGAAGCGCTCCCGGGGCTACGGTGCCAACGTCGAAATCGTACAAGAAAATTAAGAACGATTTGAGAGGATTAGGATTGCACACAGTATGTGAAGAAGCTCGTTGCCCAAATATTGGAGAATGCTGGGGTGGTTCCACCTCAGATAACGCAGAAGAACGCGCTCACGCTACAGCTACTATCATGCTTATGGGCGATACTTGCACACGTGCTTGTAGATTTTGCTCTGTTAAAACAAGCAAGGCTCCTCCACCACTCGACCCACACGAGCCTGAAAACACAGCTGAGGCTATCAGTAGATGGGGCATTGGTTATGTCGTACTGACCTCGGTTGATAGAGACGATCTCGTTGATGGCGGTAGCAAACATTTCGCAAGCACTATCATGAAAATTAAACAAAAGTCTCCTAATATGCTCGTCGAGGCGCTGACGGGAGATTTCCACGGCAGTTTGGACTCAGTCAAAACACTGGCGATGAGTGGATTGGATGTCTACGCTCACAATGTTGAGACAGTGCCTGAGTGTACGCCATTCGTGCGTGACAGGAGAGCATCTTTCGAGCAGTCGCTTAAAGTGCTTCAAGTCGCAAAAGAAGAGAGAGGTGGACTTAACAATCCCAAAGTTGAAGGAATGCAAGGATTAGTGACTAAAACATCGATTATGCTCGGAGTTGGTGAAACGGATGAGATGGTTGTTAATGCTTTGCGTAGATTGAGAGACGCGGATGTGGATGTCGTAACGTTTGGACAGTATATGCGACCAACAAAGCGACACATGAAGGTAGATCGATATGTACATCCGGATGAATTTGAGCAATGGAAGAGAGTGGCAGAGGAAATGGGATTCCTCTACGTCGCGTCAGGACCATTGGTGAGGAGTTCATATAAGGTGGGTTTCAATCAGTTTCTATGTAGAATCATTTAACTGATTGGTTAATGACACAGGCTGGTGAATTCTTTATTGAGAATGTGTTGCGTGGTAGCAAGAAAGGCAACGTGAAAAAGGCGGTTGCAGAACTAAGCAGTGCGGAATCACCGCTCAAGAGTAAAGGTCAGAATAGAGGATGAGATAGATGAACAGAAATATAATTTCTATGTATTGATGTATGACGAGTGTTTGAGATTGATTGGGTGTGGAAGGAGCAAGAGGGGAGTGTTATATAGTGTGCATTTTTAAGGTTATATTGGAATACAAAGCAAATGGAGAAATATAAATTTTTATGATTTCAGTCAGTTAAAATATTTCTCCAAGTAGTCTTCTCCCAGGACACTCACCAGCGTATAAAAATGGGTGAATAAAAATCTAAAAAAACAAAAGCACACAACTCACACGCTACAGAAAACGACAAGGGAGAACTCGTTGATCTTTACGTACCACGCAAGTGCCATGCCACTGGTCGTTTGATTACACCAAAGGATCACACCTCAACTCAAATCTCAATTGCTCAAGTTGACGCTAACGGTAAAATGACCGATGGCAGAGAATTCATTGCTTTGAGTGGAGACGTTAGAGCTATGGGTGAAGCAGATGATTCTATCAACAGACTCGCTACAGAGAGAGGTCGTGAGTATTTAATCTTTACCCTTTAGGCTGATCTAACCACAATCCCACTAATTTAGTCCTTCGTAACGTTTTCTCTTACGCTAAGTAAGAAGATTTTCTTTGTACTCACACTATGAACAAATCTTCTTATTAATCAAGTTAAATAAGCTCAACAACCCTATTTGACAGAATCTGTAACATAAATTCAAATTAAAAGAAATTAAATACAATTTCTGTCCCAAGCCTATATACGCTATGATGAGCTACCTTGTCGATTAAGCAGTTGACGTTGGCTCAGCACCAGCACCGGTACCGGCACCTTCTGCTGCGTCTTCATCTTGGTACTCGTTAAGTACTGCAATCGCTTCATCAACCTTGCTCTTCATTGCGTCTTCATTCTCCAATAAGAAGAGTAACTCAGAGTTCTCCATTTCTAATAACATTCCTGTTATCTTACCAGCCAACTCTGGTTGCACGTTGAAGATCTTTGGGTAGAGCGCTTCACCAAGCATTTGCTTTTGCTCTGCAGGTGGTGCATTCGCCAATACTGATGCAGAAATTTGTCCTCCACCTTCTTGCTTAGCTGGTTTACCACCTTGTGCTGGTCTGACTGGTACACCTGCTGGTCTTGGTCCTGGTCCTGGTCCACCAGCTGGCACTGCTGGTCTAACGTTTGGTGCTGGTGATCCACCTTGGACTTGTGCTCCGTTCGTACGTGCTGGTCTTGCTGGTCTGTAATTCGTTGGCATGTAACCTTGTGGTGGTGGTCCATATGGTGATGGAATTGGCATACCTGGAACTTGTTGTCCTGCTGGATAACCTCTTGGTCTTGGTGGAGCGAATCCTGGTTGACCATACATTGATCTACCTCCTGGGTAAGCTCCTGGTGGTGGTTGGTAGTACATTGGTGCACCTGGCATGAATCCTGAGATTGGTACTCCTGCAGCAGCTTGGTGTTGTAATCTTAATTGATTACGTTGAGCAATTTGTGACTCCAATTGTTGGCGTCTAACATCTCTACGTTGTGCTAATGAAACGTAAAGTGGTTTAGATCCAATCATCTTGCCTGATAATTCTGAAACTGCTTTAGTTGCTTCATCTGGTGAAGAGAAACAAACAAATCCGAATCCCTTTGATGCACCCTTTTCATCCTTCATTATCTTTGCGGATGTGATAGTACCAAATGGTTCAAATTCTCCAACTAATCTTTCATCATCAAAGTCATCATCCAAGTTCTTAACGTATAAGTTTACTCCTGCGTATTTAGCCATCTTTTCTAACTTGGCTTGTTCGTAGTTTCTACGAAGTTCTTCTTCACGTTCAGTCTTCTTTTGAGCACGAGCAGCAAAGATTCTCTTTCCTTCAACTTCAACTTGGTTGAGCGAATCGACAGCCTTTGCAGCCTCTTCGTGGTTCTTGTAGTTTACGAAACCGAAACCACGTGAGTTACCTTGCTCATCCTTTTGAACTACTGCTGAAAGAATTTCACCGAATGGTTCAGTGATTTGCTTGAACTTTTCATCATCAACAGAGACATCAAGGTTTTTAATAAAGACGTTGGTGAATTGAGACTTTTGTTCATCAATCTTTTGTTGACGTTCCTTCTTTGAGACGTGGTGACCAACGTAGACCTTCTTGTCATTAAGAAGCATACCGTTGACGTGTTGAATAGCAGCAGACGCAGATTCACCGTTCTCGTAGTGAACAAAACCGTAACCACGAGAGTTGCCATTCTCATCGGTAGCAACCTTGCAAGAGAGAACGTTACCAAAGGCGGCGAAAGTGTCATGAAGAGCCTGTGAGTGGGTGTGTTAGATGATAATTTTATGAGAATTTTCACAATTAAACGCACCTTGTTGTCAATAGCCTCATCAAGGTTTTTAATGAAGATGTTGCCTTGGCCAGTTTTACGAAGGGCAGGATCACGTTGAGACCACATGATGCGACAAGCTCTGTTCTTGATAAGAGAGTAGTTGAGCTGTTCAAGTGCGCGCTCTCCGTCTTGGAGGTTGAGGTAGTTGACGTAAGCGTAACCGAGGGAGCGTCTAGTAACAGCGTCTCTGCAAACACGGATGCTGGCAACTGGACCAATCATGTTGAAGATTTCGAAGAGCATTGCCTCAGTGACGGTTGGATCTAATTCGCCGACGTATAATGAAGCAGACTGAGGAGGACCGTTGTTCGATTGATCAGCAGATTGTGGAGCTGGTGCCGGTGCTGGAGCTGGCGCTGGAGCAGCTTGGGCTTGTACATCACTTTGTACTTCAGATGGGACTTGGGCTTGGGACATTTTTATTGATATTTTTTGAGTTTTTATTTGAATTTATATTATTTATAATAGAAATTCGTTATACGGATCCCGTCGATGGAATCTCTTGCGATAGACCGTGGTAGAGTTAACCTGAGAGCCTCGCTAGGGTTTCCTCGGCTTTTGATAGCCCTAAAATTTGTTCTGAGCGGCGCATAAGGTATTTTGTACTAAATATAATTATATAGCACTAGAATTATGATGGCAGCTATCTTTCTCTCCCTCTTTCTCTCTCTTTCCTTCTTCTCCTTTGGCTGGCACGAAGGCTAAGTCAGCAAACATTCTTCCATTTCAATTTAATCTACAATTTAATGCTCTCCTTCTAGAATAACCTCCACTTTGGCAAGTTGCTCTCCTTTCTTGGTTTCAGCAGCTTCTGCTTGCTCGACCGTTTCTTCCCGCTTCAATTCCCTCTTGCCCTTCTTCAGTCCCACTTTTCGAGCAGAAGGGCACAATCCCTCCGCTGGCAGCTTGCAGTCATGACATTTTGGTCCCACTGGTAGACATATCGTCTGATATGGTGTCGTTATGTGAGCTAACGTTGCGTACAACCAATCAACCTACTTGTCCAAAACCAACTAGCATCTTGTTGATATCTCGATGCAGCTCTTTTGGCAACCATGACTGCAGATTTAGACGTGTCTGTTCTGCCTGTGTCGTCGGCGGGTTATGCCAGCCTAGTCTGTTTGTAATACGGTGCACGTGCACATCAACACCTATACCATCATTTCTAAACATTATAAGATGAAGATATATGTGGTTACTGTTCACCCACTGATTCCATGCTGCTTGCAGTGCTAAGAAACCCATCTTGGGACTTGAGGTAGTGTTAGATAAACGACACACTTTCACCGCAAATCAACCCACCCAACGCCAGGAAGTGAACATAGGTCATCTATGTCTTTCGGTACATCGCCGTCGAACTTGTCTTTCAACATGACAGCAGCCTTCTTGAGGTATCTGTGTTTTGATGAGCAAGTTCATTTTGCAACAAGCCAACAATTCCAACGCACTCAGTCTTTCTTCTCCAGAATCCCACCTTACCAATCGCATCCTCTGTATAAAAAGAGCAACAAACAACGTCAAATGTGATAATAGACTTGTTTCAGCTTACGTATTTGTTTATCTGTCGCAGCCAAGACGGATTCGAGAGTGAGGCCACCTTCCAATACATGTCTAAGATTATCTACAGCCTCTGAAGTTACTGGGTCTGCTGAGAGCGTTAATTTGGCTTGCAATACAACCAAAACTGCAACCTTTTGTCTGTGATGATAGCATGAGCGATACGAGGACTTGGTAGCGCTTTGTCTGTGTGACGTTAGAAAGTGCAGCGGTTGACATTGCAGAGGTGTAACCCACACGAGCGTCTAATTCTTCAGTGGGTTCTCTCTCGCATCCGAGTGTATCGACAGGGGCTACGTGCAGCGAGCGCATATCCTTGATAAGATTATAGACCTAGATTACTGTTCAAGGTGGTTCAATAGAGATCCTGTAAACCCACTCTCTCCCAATTCTGTGGCGTGTCGTGGGGTACATCCAACTCCCTCTGTATTTTCTTGGTCTTTGATCCGGCTGATGTTGATGACTTTGATCTCTTTAACGGCACTGTCTTCTCTTCTGGCTCGAATTCAACCATTGTGACTCTGCTATCTGCGCCACTGCGTTTCGAACGCAGCCTGCGTGAAGGTGCAGGTGGCAGCGGCGGTGGCGATGGAGATGAGGACATTATACGGTGAGAATTCCTGGCGATTCTTTGTATTGAGGGCTTAGAAGATGGACGTCAGGGAGAATGGGAGTTTTAACGTCATAGATAGCAGCAAGTGGTCAAAAGACAACAATTAGGGATTCATAGGGAGTGTTTGTGAGTATCACTGTTTGTACGATTTCACTGCCTTCTGTGGCTGCTTAATCTCGCTTAAATGACGAATAAGGACTGATACTTGTAGACGACCCAAGATAAGCACAAATAGATAGCTAAATAACTTTCAAAAGTCTTCAAATAGCTTCAAAAAGGCATTACTCGCCGCAAGTAGAGTATATGCTGAAGAAGTAAAGAGAAGACAAGCCCAGCGAGGCAGATTGAAAGAACAAGTACACAAATACACAGAGAATAATCTCAGAAATCGATATGCCTCGCTCTTATTTCACCTTGACTTGGAATAAATTTTTTTCGCAACCATTTCATTTCTTCCACAGCGAATTGCCTTTCTTCAGCGACACAGTAGTGAGTACAAAATTTACAGCACAATAAGCAGAGACTAACAAGGGCAATAGTGGCAAAGAAGGCGTGTATCCACCACTCAGCTTGAACTTGCTCTAACACTCCTTTAGGCAGCATCTGCAGCTAACCCATCAGCCGGCAAGGGTGGAGCCAAATCAAAGAAGAAGTGGTCCAAGGGCAAGGTCAAGGACAAGGCTCAAAACGCTGTTGTCCTCGACAGACCAACTTACGATAGAATCCTCAAGGAAGTCCCAACTTTCAAGATGATTTCTCAATCCACCCTCATTGACCGTATGAAGATCAACGGCTCTCTTGCCCGTATCGCCATCCGCCACCTTCACAGAGAGGGGTGCGTCTATTGCTATCCCTAGAAACCCTACTCACCCGCCTCGCAGAGCTATCCGTCAAATTGTTCACCACAACGGTCAATACATCTACACTCGTGGTAGCCAGAACTAAGCATCATTTAAGTGTAGTACAAATGCAGATAGTAATTTCCTGTTGGCTGTGTATTTTTGCAAGTCTCGTTTGTTTAGATTAAAGTCTTAAAAACTTTTTGTGCGCTAATATCTATTGGGATAATTAAAGAGTCAACTACTTTGAGTTTTGAAGTACCATAGACAATGTCAATAGTAGAGATGTGTTGACAACACCACCCTTGTCGAGTGGAAGCATAGCAGCCGTACCGAGTGGGTGGTACTCGGTGTGTGCGTCGTCTCTGATAGCCATATCAATAGCCTCATCTGTGTTGTTGTTGTAGTTCTCTTGTTTGGTAATGTAGTCACCCATTTCACCAGCCTTGGATAACTCAATAGCAAAGCGAACACCTTGACGCATCATTTCCATGTCAGCTGAGTGTGTTAAGTAGCCTGGATCAATGGCAGGGTGGGTGAATGGATCTTTGGATTGGTTTTCAATAACACCACGACTGTTTTATGTGAGTAGAGTTAGACAAACGCAAAAACCAAAACTCACCTGAATGGATGTTGGATAACAAGTTGGTAACCGATTTCACACCATCAGTACCGCGATATTCTTTATCAAAGTTGATATTGAAGGTGTCAACGTGTTCTTGACTTGGCTTGTGGAGTGTCTCAGACTTTTTCACGTACTTTTGCATTTCTTCCCAACCCCAATCGATACTTGAGTCTGGTTTAAGGGTGTTCCAAACTTTTTACTCATCGGTAGAAGCTCTACACCAGATAGGACTGTTGATAGCACCAGAACCACCTAAACCTTTACCACGTGGTCATCCCTTGTCATTGTTGATAACTTGTTGTTTAACGAATATGTAGTTCCAGTCATATTCAGTGCCTGTAAGGCCATTCAAGTAGGACTAATCTGGAATGAAAATTCGATATTCGTACTCAGATCCATCACCACCAGCTTCAATTACAGTCAGTGAAATTCTCGTTTTCACTTATTCTAGCAGCGACGACTAAACCACCAACACCGCCACTAACGACAATGAAATCAAAGTCTTTGTTATTGACTTTGCTTACGTCGTCGGAAGTATCCGCGTGAAAAGTCAACCAATGATTGTGCTTTGAGTTTGGATTATATGCGGCGAGCGTGGATGACGCCAGTGATGCTAGTAGCAGTGAGGTGATCGTAAGTTGCAATTTGATGTCAATCTAGAGCACGTAATGGACAAGATACCGATCCGTTTGTGTGCTCGATATATATGCCTTAAATTTACTGAACCACAGAGACCACTAGCGCCCTCATAAATCAATTGTTTATCCTCCGAGACGTGTCTTGCATTTTCAGACGCGTAGCTTTCACAGCTCTAATTTCTGCGTCCAGCGACAAATTAATGGCTCTATCGCTCATCATACACCTAGTGAAAGCTACCCATGCTTCAAAAGGGGGGAGTCACCCCAACTCTGAACTTAGGCGTTTGGCTTCAACAGGTGCATTTCAAAAATTTAAAAGTGTAGTTGAAAGGCGGTTGAGGCTGTGTTGATATCGAAAAGGTCATAGTATTACTGTGGACTTACAAACATCAGATCCTTCTTACTATAACATGCCATATCTAGCTGGTCGAAAGCGGAGCATATCACTAAATTAGACATTAAGCATATTCCCAACCTGATAATAAAGTCATGAAGTTCAGAATAATACCATCATCGCCGTATTTGGAAACAAGTAGACGCTTGACGCGTTTGTTAGTTAACATGCAAGCTTGGGTCCAAGATGCTGCTGAAATATGGAAGCGGGAGAAAAGCTGAGAGAAATAATAGCGCGAATAAGTTATCAATAAGGGATCTCACCTGTGAACTGACTGTTGAGTACCTCAACAGCACGTCTGCAATGTCACTTTACTACCAAGTGATGGCTTAATAATGGCATTTAGATACTTTAAGGAGTTTTTGGCTATGATTTACTTGAAAAAAGGCTAAGATATAGATATTTGCATGGCTAGCGCTTTCTTGCTGGCCTAGCGTGACCTTGAACTCACCAATAGACAAAATTAGTTGAAATTACATACAAAAACCCTTCCACATACTACAGGCAACATTATATATTGCGCAGGTACTTAATTAAGCTTTCGGAGACTTTATTAGAGCTCTTGGTCCCGCTGATCGGATAAAGTCAGCAACGTCCGCTTATTTATAAGGAGGCTTTTGATTGGAATTAGCTGTCATAATTGCGTATATGAATGATATGTACTAAAAGAAGAATTCGAATTAGAAAATTTACCGGTCCGAGTGCAGTTCCTGAATCTGGAGAAGTGATAGACGGGGCACACGAAAGGCAAGACACAGAGAGAGAGGCTAAGAAAGGGCTGAGGGTGATTCAAAATACTTACGGGACAAATTCATTAAAAAACATTTTACAAGAACCCTTAAGCTGACGCTTTGACCACCAAGTGAATAAATTGGATTACAGGGCCGTTGGATGCAACGATGAAGCTTAGGCCAGCGATTAGGAGAGATAGTAGGGCTAAAGAAGGGAACAAGAGGTTAGTGGAGTGTACAGCCTTAGAATGTCAGCTAATGGAATGCAGCCAATCGCAAAGGAAGCCCGTTGACTACAGCTACGTACATTCTACCCCAAAACAAGCATCAGACGATAAACCAATTATACCACTCTCCGTAATTGATACGGATTTCACAGATTTAGAGCCAATTCATATAACTCCGAAATTCGACGTTATCGATTATTCAACGGCGCAGCCAAAGGCAAATACTGAAATGCAGCAGCAGCTAGGGCAGCTGCAGCCACAGCCACGGCCAAAATCTCAGCTACAGCCACAGCCACAGTCACGCCGAAAATCTACAACATCAATTTTACAAGACAAACGTCTTCCTGATCTCCCATCAAATCCCTCTCAGCCGCTATCATCAACGCCATCACCGAGTCACAGCAATTCCGAAGACTTGGATGACTTCGGTCCCCTGAAAGTGGAACACACTTCGATTGATTTGAAACGCAGACAAAAGCAACAAAACCGAAAAGCTATGACTTCGTTGCTCGGGTCCCCAAGTGAGTCTGATCTTGATACCAAAATTAATCGTGAGCCTCAAATCAAATACCCCGATCAGGTTGATCCTTCTCCACTTCCCCCACTTAAATCCAGCTTCTTGGAACCACAGAAACCGACATCGGCGAGACCAGCAACGTCATCAAGTTTAGCCACACAGACTCCACTTGCTAGTTTGTATTTGGTATCTGGTCTGCCAAAGGATCCAGCTGCTTGGACATACGCCGACGAAGCTTCTGTCGCAAATGTTCATCACTCACCTAATGCTGTTGGCAGGTGGTGGAGAGCAGAAACGCTGGGTACGAGTGCTTCTCCAGGTATCAGTGTCCCTGGTTTAGATTTCAATGGCAAGAAAAAGCGCGTCGGCGGGATGCCTAAGGACGAAGTAAACAAAGTGCAAGCCAAGGCATTAAAAGTGGGTAATTAATTAGCTGGATACACCAACGCTAAAACCCATACAGCTCTCATTTACTCAGGAAGTTGAAATCATATCGTCATCTCTTCAACCTCCATCCACAATGCACTCTTTTTCATTCAGCGTGGCTTCACAGCGATCCAATACCGGCTATACGTCGAACTCAATCAACTCGCAGCAATCCAACTCATTCAATTCAGGCTGGGCGAATACTCAAACAACCAATGATTCAAAAAAGTACGACTGGAATAACCAAACATACCAACAGCCAGATCCACTAGGTCTTAACGATCAACAGCCCGGTGTAGACAGAGATGGCCGCAAGACATATTACGGCGTTGTCCTCCAAACGTGGTCGCATGCCGATCCAGGACGAGCACATGCTATTCGGAAGGCGTTATCTTCGCGTCAGCGCCGCGCAGAGAGTCTCAGTCAAGCATCAACCACCGATAAACGCGAGGACTTAATGCAAAAGAGGCTTAACGTGAATGGAAATGGTGGTACAGATGAAGCGTCTCGCAACAGTGACAACGAAGATTATGAGGATGCAGAGGATGACACTGCTACTGTTGGAGATACAACAGATATATTAAGCGATGTGAATGATGCTCTGCCTAGCCAAGTCGGTGCAGGATTGGCGTATGAAGATGCTCCTTTAACCGGCGCTGTGCCTGAAGAGACACTATTTTGGCTGCCTTACAGCCTCACTCTAGTTTCTACGCATCCAATCTATGACGTTCTTGCTGATTACCTATCGATTAGCTGGGCGATGCATAGTCGCGACATTAGCTCTCATAGCGCAACTATGAAGAGCCTGTTGGAGAAACCAGCTCCAAAGTACGGAGAGATGATCAAGTTGCCAGCAGCTGGACGTGCGCACAAGCATCGTCGACTGGATGAGAAGGATGAGAGGAAACGAAAAGACAAGAAGAAGGCTGATTCTTCACTCACAGTGATTGCTCGTATGCCTGGTGCTATCAATTTTGGACAGAATCTGCTCGAAACGGGATTCACATCATGGCCTCTGTTCAAGTGTCTTTCTATTGAGAACATCCTCACTGTATGTGAGATAGCACTTGCGCCTACTGGACGCATACTCTTCTTATCGCGATACCCGCAAATGCTCGGTGTAGCCTGTCTAACGCTGCAGTATATGGTCGAGAGTAGGGGTTGGGCAGGGCAGGTGCACCAGATAGTACATGCGCGCGACTACGCAATCCTCTTGGAAGATCCAGGACAGTCAATTATAGGTGCCCGCACCGAGGTGCGCTATTCTCTCAAGCCGCCCGCTGAAGTATGTGCAGTCGACCTCGACATGAACTTTGTGCAGTGTATCAATCCGCCATCTGGATATGTCAGTACGGGTAGTCAGAGGGAGAAGAAAAAGCAGAAGCTAGTGGCATCGTTCGGCACATACCGTCCCGACGAATCAGTGCCTTCTGAATTCAAGGAAGCATTTCCGTCAGGCAGGTTCATGCCTCTGTGTCAGGTAGAGTCGAGAGGGAAAGCGCCTAGCACCATTGAGCGTGTACAAGCACCTTATTGGTGGGATCCACAGTCCATCCTAGGCGCATTCGATAGCGTTCTAGCTTCCCGTCATAGACGCCCATTCAGTATCATGAATCTGCTCACTCGTTCTCATAAGCGCTTGCCACGGTTGAGCGCAACTGAGCAGAAAACTCAACAGGCTATACGAGCCCGCGTTGCGCAGTTTGTCGATAGCAGGGACGAGCTCGAGACGAGGATCGGCAAGCTAAACAAACGTCTTGGGTTTTTGGTCGTCAAGAGCGAGCAGTGGAAGAAACGTTTTGAGCAGTTCGAAAGTTATGCTGAGAGGCTGTCTTGGGAGGCGTCTCATCTGCGCAGCAAGATTGATAGGGAGAGGAGAGAGAGTAAGCGACTGTCGGGGATGGTCATCCAGCAGACTAAAGCGAGGGATAGCTTGGTGAACCAGCTCCGTCAGACGGAATTCTTGAGAGCGGGTGCATTGGCTGAGCTGGACGTGATGCAGACTCAGCTGCGCAGGTTTGAGAACGAGAGGGATGATATGGTGTCACATATTACAACCAACCTCAGCGATGCTATCGGACAGTTGGATAAAGCAGGTCAGACATCGCGAAGCAACAGCCCTTGGATTGGTGATAAAAGGTATTCTCATCAGAAGTCCAATTCGTTAGAGAGTGCTATCCCGGAAGAGTACGCTGTAGATGACGATTATGTAGAGAAGCTGTCGAACGATGATGACAAGGGTCTTTCAGATAGTGAGAGCAGATCGACGTACCAAGTGCAGAAGACCATGTCTATGATACAGAATAAATTGGAGAGAGCACTGAGCGATCTGGAGGCGAGTAGGAGGCAGTCGATGGATGAAGAGGCGGAACCAGTTCAGGAAAAGACTGAAATCATACAAAAGGAGTAGGTAGTGTGTATTGTGTAGTGGTGGTCTTGCTGACAATGTCTTAGTCTCAGAAACATACAGCGCTCGCAACAATTCATCCGCCAGTCGCAGCTCCTCCAGGTGGCGAAAGACTCAGAAGACAAGCTAGCAAGCGTGGAAACGGATGAAGCTGAAGCTAAAGGGGGGAGCGATGCGAAAGAAGGCGGGAAGGAGTCGAAGGAGTCAACGACGTACGCACGCAATTCTAAGCGACGCTCAATTCACGCACCTGCCCGTCTCAGTCTTCCACCGCGCAACTACCACGAATACGGCGACGAAGAGCAGAAGGAGTTCTTGTTCGACAGTGCAGCGAACATAGAAGAGAGAAATGCGGTGGCGGAGGAATACATTAAATACAAAAACCACAAAAAGGAGTTCAGGAAGAGTCTGGCGAGATTGTCGCAGTCGCAACAGCAGAGCCAGAGCGGCGAGGAGGACAAGTATATGACGACTTTAGAGAGCCCGCAGAATCTGAAGGGCAGCTTGAAAAAGAAGCAGGTTAAGGATATCGTGCTCGTCAGGGATGGCGAGAAGTCTGAGGAGGAGCAGACGCGTAACAGAAGCCAGGCACTAGCCTTTTTGGAGGGGAAGTAATAAAAATTTCACGAACAAGAATTAATCGCTACAATTAATGCAAATCGCGAGGGATTTACTGTAATATATTATTCTAACTATATAGCCATGTTATCATCAAGTACATAATATCAATTACATATTTTAAATTTCGGAGGTTGTGCACTAACGTCGATCATGAATCGGCACGAAGAAGAAACGCGGCGGATGGAAAGGCAGATATCAGAGACAATAGAGGCTGTTAGTGTCTGGTATTATCATCCAAGTGATTCTCACAAACTACCAGCTCACGTCGATCAGGAGCACGAGTAGTACGCGGACGGCGCAGCTGATAGCGCTCGAGCGGAATCTAGCGAGTTTGGTAGTGAAAGGGAAAGCGAGTGAAGCGGAGTTTGAAAGGAGAATGCGAGGAATGCGCTGTTTATTGGAGAAGCGTACGTCGCGTATATCGAGCATAAGATAAAGACTAATCAAACGCAGTATCAACAGTGTTGATAAGCCATTTGCGCGCATTTACACGCGATATACCCGCAGAGAGTAGCACAGAGATATCGATCACGCTCTCAATCTTGCAGGGGCTCTCGCTGCTTAATGGGCAGTGCAAGAGGGGGCTATCAACGACGGCGGCGATGGAAATACTTTTCGAGCTGCTGAATGTTAGCGTAGTGGGATCGCATTCTGTGGATACTACTCTCGTTGCTGCAGACGTACTCGATGCGTTACTGTGCGTTATCGCAGGTAGCACCACGGCTATACGCACGCTTGAGCATCTTAGAGGATTGGAATGCATTGTGCGTGTCCTGCGTCGCAAAGGCGTGGATGCGGCAGTCAGAGTCAAGTCGCTCGAACTGCTCTACTTCTACCTCCTCCCCGAGAAGAGTGAGACGGGTGAAAAACAAGATGACCAGCCTATCAACAAGGCAATCGAGCATATCAGCGACGTGCCATACTCGCCCAAATCGCCGCTTAAGAAACACAAATCGAGCTACTCTATCGATGCTGGTCGGCGGCCATCGAGGCTGCGCTATATATCATATGGCGGCGGTGGAGGAGTTACTGGCGGTAGTAGTGGCAGCGGCAGTGCAGATGAGGGCAGAGAAGGGAGAGAGAACAGACGTAAGCTCGCACCGACGCACACGCGCTCGCATTCTGATCTCAAAGTTGGTGGGCGTATGGAGAAGATGGAGGATATACCACCAGTACCGCCAATACCGATGGCGCACAATGACAGCCTGCAAGTGACGCAGCAGCAACAGCCGCTGCCCAAGACACCTGAAAAGAAACGCTCAGTGCCGTCGTCGCGGATGGGTACACCGGTGAGTGGACAGGCACAGGCACAGGGACCGCGCACACCTCGCACACCGCGCGTCAATGGAGAAGTGCGTATACCGCCACCAACGACACAAGACAGTACGCGTAGCGTCGATGAGAAGAAGATAATACTCGGCAACTGGCTGGGTAATGTGGATGCGTTGGTGCGAGGGATGCGAGAAGCGGGAGTATGGCAAAGTTGAATGTAGAATGTAAATAAAAGTTAATAAAAGAAAATATTTAAATATTTATCTGTTTGCGTTATCTACAACCACCAATGGACGTCACCCAGAAAGTTGAAATCAACAAGCAAAAGGCAAATGAGGAAACAAACTCAGTGCCGCAGCTCGGAGCACTTGAAGAAGATGACGAGTTTGAGGAGTTTGAGGTGGATGGTGAGTGCGAACGCGTTGGCGTGGTGGGCGTAAGCGTGGGCGTAGAGGTAATCATACGCACACACGCAAATACAGCCGCCCACACATAAACACACACACACTCACACTCATCCCCTCACAGACTGGAGAGACGACGAGTGCGAGGTGAGCAACATGGCCACAAACGACAAATTGTGGCAGGATAGCTGGGACGACGACGAGTGGGTGGAATTTCTTGTGCAGTGTACAATTCCATTAACCTCCGCAACAGCCAAGACGACGATTTCAGCCACCAGCTCAGAGCTGAATTACAAAAGACGGGCGGCGATATGAACATGAGCACATGAAAACGCCTTAACGGCTTTGTAGGATGTGAAAGAGAATAAATATTTTTTACAGGAAACTTAACATTGTTCGTTCGCTATAAAGCAGTGGGTCTGTGTGTTGTATATTTATTTGTAATGTCTATTACCCTGATCTTGATCTTGATATTTGGTATGCTAATGCAATTGCTAGTCCTCCTGCTCCTGCACCTGCTAATGCTACTGCTTAAACAGCGGTGTTGTATGCACGTCATGTGTGGAAGAGAGCGATGGAGTCTGCTGGTATTCGTCCTGGGCGTGCGTATGTGCCTGGGCTTGTGCCTGGGCCTGGGCCTGCTCGGCCCTCTCGATTGACGAGATAGATCTAGAGAAGTCCTATGCTATGTCAGTACATCTGATCAGAGTTGGCAGGGCAGGGTGGGCAGAAGGGGAGTCTTGAGACAGCAGACGTCTCGCCGACAAGACAATGCACGTCCACTCCCCTCTTCCCTTCTAGAAAATCTAGGAAGAGTTCTATAAAAAGAAAACACTCCACAACTCACATGCTGAGGTACGACACCGTATCCGTGACCATTAGTGAGGAGATCCGAGACAGCTACGCCTGCGCCGCCGTCAAATCCGTCGTAGCTATGAAAGGAGGGACGAGACGGGGAGAGTGTGTCATCTGATTGTGAGGTAACTGCAACCGCACCTGCACCTGCACCTGCTGCAGCTAATCCACCAGCACCCACGCCACCTGTCAAATTCGCACTAGATCCCTCCTTGTATCCCCACGTAGGTGACCCTTCTCCTTCTGCTTCTACCCCCCTTCCGGTGCTCACTGCCATGCTGTGCGCCCAGGCACGCTTCTTCATGTTCCTGCGGACAGCCCATGCGACGGCCTGGAGTAGGTGTCAGTGCTTTTTCATAAATAGACGGGGAGTGGGAGTGGGTGTGGAGTGGAGGCATAGCCTTCTCAGTGCTTTTGTTTATTTCAAAATGAATGTATTCGTATCAGTGAATGTGTGAATTTGTGGAATATGTTAATAAGAGAAAATTGTTCTAATTACTAGCGAATTTTCATCGCAGTGTGAGAAGGTAAGAAAGAAGCCAAGTGAGAAAGAAGCGAGTGAAATATCTAATCTAATCCAATATAGAGTTTCTGTTCGAAATAGCGAAGAAGTGGAGAAGCGAGAAACGAATAAAGCAACAAAAGAGAGATGGAAGTTGGAGAATCGGTATGTCGGTTTAAGAAGCTTAAATACTAACACCAATAGTAGCCAATCCGACAATACCGACAACTACGCCAATAGCGATGCCCTTCTTGTTAGCACCACTGTCGCCATCGCCTTCCTCTGAGCTGCTGCTACCTTGTTTGTTTCTTTCGTCCGGATCATCTTGACTGTAGTGAGTCTTGATGATATCAGCTGCCTTCTCAGCAATACCATAAGTAGTCGCCATCAAGTGTGCGCTAATCTCTATTGGGATAATTGAAGAGTCAACTACTCTAAGGTTTGAAGTACCGTAGACAATCAGAGATGTGTTGACAACACCACCCTTGTTTAGTGGAAGCATAGCAGCCGTACCGAGTGGGTGGTACTCAGTGTGTGCGTCGTTTCTGATAGCCATATCAATAGCCTCATCTGTGTTGTTGTTGTAGTTCTCTTGTTTGGTAATGTAGTCACCCATTTCACCAGCCTTGGATAACTCAATAGCAAAGCGAACACCCTGACGCATAATTTCCATGTCAGCTGAGTGTGTTAAGTAGCCTGGATCAATGGCAGGGTGGGTGAATGGATCTTTGGATTGGATTTCAATAACACCACGACTGTTTTATGTGAGTAGAGTTAGACAAACGCAAAAATCAAAACTCACCTGAATGGATGTTGGATAGCAAGTTGGAAACCAATTTCACCTGGGCCTCCACCCAACATGGTCATTAACATCTCCAGCTGACCAACTTCCTTATCGAGGTAACCATGGGTGATGTTCCATTGTTCACGCATACCAGCAATAACAGTGTCGTCTTCATTGTACATGTTCTTGACAGAGTCAGCGTATTCATCAATGTTGTTTTGGATATTTGATGAAAAGTTGTCAAGTTGGTCAGACATGATGTCATTTGCATCTGGGTAAGCGATAGCTTGGTTGACGTATGACCACTTTGATTTACCGTCGTCATTTCTCCACTTTTCTAATTCAACAGCAGCCGTTTGATCATCCTTAAGCTCGTACCACGTTTCAGCGACGTTTGTGTTGAAATAGACTGAAGTTGCAGCGTGATCTTGAAGGTTGTGACCAACACCTGGTAAAGCATTCTTTACTTCAATGTCGTATTGCTGAAGGAGATCTTCAGGACCTATACCGGAAAGTTGCAAGGTTTGTGGAGTATTGACAGTGCCACCAGACAAAATAACTTCCTTGTTTGCAGTTGCACGGAAGTAGTCGTTTGAATCAGTTGAGCCATCAGTCTTGCCAAAGTAGACACCATTTGCGACGAGGTTACCATCAGCGTCTTTTTCATCACTGAAGTCGACAGTAGTGACTTGATGGTTAGTAAGGATAGTGAGATTTGGACGTGGAGGGAGAGGGTCGATGTAGCCAGCTTTTGGATCAGAGCGTGACATGTTTGATGGGTTGATGGTGGAAGTAGTGATGACAGGACCGTGGTTGTTACCAGAAGCACCATCTTCTGGGATATTAATACCGAGAGAATCGTAAGCAGGAATCCAGTGCTTGACAGGGTCATAGATGTAGTATGGCCATCCAACTTGAATAGGGCCATCAGTACCGTGGTATTCTTCATCAAAGTTAATGTTGAAGGTGTCAATGTGTTCTTGACTTGGCTTGTGAAGTGTCTCAGACTTTTTCATGTACTTTTGCATTTCTTCCCAACCCCAATCGATACGTGAGTCTGGGTTGAGGGTGTTCCAAGCGTTGTACTCATCGCTAGAAGCTCTACACCAGAAAAGACCGTTGATAGCACCAGAACCACCTAGACCTTTACCACGTGGCCATCTAGAACCGAAGGTCTGGTCGTTGCCGTTGATAACTTGTTGTTGAACGACTTTGTAATTCCAATCGTAATCAGAGACTGTTAAACCATTCAAGTAGGAGTAACCTGGAATATAAATCTGATCTTCGTGCTCAGATCCATCACCACCAGCTTCAATTACAGCCACAGTGAGGTTTTCATTCTCACTGATTCTAGCGGCAACGGCTAAACCACCAACACCACCACCAACGACAATGAAATCAAAGTCTTTGTTATTGACTTTGCTTACGTCGTCGGAAGTATCCGCGCGGGAAGTCAACCAATGCTTGTGCTGTGAGTGTGGGTTATACGCGGCCAAAGTTGATGATGCCAATGAAGCCAATAACAATGAGGATATCTGTAATTTCATTTGTCGAGTTTCTACTTCTTGGTGGCTCGTGTCGAAGCTTCAGTTGCTAAGTTTGGAATGTAATTAAATAAAAATGATACCGAGTAAAAACCTAAAATTAAATAATTTTATTATTCAATCACCGTGACAGCTCTGTCAAATCGGCTGTATTGGGGATTTTACTAGATCCAAAATTTTCGAATGTCCGCCAATTGCAAGAGGGCTGTGTCAAGTATATTAATAGAAAGGTGTATTATGTGAATCTGATTTATGTAATTCACCCGATACCATCTCCGGTTTTTAGCGATATTTGTGGGTTTAGGAAGGTGGCGTGGTGATAAGCACCATCATCATCAACGATATCACCAACGATGGCTAGAAGTAGGAGCATTATCATTAGAGATGAGAGCAGTACGCACAATCAGCAATACAAAAGTAAAAATATCTGGAATTATCCAATAAATCAATTCAACGTTGCTCAAAATAAATCATCTTCAAAGGAATTGATTTTCGATTATTTGGTTTATTTGGGTCTTGTTGGGAAGTTTGAGTTTTTAGGAAGCGGTGGTAGCGTCGGTGGTGGCAATGGCACTCCCAACCTCCACAAACACATCGTCTGCCATCACTTGGATGTAAAAGTGGAATACAGACTTATCCTCTCAAACGCCTTAGATAGGCTTATACAATCCACTCACTCTCTCACACATCTCCACTTGATTCTCAATCTCTTTAATTCTCAGAAGAAATCTATCTTTAACTCGATCCCTAGAGGCGCTGGTCCTGAAGCTGCTTGGATATTTCCTTTACGTTCCTTATCTACTATAAATCCATCTGATAAAGCGATTGAGGTTTATAACAATGGTTGCAAATTTTCATCTTCAACTAATCTAACTCGATTAAACAATCTAATTGACGTTATCCCTTCTTTCATCATTATCTCCTCATATCTCCTACAAGACATTCCCAAGGAGTACCATTCTAGACTTGAGACATTACAACAAGAATTAAAAGCACAATCAATCTCACTTAATACTTATCAATCTTTGTTAGATGGGTTGAATTCCCAGTTTATATTGCAAACAGCGGGGAAAGGCAGTCTAATGGAAGAATCTTGCGAATCTGAAATGTCGCACACATCACACCCATCCACACACTGGTACACACTTTTCGCAGACTTACTCACATATGCTCTAATCCAGGGCTACATGGAATATGAGTGGAAGGGAGTACGACCAGCGGAGGTTTTATTAGGGATGACGCGGATGCCTATTTCTGCGCAAACAACGTCAAACCCGATGTCAGAAAAACAAAAACTCAGCAACGCACTCAAGATGCTCTTCAGTGATAAGAGCATAGTGCAGGCGGAGGAGTTGGATGGGATGCTGCGTGATCGCTTAGGTAATTTCCTAGATATGTCTGAGAGTACGAGTGATTTGGGTGAGCATTTGCACGCGCTGGAGTGTAAATTTGCGGAGAAGCAGTCATACTCATACGCATACCCCCAATCACGCTCGCACTCAAACGCATTCGACGCGCGTCTGCTGCAGTTCTTCGCCGATTTCGATAGATGGCTGGGCGTGGCGCGGTTAGGGAGGAGAGGAGGTGGACAAGGTGGACACACTATACCTACTCATCCGAATCACCATACTCACCACTCACCCCGCTACAAACAGCACTCCCCTCACCCGGCCCCGCAGCTAAGCCATCCAGCCAACCCACTCTCTATTGCAGCATTGCTTGGACCGTCAGATGAGATGGGGGTGAAAGGGATGGAGATGGATGAGGGAGTAAAGGAGGAGAGTCAAAGTCAGAGTAACGGTTACGCACATACACACACCCACACACTCAACAGCGCTAGGTGGTTCGTCGTTAGCTCTTCATACCGACAGGACAAGGCAGGCGAGGCACATGAGACACACGACTCACACATCGCACACATATCGCAAACCACTCCATCTTCACGCACTCCCGCAAGGATGCCGTCGTTCACCACGAACGCATGCCAAGTGGCGAATCCAGGTGCTTTGAGCTGGCCAGGGCCATATGGGGTGTGAGTAGGGTAGAATGGGGAGTGACGCACGGACATGATAATATGCTTTGTTTGCTTATGCATTGTAATGACAACATGACAACATGACAAGATATATGACCAATAATAATGCAAATAATATGTATGCAGAGGGGAAAAAGGACTTTTTTTTTGTTTTAATAAAGAAAACACCATCTACGCACTCTCGATATCGAGTACTTGACCAGCAACAACAGTACCCCAACCAACGAGACGCCAATGTCTCTCAATACGACGTGAGAGGGCAACCTTCTCACCAACCTCAGTGCAAGCAGGAGAAGTGAGGTATATTTTAGCTAAATCAGCTTTAACTGACATGACTCTACCACCTGTAGAAGTAGAGCCAATGTTAACCATGAGAACCTCATTCTTTGCCAATTTAGCGACCTTTGTTTGTTTCTTATCATCGCTCTTTACACCAAGAAGACGTCTGAGGAGGAAGTAATTAATTTCCAATTCGGTGTAGATGAATGGGAGGCCGTTAGGTGCACCGAGTACTTGACCGACGAGACGATCAGCTCTGCAAAGAGTAGGATCAATTTTAGTGCCCACACCAATCAAACCACCTGGAACTGCAAAGTTGAGTTTATTCTGTTCAGCGAGGAGGGAAACAATTTTTGATTTAATAGGTTTGCAGTGAATGTTACCGTCGTTGTCTTTAGTGACGATACCAGGACGAACTTCAATCTCCTGACCAATGTGTAAGACACCTTGTAGAATACTTCCACCAGCTACACCCCCCTTAAGATCATCGACGTCAGAACCTGGTTTGTTTACATCGAATGAGCGAATGACGATGAGTTTAGGTGGGGCAGCGAAATCACGCTCAGGGACAGGGACAGTTTTGACGAGATACTCACAGACAGCGTCAATGTTGTATTTAAGTTGAGCACTGATGGGAACAATTGGAGCATTTGTGGCACTAGTACCGTGTACGAAATCGACAATACTCTTCCAGTGCTCTTCAGCTTGTTGTTCGCGGATAAGGTCGACTTTGTTTTGAAGAATGATGATATCCTTGAGTTTCATGATTTCAACAGCAGCTAAATGTTCAGAAGTTTGAGGTTGTGGACAAGATTCATTTGCAGCAACTAATAATAATGCAGCATCCATAACAGCAGCACCGTTAAGCATGGTAGCCATGAGAATGTCGTGACCAGGACAATCAACGAAGGAAACGTGACGTACGAGGTGCATAGAACCTTGACAGTTTTCATTTTCACATAAAGGATTTGGTTCTTTGTTGGATGGATAGCTTCTATAGCAACCAGGTCTAGGGCATGAGGGCTCATCGCATTTGAATATTTTAGCATTTGCGTAACCAAGTTTAATAGTGATATTACGCTCTAATTCATTTTTAAAGCGAACGGTGTGTACACCAGATATAGATTTAACAACAGTTGATTTACCGTGAGCGACGTGACCGATGGTACCAATGTTGATGGTAGCTTGGCCTTGTATGATAGATTGATGGAGTGGGTGAAGATCATTGATTGATAACCCATTGAGTGCGCTGCTGAGTGTGTCCACCATGATTGTATCGGAAGGGGAAGAAATTCACAATAAAATATGTATAAATGTGTATAAATGTGTATAAATGTAAACAAAAATAAATAAATAAACTAAACATCATTTGTATCATCTTTATCAACCTCTTTATCTTTTACATCTTGTAATCTTTCATATAGGATTCTGTATGGGGATTGTGAGTTGGTAAGTTAATACATATAATGTAAATAAAACCTACGCCCTAAACAACTTTGCGCGTTTAATTGACCATTGAGTTTTAAGTAATTTCAAATAAAGTGAATCATTTTCCTGGATTTCAAGGTTTATAAGGTTAATAAATGAATATAATATGTATAAAATAACTCACCCTCATTACTCCTCTTGTCTTAAACTTCATTTCTCTAAACTTATTTACATACTTTTCATCGTCCGCTTGACTTGCAACTGTTGGACCGTTCGCAGAAGGATTCCTATTTCTTGCTTTAGTTGCAGCTTGTGAGGAATGAGTTGAATGAGATGCTTGAGTTGATTGTGGTAAACCTATTGGTAATTGCTGTTGTTGTTGCTGTAGATTGTGTGGTACACTGGGTGATATAGTTGATATAGTTGATACACCAGGTACTCCATTCACGCCTTCAGTTACCCCTGATCCACCCACGCCAATCATATTTATCGGTGGCAATCTTTCTTCCTCTCTTACACCTTCACTCATCACAGTTAGTTTATAACGTTATCATGTTCAAGCAGCGTAAAGTGAATAGGTGTAATTTTAGTAATAAACGTGGTATTTTCAATGAACAAGATGATCAACAGAGTATAAACCAATCTCAATCCCAATCCCAATCCGCTATCCATGAAAAACACCTTTTAAGGAAATTAAAGAGGACTTCTCCGGGTATTGATGTTGATAAGCTGGTTAGTGGAGGTAATACTCCTGATAACAAACGATCGCGTTTGGATCAGGATATTGAACAGGATAACCATTCAAACCACTCAACCAACTCAAACTTCACCACACACTCACCAACTATAAACGTCGATAAGGCTATGATGGTGTTCATTGAGGAGGAATTGAAGCGAAGGAAGGGCGATACTCATTCACTCTCTCATACGCCCACTCCAACTCAATTAAACGATCCTTCAAGTGAATTATACGCTATTGCTCAACAATACACTCCCAAACACCCTCACAAGCAACCCGCACACGATGGCAGTATTACTCGCTCTGAGAGTATGCTCACTACTATCCCTGAAGTCGATTTAGGCGTGGATGCTAAACTCAGGAACATTGAAAACACCGAAAAAGCTAAACAGCGATTTAAGCATACATCTAATCATTTAGATCAAGTTGATAATTCTAACCACTCTCAAATCAGATTCTCTCAACCTTCCCTCATAAAATCACGTATCGATAGCAGTTCTTTACTCCCAATCAACCAACAAGATGCAATCAACGATTATAGACAATCTGGTAAGGCGAGTGATGATGATCATTATTCGAGGTTTAGACGGAGTGATAAGTGATGTAATAATTCATGTATAATAACATTCACGGGTATAAATTGGATATACTCATTAATTACTGCTTATTCCCAACTCCACCCTCTGTAAACACACTCAATAATGCAAAACACGCATATAGTAATGCCACAGGATATGCAACCAATAGCCGCTGTTCCGTCATCTGCTGGACTGTGACAAATATACCACTAGCGGAGAAAGTGCACCAGAAAGTGATGATAGTGGATAGTGCATAACCAATCCAATTATCCATCTCAAATGGTACGCTAATCACGGATAGGATAACCATAGGTAGGAGACAATAACCGAGAACTGAAGCAGTACGTGAAACTTCAATACCTTGTGGACTCATAACGTTGAGAAGTCCATATATACTAATACTACCGACCAAGGCCACACCATAAATATAACCAAACTGCGCCTTACCCGATAGCAACAAAGCTAAACCAAATGCACCCCAGAAAACGAGTGGTCCAGCAAGATCAGCATCGTCCATTAAGCGATCATCAACTTTATTAGAGAATGGATTGAGTACAGCGAGTGATTTCGTGAGTATATGACTAAAGTTAATACCCAACTCGCTCAATAAGGCATCTTCACCGTCCAAACCGCCAGTGCCAAATGCGTGCCACCAAGGACCATGATAAGTGGTGCTCATGAACCCAGCACTGTTTGGAGATAGACTGGTGTATCCATCGTTTGTATTTGCCGTGCCCATACTCATACCCATACTCCCATCAATACTAGATGCAGAAGCAGGGACAGGATTACTGTAGAAATTTAAATCTGGCTTGTAGAAATTTGGATTTGAATTTTTAATTATATTTTGATTATCGAATAGATGGGAAGACATGGTTGTACTTGTTAAAGTTTAACCGTCATCTACTTGTAATGGTTAGTGGCTGTAAATAAATGGATAAACCTGCTAATTTAATTTCCACAGCCTCAAAACGAGTACATTGAAGAACACCAAAGGAGATACGGTAAACGTCTCGATCACGATGAGAAACTTCGCAAGAAGGAGGCTAGATCGGTGCACCAGAATTCAAAGGTCGCCAGACAGACTCATGGTCTCAAGGCTAAGATGATGCACAAGCAGAAGCACGCTGAGAAGGTTCAAATGAAGAAGACTATGAAAAACCACAGCGAGAGGAACGTTAAAAAAGATGAAGAGAAGCCAGACGATAGCGCTGCTCTCCCAACCTACCTCATGGATAGGAATGAACAGCGTGATGCCAAATCCATCAGCTCAGCCATCAAACAAAAGCGTAAAGATAAAGCTGCGAGGTTTAGCGTTCCCCTTCCAAAAGTTAAAGGTATCGCAGAGGAAGAGGTTTTCAAGGTTATCAAAACCGGCTCCAAGAAGCAGAAATCTTGGAAGAGAATGATCACTAAACCTACCTTTGTCGGTGAGAACTTTACCCGCAAACCTCCAAAGCTTGAGCGTTTCATTAGACCTTCTGGCTTGCGTATGAAGAAGGCAAACGTCACTCACCCTGAACTCAAGACTACCTTCCAACTCCCCATCATCGGCGTTAAGAAGAACCCTCAGTCTCCTCTCTACTCTCAACTTGGCGTCCTCACGAAGGGCACCGTACTCGAAGTTAACGTAAGTGAACTCGGTATGGTCACTACTGGTGGTAAAGTCGTTTGGGGTAAGTATGCCCAAATAACTAACAACCCTGAAAATGACGGTTGCGTTAATGCTGTACTTCTTGTTTAATTTTCTTATCTCTTAATTTTTGAAATCTTGTGATAAATACTCTGAATTGGTTATAGTATACAATTGTTCATTATCTTTCTTATTATGTATGTATGCTCGCAAAAATTTTGTTCTCACATCGGGCTGATATCTAGTGAAACATCTTGAAAATCTTCATTCTTGTTAAGTGTTGACTTGTTTATACGCTCAGGTGAGTGTACAAGTCTGATAGTTGACGCCATTGGGTTGGTTGACTCATCTGAGTTGTTGCTATGTGCAAGTCCTAAGCTATTCCTTATCCCACTGCTATTACTGTTACTGTTGTTATTATTGTTGCTGTTCTCACCACCACCATTACCATGCTCCAATCCCAAACTATCCACTGTGGCATTAGATGTTGATGTCAATGACAATGTCGGCGTTGATGATCTACCAAAATTTCTTAACTCGGTTATATCCCCATTAGTGTAATCCTGGTGCATCTTCTGCTTTGATACTGTTTGTTGTACGTGCGATGGCAATATCCACGACTTGCCATTGTTTGCCTCATTTCTCGCCTCATTCGCAACCTCCCTTATTTGATCAGATGTAGGCAAATCTATTGGTGCAGCTGGTGGAAGTGTGACTGCTGATCTGCGTTGGTGTGTTTTGCCATTATCTGAGTGGCTCACTCTCATCCTATCCGACTTTCTCTCCGGTGTTAAAGTCGCTTTACTTGTTGATGGAATTGGTTCTGTTTGAGCTCTCTGTTTTCCAGATGATTGTGGTATGGAAATCGGTGAGAGTGTACCATGAGGGGATTCAACGTTTAAAGCTGGTGCATCTTCCTCCCCAAGACCGATTTCCGACCAAAACTTTACACTCTTATCAAATAGCGCCTCAATAACATCCCAACCTTTATACTCGCCACCAATTTTCATTCCAATTTTATTTGCAGATCCTATATAGTCATCTATACTATCAATAGAGCTACTTAAGTAACTATCGTCATGTTTAAAAGTAACTTGATCAGTTTCTAATAAGTCAGCGAAGTGAGACATGAACTTTCCCCAACCGCCAGAGCCATCAGAATGACAAACAACAACCTTTGTATCAATATCTCTACCGAAAAGAATGACTTGACCAGGTACAGCACCTGGTTGATCAGTTGGAGGATCTAAATCTACACCAATGTAATTACCCATTTTATCAGTAGCTAAAGGTAACCAAGCGGGGTTGGAGTAGAGACATTTTACCCAACCATGAGGAACAGATTTCATGCGTGAAAGTAAGAAATGATTGTTATGAACCTGATCATGTTCATCAACGCTTCTCCAAAAGTCATACTGTTCAAGTACGTCGTCGATGGGAAGGAGGTGTAAACCAAATAACAAACCATCGGAATCGTTATCAATGTCTTGACCATCATGAACTAAAAAGTAATCTCTAACTGCAGGTGGTAATTGAAAACCGATATTAAGTTCAAGAGCGTCTAAAGTGAGAATTGAAGCGGGTATATTTAAAGTGTCATAGATCTCAGGACATCGACTCTTTGACCACTTTTTAATACGTTGATAAGTACTTTTCAAAGGAGGATAAGGACTTGGTGGTGGAAATGGATGCAATGCAGGTGAATTCGGGATGAAAGTAGAGCTACTTGGTGGTGGAGTACCACAATCTGATTTATTCAAATTTGGGTTTAAAGGGATAACTGATGGCGTTGTTGGACTGCCACTAGCTGCGACGCCTCTATTACGATTTGGTATTGAAGATAACGTAGTCTGTGGGTTAAAGAAAGTAGAAATTGCTTGTAAAAGTGACATTCTAATAATAATTCAATAGTCTACCTTTGAATTCTACTATTAAAACCCACAATTTCTCCAATATTTCCAATTTCGTCGAGGTATTCGCTGGTCTAAGTCAAGGGTAGTATTGGAGTGGGTATGAACGGAATATTTTAATTTTTATATTCTAATTTAAGGGGTTTGAGGGGGCGAAGATGATGCACATTCAAACACTATAAAACACTCCAATAAAAGCTTATTGATTGGATTTTCTCAGTTACGCGACGCAACGCAACGCACTGAACTCAATTTCAGTTTCAATTTGTAATCTTTGTATGGTATTTAGAGGATATTGAACATATAACACAAACATACTACCATCAAATCCAAATCCCTATACCCCTACTCCCCATTTCACCAATCAAAACACTCAAAATCACAAAGATATCTTGAATAAACGTTTATAAAGACTGAAATATGGATGTAATTTTAAATTCAATCCCCTTAGCGTCTCTACTTGATTATAAAATATTTGCTCACAATCTTCCTTACAATCGTACCGTCAAGTTTCGTTGAGGCTAAAATGTATAAAACGACGCTGTTGAATCTGGGAATACCAAAGACGCTTCCTCATACGCCAAGTAGTGGATCTGTACAGGTAAATCAAGATAAGGATCTATTCAAAGGTTTAAGAGACGCTTACTGGTCAGATGATGAGGTGTGTTTGGTGTATTTGAATCATCAAGTTTACTCACTTCTCTCTAGGAAGATAGAGATTGTCCACTTTGCTTAGATGAAATGGACATATCTGATTTGAACTTCAAGCCGTGTCCCTGTGGATATCAAGTGGGTTTAAACGGCGTATATTTTCACTTCTGACAACCTCACAGATCTGTAGATTCTGCTGGCATCGTATTAAGGAAAACTTGAATAGAAAGTGCCCCGCTTGTCGAAGAGAATACACCAACGAAGGCGCTAAATTTCAGCCTGTCGCTGCAGAAGAGTGAGTTTCTTTCTTCTCATTGCCCTATACCCCAACTCATTTCACTCCCAGCGTCAAACGCATCGAACGCCAGAAAAAATCGAAGGAGAAGGAGAAAAAGGAGCTTGACAACCTCGGCAGATCCAGATTAGCCGATGTTAGAGTTATTCAACGCTCTTTAGCTTATGTAGTTGGCTGGCCTCAGTCTTTCTCCGAAGAAATGCTGCCTTTACTCAAATCCCCTGATTACTTTGGTCAATACGGACGCATACTAAAATTATCACTTACAAAGAGACCTCCTTCAAGTCACTCTATCTCTGATAGCCCTATCGTTGGTATTTACATATTATACCAAAGATCTGAAGATGCTTTACTTGCCATAAATTGCGTCGATGGTGTAAACCTTATTGATCCTGCTCAAGGTGGTGTTTTAAGAGCAAGCTACGGTACTTCAAAGTATTGCACCAACTACTTGCGCAATATTTTCTGCTCTGATCCAAATTGTTCTTTACTTCACGAACCTGCAGATGAGAATGATAGTTTCACAAAGGAAGATTTAACTTCTTCCTCTTTCCCTGCTGGTGATACCGGTGGCGCTGGCGGTTTCAGGAGACCTTTTGCCAACGCTGCTCCATTACCAACCCCACCACCACCACAACATTATTATCAAAATTCTCATCATTTCAATCAAAATTCTTCTACGCAGCATAATCAACCAAATTACAATACTCCTACTATACGCAGGCCTCAAATACATGATATTGAAACCACTCATGCTCAACAACTACCAAAATCTGCTTCATGGGCTAAACCAGGTAGTCAACCTACGAGCGCTTCAACAGCTAGTACAATCACCAACTTACCCACATCTCAATTCCCTACACCTTCACAATCATCCCACTTATCTTCCATTCGTCGAACTCCAGTCTCTTCGAATCCTCCGAATAGAATCATTCGTCCACAATTTCAAAGTCAAAATTCAAATCAAAATATAAATCAAGTTATGCGATCAAATGCGAATTATGACAAACCCTTATCAAGACCTTCTTCAGTTGTTCAACAAAGTAGTAATAATCAATCACCTGATTTGAATAATCTTATACCAAAGCAGGTACCAGTGAGTACAAGTGCAACAGTTTCTCCAACTGGTCCTCCGCCTGGTTTGTCAAAACAATCACCTGCACCACCACCACCTGGATTATCCTCTAAACCAATTACTATGTTACCACCTGGTTTATCACCAAGTTTACCACCTCCTGGCTTAGCTGGGCTTTCTCCACATCCAATGCCTGTGCAACCAATGAAAAAGAGTCGGGATGACGAAATTGATGATGTTTTATCGCTCTTCAAGTCAGGTGGAAACGACTTTAGCTTTAGCATGGGTGTTGAGGATAATAACAATGCTCTTCACAAGTCGCCGCTGCAGCAGTCTAACCTTAGTAGACCTGTCGATAGTCAGAATGTACTATCATCTGTTAGTTATTTGTTCGGTAATGATCCTTCAATAAGCTATATGTCAACTTATGATCACTTTCAACGTAAACAAGTGTCACAGCAGAGAAATGTTCAGCAACCTTCAGTCCAAACCTCACCTGGACCAATCTACACTGGGGCATTTAATCCATTCGATGAAACATTTGCACCGTTTGGATCATTCCCAAATTCTCAGCTAAAGCAGCAGCAACAACAACAGCATCAGAAACAGCAGCATCAACACCACCCACACCCACAACACATAGATCAGCATAGTCATAGTAGTATAGATAAGCAGTTTGAACAGATGAATTTGGCTGGAATGACGCAGGCTCCAGTTCATCAGCCACATCACATACATCATCCGCCTCCACCTCCACCTCCACCTGGACTGAGATCATTTGGATACAGTCAAGATGAAAATATCAGAAGATCATCTCGATTTGATTTTGCCAGAAGTGAACAGCAGCTTGGTTCGTTCGAGGATCCAGCTCACGACTTGCTCGTGGATGCTCAGCCGGGTGCAGGTAGCAGTGGTGCTCCATCGAGTGCCATGATGTTTGAGCAGCAACATCAACAACAACAGCAACGCAACTCTCCTGCTCTGTCTCGCAACATGGTCAACGGCCCACCTCCAGGCATCGCAGGACCACCGCCAGGTCTTGGAAACAACTCGCCAATGCCATCGCAAGCGTCCACATATGGTGGGTAAAGTTTTGTTGAATTTATCACTTACTAACTTTTCCAGACATACCTTTTCAGGATCCAGCAATCATGTCAATGTCATCTCCATCTCCACATGCTGAATTAATGTTTGCGCAAGCCCAACAACAACAACAACAACAACAACAACAAGTCACACCAACTCCGCACTTATCTCAGATACAACAACCTCCTCCTGGGTTCGGTATGGGAATGGGTAACGCAACATTAAATCAACTGTTTAATATACCTGCTAACAGCCCACCTTCACAAAGTAATTTACCACCACCTGGTTTAAGTCAACAACAGCGCAATCAAGATGATGCACGTGCTCAATTGTATAGTCTTTTACAAGGGCGTGCAAATCTAGGCGGAGTTTGAGTACTGTGTACTCTAATGAGGTATTGGTAATCTTACTTTCAATCAAATTCACTCCTTTCCTTCTTCTTTATCTAAACATACATTCTTAATCAACTCGTTTATCACATCCTCTATCTCAACTCAACTCACATCTTAAAGTTCAAAAGCAACATGAAACAAGCAAGACATAGTGAAAACAACACAACATAATCATTTTCGTAATCTAAAATGCATGTTTAAAACTAGTTCTAATTCTTCGTTATGTTTGCCATTCGCGCTTCGGCTGCACGTGCACGTCTTTCCCTCTCTACTTTAACTTTGAGATCACCACTGAGTCCAGCTGTCGCGAGTGTGTTTGCATTTCCACCCAGTGTGTTGGTAGTTGCATGTGAAGGTATTTTTGCAATCCTTTCTTTCTCCTTAGCCTCCTCTTCTTCTCTTTGTTTAACTTCTTGCTGTTCGCGTGCGCCCCTCTTCTCTTTCATCCTGTCTTTGAGGTTCTTCCTTCTTTCTTTTTCTCTCGCTGATGTTGACGACTGCTCTAGCTGCTCTTGCGTCAATGAACTAGGCACTCTTGCACCTTCAACCCAATCCCATCTCTCAGGCAACTTACCCATCGCTATTCTAAACGCATCTCTGCTCTCCTTACTCTTCGACAGCTCGTAAGCTGTTTTGTTACCACCGAAAACAGCAGGGTCAACCTGTTTCTCGAGCAGCAACCATGTGACAACGTTGTGGGAATTGTTCGCAGCTGCTATCTGTAACAAAGTACTTCCATTCTCCATAATAATGCTAGGATTTGTTAATATTCCCGAGTGTCGATCCATATGTGTCTTTAGTGCTTCCAGCCTATCCTTGGACACCATCTCTATAGCCCTACTTTTTACTTCTTTGACGAAAATTTCTTCTTCTTCTTCAGCTGTAAGAGCGCGTGGCTTCTCAGGTTGAGCGGTTTGCTGTTGCGGTTGGCTTGGTAAGACTTTAGGTTTTGGTACCACCTTAGCCAGCCAATCTTCATCTTGCTCACGCAGCTGGTTGCGAGTCAAGTATGTCGTCTTGACCTTAGTGAGCTCTTGGAAACACCTTATCAGCTCATTGTGGGTTGGCCTGCGTGTCGGGAATGGGAAACCGCGTATACGAGGGTCAGCTGAAATTTTATTAGTATTGAAAGAAATAGGTGTGAGTTGACACACTCTTCTTTATCACACAGTCGTCATTATTCGCTCCTCCAAACAAGATTCGCCTGTTTGAGCTGCTCGTCGCTCGGGCAAAGATACGTTCCGAGCCATCAATATCGTCCTTCCATTCATTCATGAGTGCTCGAACATCCTACACTTTGTTAGGCTCATTCTTCCGCATGATAGCATCCCTACCTCAGCCAACGCTTGCTCGTTGTATCGTCTAATCATTGCACCGGCAGAGTTGGCTTTGCCTTTGGCCATATCATTACTCGATTGTGCTCCACCCTGTTTGCGACGCGCTTGGGAGATTATTAGCGGGGTGCTGTCAAGTAAAGCCAACACTCACTCGTGTATCTGTGGAAAGTCTTCTGCTTAAGGACGACACCGATATCGACTTCGGTCCTTTTGTTTCTACGCACAACTTGAGGTACTATAGATACTACGCAGGCTGCAAAGTGACCACCGCCGATCATGATTAGCGTCCATCTGCGCGGTGAATCAGTGGCGTTGAGTTGAGAATCGTTGAGCTGAAATTTGTTCAAGTGATCTAAGATTTCGTTGTTGGGCGGTGTAGGTGAAGGGAAAAGTGCTCTATAAACACCTAATTGAGCACCCGGTGTGGCGTCATCGAGGTTATCATCACCTACTTCAAACCAGACGACGGGAGTGCGACTCAATGCTCTTTGAGTGTCGAAATCCTCTACATCATCTTCTTTGCTGTTTGATAGAGTATTGAGCTTTGTCTGCTTCCTCAGCAGTTGCGTCAATTTGTCTTCATCGCCGTCCTCATCGCTGCTAGAGGAAACATCATCCAACATATCCTCAAAAGCCTCCTCAGTTACTGGTTCTTTTCCATCAGCTTTCAATTTAACGCAGTATCTGTACCAATCTGAGTGGAAATGCATACGTAATTCCTCAATTGTATCAAAAGAAGCTTGCGTAGTCGAGCAGAAGTATTTCTTCCTTCTTGGCGTGGTCCTATATTCACCTGGTTCATTCTTCGCGTCTTGCTCATCGTCTTCCTCGCTGCCGGCGTCAACATTTTCGTCTTCATCTTGAGCGCCAACCGAACGAAGCTTGAGACGCTGCAGAAGTTGATCGGGTAGCGTATAGGCATACAACGGCTGATTAGATTTTACAATATCCGTTGATCTTGGTTGCATTTCCTCAAGAGCCCACTGTCACGACAAAAGGATAATGTCACTACTTGAAAGTAAATGGATAAAGACGCACTCTTCGCCGTCTTCAATCACCAAACCTCACTCTACAAGTTATCTCACTGCGATTCTCCCCTTAGATTCATCTTTGGCCGTGTCTTCTCAACAAAACGTTCTCCTCCTAGATAGGGCTAATTTAAAACCACGTAGTATAATTCCACATCAAAGTAGAGTTTCCAAGCTAATTGGTTGTCCTCATGACCCAAACGCTGTCGCTTCTGCTGATTTCGACGGCAATGTTTGGCTTTGGGATCAGAGAATGAACGGTGATAACGCAACAAACGTACTCGTTAAGTCTACAAAAGGTAAAAAGGCTCCTATTCAAGCTCTTGCGCTTGATTCTTCAAGTAATGCCTTAGCTGCAGGCACAGAGCTCGTCAACGACGACGCTAGCGCTATCATTTGGTGAGTTTCGTTGTGAATCAACATAATCATCTAATCGCTTATACTCAGGGATATACGAAACACCAAGACTCACCTCAGAAGATATGATGAACTGCACTCTGATGATATCACCACTCTCAAATTCCTACCAAACAACCATCTTCTTACCGCTGCTACTGATGGTTTGCTCATGTATGTAGATCCAAGCATAGAAGACGATAACGACGCTAGTATGGGATGCGTCAACGTCGGTTCTAGTATTGCAGACGCTGGCCTCCTGTCCGACGGAACCATATACGCCTTCACTGACATGCAAAGCGCTGCATTTTACACTCTTGATAGTGAGAATGTGAATTTGAAATTATGAAATCCACTACCACCACTCACATTCACCAAGGAAATCGAATTGCAGAAAGATTTGGGCGACATTAGACAGCGGTCGCTCGATAATCGCTGGGATAATGATTATATAATCAATATCACAGAGTTAGAAAACAACTTAGTAATGTTTGGCGGTAGATCGAGGTATGTAGACTGTTTTCTACGTACATCCCTGACGAATAACTCAGCGGAGAATTTTCAATAATGACAGACTTAAAGTCTGATAGCATCCAGCTGGAAAGAGTCATGAAAGGCGGTCATTCAGAACTTATCAGAGCTGTCGCCTTTGATAAACAGCTGAACGCAATCGTTTCAGTGGCGGAGGATGCAAAAATTGCTGTATGGAATGTGCAAGACGCCTCTAATGGATTCAGACTGGAGAGACCGCGAGACGAAGAAGACGTTGAAATGGAAGAGCCAAGTTCGTCAAAGAAATCTCGACAATAGTTATTGTATGCCACATATACCATTCAATGCAAAATCATGGATTTATAGATTACTTTTTTGGACTTGTTATTGTACACTATAGTAGTTAATATATGTTCATGCTGTTGGGTATGCTAATAATTGCTTTCTGCCAGACCTGCTTGTACACCTTCGATAAAATCTTGGAGATCATCACCGTGGATTTCGACAACGGCTGTATCGAACCAGTCATGCTTAGATCTAGTACGAGTGGACTCAGCCGCATCATGAAAGACTGTACCCAGTTTACTTAAGTCTTCTGTTAGTAGGAATAAACATAACAAGACCTGACTCACTTTTTTCTGGCGTCGTCAAATAAAGTGGAACCTGTCATACCTGCAACGAGGTAGGTGCCAGTCTTTTCGTTTAGACATCCAACGATAAATGGTAGGTCTTTCAATCTCTTTTGTGACCCAGTGCGCGGGTCTATAACCTTGCCACCTTTAGTCTTGGAGACAATACGATCTCTCAATGCTTCTATCAGCCACTTTGTTAGACGAGAAAGGGGTGCTGGGTTGCAAAATAGTGCGAGATCTGGCCCTTCTTTCAAGATAGCCAGCCTGAACAGACTGAGATTCCGAATGACCTTCTGTTCAATTAAACTTGCTCCGGTCCGTAGCACTGCTCTATGCAAAGAGATACATAATGGAATAGATGCTCTAAGCCTGGAAACATTATTGTTTAAAGCATCATACGCAATCCAGAAATTCCTTTCCCAGCTCCTTTCATCATTTTTCTTCTTTATAAGTGCAGTAATATCTTCATCACCTTCCTCCATCTGACCAAAGAATGTAAGATTGCGCTTATTTTCTTTGTTGTCAACTGTATTGCCGAACAGACTCGTAATTTCCCACAATCGAACGTTACTGAACAGTTCACCACCGCCTTTGCCGTCATCAACGTAGATATTGATGCCAGTTGCTGCCTGCAACAGTGCGTTGATAGCCTCTACCGCATCAGCAGCAGCCAGCGGAAGTGATCTCAAACCAAAGCTCCTAACAAATGAAGGGTACGACAAATCTACTAACTGGTGTCTAGGTGCAGTGTTCTCCACCTTCACAGGTAAAGCTCGCTTTAAATCCGTATCCATGTGAGCATAGGACTGTTGAGCTTGCACTAACGGCAAACCCATCTCTGCAAGGAATCCATGTAATCGCTTTTTGCCTCCCTCTTTCCATATACCTAGTTTACTCGCTATGTATTCTGAGTGTATCATACTATCGTATAAGCTCCAGTGACGAAGCAAAGGGAATCGTAACTCTTCTTTGATTGATATGCTGTAATCATCTGGATTGGTGACCGTCTCACCTATCGTTGGTGGATTCAGACGGGCTACTTCATCTCGCAAGAGAACATATCGATCGTCATATTGGGAGCGTGATATTTGAGCTGAGATGTACTGATATGTCAACCCAAGTATGGCATACCAGACGAGATCGTTGACAGCGCGTTCGAGTTCTACTGTTAAAATATACATTACGCAGCTTACGCTCATGCCATGCGAAGAGCCGCTATTGTAGTACTTTGAAAGCTTGCTTCTGTGTACCTGTCTGTCTTGCTTGAGCTTCTTTCGAGCTTTCTGTTGTTCGAGTTAGCCATTTCCATATAAGTAACAGGCTAATGACCTTTGGATTGAGTCTTGCTCTTTTAGCAGGTGGATTTGCGTCCTCATCACTATCGGCAACACCGTTGTCATTGTCATCTTCGCTATCATCGTCCAAGGAGTCCTCTGAGTCTTCCGAATCATCTTCTGAGTCTTCAGGGTCATACTATGCGTAATTGTGAACTCAAACTCGCAAATACTCGTGTCAACACACCTCCAGTGCCTCCCAGCTCTTCTTAAGATCTTCCATTTCTTTGGCATTGTAATAGCCATCGTCCCAAACTAGTACTTTCGCTTCATCATATTCGCCTCCGCCAAACCCTCCAAACGCGTTGGCTAAGTTCCAAGGTCTTGATGAATCAACGAGGTGGACTGTAACGCCAGAATGCAAGGCAAATTGAGAAGATAGTGTGAGTAAGCTTCCAAATCCTAGAATCACGACGCTGTGGAGCTTTAAGGTGTTAATTCATATGCTATCACTCCACAGACACTCACCTCAGGATCCTCCACGATTTCACCTCTAACGTTCTCCAGCTCAGCGTATCCACTCACAACTCTGACATTGTGCAATATGCCGTCAATTTTGAGCATATCTACCAGGATACGAACGCCACATAGAGCATCAACGTCAGGTGCTGCTAGTATCACAACCGCATTGGCTGATGATTGACGCTTCCTCGATGTATTTATTATCTCTTTGTAGGCTGATCCATACGATTTAATGCGCGGATTGCTTGTGTCTGGCGGTGCTAGCAGCATTCACGTTGTTGAGAAGACGACTGTGATAATGAAAGGCGTAGAGAGCACGTTTCACATGAAGATTCTATGCGCGATTGCAAATAAATTTATACGCGTAAATGTAGTATACAACACACTCAACGCGTACACACTCCAAAGTCAAACAAATCACAACAACATCAAGTACCCTAAATTATCCATTAAGATGCATAAATAAAACTATAAACATATTAAATATATTAACATGGCATCAAAGCCATAGAATCCAAATTGGGTATCAAAAGCCGCCTTTCTCTCTCGCTGCGTCGTAGAGTCTTTGGAGAGCTGACTTCCACGAATCGATATTTGCCTTGGAGACATCCCTGCTGTACGAGATCAATCCGTTTACTTCGCCCTCTGTATCGGTAGTTTGGGTATATACACCGCCAGAGCACTTGTTGTTTCTAACTTGACTGGTGAGGACGTCAATAACCTCGATTGAGCGGTTGTTGTACGCTCCGACATCCGTTGCTATTTCGTAAGTCTCTGGAATGGTTGCGATAGCTGCTGGGTCTGGCCACAGTTGGTCGGCTGACAGGTTGAGTCCAACGCCACCAAACTCTCCTTGGATCTGGATTCGAGTATCGTTGTTGACCATACCGCATTGGCTCTCCGAGTAACTGTGAACATCCTTGTAATCTCCGAATCCATTATCGTTCCATCCACTAACAGAGTCAATTATGCGTGTTCCATCATTGTCACGAATGTTGTTAGTGATTCCTTTCTCAATTGGTCCTTCCTGTTGTCCCCAGCCCTCGTTGTAGATGACCCAGGTAACAATTGATGGGAAGAAGGCGTGTGTCTTGACAATCTCGAGCGATTGTCTATTGAACTCCTTGGTCTGCTCGTCATTCGCCGTGGTATCGTGAGGCATAGATGGCATATCCTGGAAGACCATTATGCCTTGTTGATCAGTATATGCGTAGTATTCATCTGGCTCAACCTTGATGTGCTTTCTTATGGTATTGAAGCCGATCTCTTTGAGGTAATCAACATCGAACTGCATTGCTTCCTTGGTAGGAGGGGTGTAGATTCCATCTGGCCAGTAACCTTGATCGAGTGTGGAGAATGGGAAGTACCACTTTCCATTCACCGTAGGGCGTTGAATGCCATTGATCTCAGTCTTAGCGACGGTGCGGAATCCTGCGTATGATTGCACACTGTCTTCCTTAAATGTAACAACGACATCGTAGAGGACTGGGGCGCCAGGTGCCCACACTTGTACATTGTCGACATTACCAGCAATGGCAGTGTTTATAGCACCACTGATTTCTGCTACTTGGTTACTCGAGCCTTTTTCGCGGATACTGACTGAGACATCGCCGCTTGCACCCTCAGAGCCGGTAATTGTTGCTGTAATACTGCCATCCGCTTGCGCATCGAAGAGAACATCCGCAATGTAGTCAGTAGGAACACGCCTGTCATAGGTTAGTCCGATACCTAGCGTTAATTATACCGCACTCACTCCATCCATGCCGTCTGCCAAATACCCGTGCATGGCTGGTAGAAGATATGTGATCTGCGGTATCTACGTTGTTTTCCGAGGGGTATATTTACACCTTCTAAGTCAGTTGGGTCATGTACGTGTACCAATATTTCGTTGATGTCTGTCAAATCAATTAACTATATGAAACGAATGGGTTGATTGGCTTACCCTGAAGTTGGTTTGTAATATCTAAAGTGAATCTGCTATAGCCACCCTTGTGGGAGCCTGCATTTTGTCCGTTTATAAAAACAGTAGCTAAGATGTGTTAGCTTGTCTCACTTTCCGGTGAGGCCCACCTACCTTCGTAATCAACAGCACCGAAATTAAGGAGTGTTTTTCCTTGAGGCCAATCACTGGGTGCTTGGAAAGATGTTTTCCACCAGCTGTACTCATGGTCCTCTTGAATCCCAGAGAGACCTGATTCGATACAGCTGGGTACCAAAATTTGCCTTTCGAGATTCTGTCCGGTAGGAGGCGAGTCAAGCCCACTATCATCTGTCGGACTAAATTGCCATAATCCGTTGAGAGTTTGCCATTCCGATCTAAACATTTGAGGACGAGGATGCGATGGCCATGGATTCGTGCCAACCTCAGACGTCCATCTCGTACTGAGCGGAGGGCCTTGAATGGCGTAATCTTGCTGGGCTACGGCGGCAGCAATTAAGGTTGATAATACAGCTGCTCCGTATTTCATAGTTGTTGTTGAGGAAAAGCGACTCAGTCAGGCTTTAAAGGCGGACTGGCGCGTACGAATATCGATAAGGGTATCACATTCCAGTCTATCAAACATTCTTTAGCCAAATGCGAAATGAAACTGAGCTACGCACTGACGGCTTCTAGGAACACGTTTCGATACAGATAGCTCCATTCAGCGTGCATTTAAATGCTAATTGGGAATGTATAAGTTCTTACCCTGACAGCCTCTAGCCCGCAAACATCTGTCGAGACTCAGCCAATTTGCAATTTGCTCTGCGTGCTCTTTCGTCATCTTCTTCGTCGCCCATCATGAGTGATATTGGTCGCAGTAACAGCGACTACGAGTCTAGCGATGATGATATCACATGGCCCAGCGCATTCACATTAATCGATTGTAAGGTGCTCTCGATTCAGCGTCATCACTCTAATCCAATCAAAGTCATTGATACCTACGTCGACGCAAGAATAGATCTGATAGAGAGGCGCCTGCATGAGACTTCGGATAAGCTTCGTGAGAGAGCCACATCTGCAAAAGAGAAGGCTGCGGAGATCATTAGAAGCAGGGGCAGCGGTACACGCATCGATGAGTCCAGTAACGAAGACGACGGCGATAAGAAGCTTCCTGCCGCTGCTGCACGTGCCAAAGATTTTTACGAGCGTGAAGCGGCTAAGTACAAGTTGCTGGTGAGTATCGTGTTGGAGTATCACATTGGAATATTGTTTGACCGCCTATTAGCTCAGTAAACGTGTACAGAACTTGTCTACAAAGTGGAAAGATGCCAAGGTCGTCCAGTTACGTGACAAAATGTCATTCTGTTTTGGGTGCGTCAATAGGCTAATACAACAACCTTATCTTACAAAAACTTGAAGTGTATTCAACGTACTTGGAAGTGCGTTACTCTATGCTCTCAATCCAACATGGCTGCATATATCGTACACTGTTCAGATTCTTTACTTTTTACCGCTGTCGGTGCTGTTTCTTTTTATCCTGTTAAGCAGCTAACATACCGTAGCCGTGCTTATACGTACAAGCAACTGAAATATCACTACTTCCTTTTCGATATGTGCTACTACGCTACGATCCTCAATTTGGCTTTCCTTTGGTTGTTTTCGTCTTCAGAGGCAGTATTCGTAGCAGCTTACTGTATGACAATGGGTGAGTATATCATTTCTAGGTGTCTAGTCTCACAACCTTCCAAGGCCCGCTCGCATTCGCTGTTATCACGTGGAGAAACAGTCTTGTCTTCCATAGTTTCGACAAGACAACGTCGTTATTCATACACATGTACCCGCCGCTGGTATTCCACGCGATTATCTTCGACTACCCAAACGCAACTGATCGCTTTCCAGCCCTGGAAGGTATCCACAAGTTGCAACCTGGTATGGCGCTTTTATACACTTCAATGATATATCTCATCTGGCAGGCGCTTTACTGGAAGTATATTTTAATTGAGCGCCGTCACAAGATAGGAGAGGGTAAAGGTCAAAGAACGACATCATTTAGCTACATGCTGCACCACAATCACGGCCTTATTGGCAGGACACTCAGCAACATTGCGCCAAAGTGGCGTGAAAGTGCTTTCATGTTCATGCAATTCGCATACACCATAGTGACTCTTTTACCTGCGGTATTTATTCTTTACGACAGTAAAGTCGCCAGTGGTATGTTCTTACTGTTTATATTCGGAGTTTCTACGTGGAGTGAGTAATCGGCTAGCTTTGTTTCAACTGCTAACAACCTAAAGACGGTGCTTCTTATTACGTCGAGGTGTTCGGAAGAAGGTAAGCCATATGCTACTACTAATTTATCAATCTTACGTGTGTAACAGGTTTGAGAAAGAGTTAGATGCTCTAAGGAAGGAACTAGAAGCTAGCTCGAGTAATGGAGACGCGGATGACGACGTGTCGACAGCCAAACCCGAATGTGAAGAATCTAACGGTAAAAACCCATCTTCTAAGAAGGACAGTTAGATAATAGAACTGATTTCCTATCGCTCTTTATTTATTAGTTATTAATAATTATTACGACTTCGATATTGACGT